CCGCATTCTGCAAGTGACAACAACTTGCATTTAATATAGCATACCAGAGCGCAAATACACAGTCACTAACCCTGTATGGTTTGAGGTGTCCTCTGCTTGAAGTGAAAGGCAAGGATTACAGTAATATAAACTCCGTTGCTTGCAACACACTCTCCCTCCCCACCACGACCACCACCACTTCACCAAAATGATAATTATTATCCTCGCATTTGACACAGCCTTTTATCACGTTGTCGATGCATCTCAAAGCCCTTCACAAGATTTACTGTAACGTGCAGTGACCGCATCTGTAGGCAAACGCGGCAGCCAATTTACGCACAGTGACGTCCCACAAACAGCCATGAAGCGAATTAGCTATTTGATTGTCAGCCAGGGCACCAGGGGGATAAAAACCTTCCTCTTTTTGAATAGTGCTGCGGGATCTTTCCTGTCCACCTGAACAGGCAGACAGGACTTTGGTCTCATCCGAGGGACAGCATCGCCGACATTGCAGCGTTGCCCCAGCTCTGTGTCGGAACGCCAGCCTCAACTGTGAGCTCAAAGTCCCCGCCGTTGCTTGATCTAATGCCCTGTTACAACTGTTAGAATCGGATATAATGCCATAAATACACACTGTGTCAGATCTGTGTGAGCACCTGTTCCAGAGAGGGATCAAAGTGAAAGCTCCAACCTCCTGATACCAGTAAAATAGAAGATCGGAATTGGTGTAAATGGGAGGCCTGATTCAAATCCTCTTGATCTGTGGCCTTTTGCCAGACATGCCAATTCATGCAACAGACATGGAATTGGATGATGTCTGCTATGTCTATGTGTGCACGGATGGATTAGTTAGTTTGATGCCCGGCAACACAATGTGTGCTTTGTGTTTGAATCCCTGTGGGCTTATTGAGCCTAGCTGCTCCATCTTATCAAACCAGCTGTGAGCAGCACAGTTCCGGGGTACAGATGTGGAGGTTGTTTTTCGGTCCACACCGCCAAGGCCTGTGACGTATGATGGCGGCACTTTTGAAAATCTCAAAGCAGGGAATTTTAATGGGAAATGGCATCTGCAGCGTATCTAGCAAATCGGACACAAGGCACGGTGCTGAGTCCAATCAACGGTGTGTCAGCCTGGCTCAGTCGGTAGCACTCACTCAGAAGGTTGTTGGTTCAAGCCCCACGTCGGGACTTGGAATCCCATAGACTGAACTGACGCTCCAATGTAGTGCAGTGGGGGTGTTACATTGTTGAAGGTGCCGTCCTTCCGATGAGACGTTAAACTGAGGTCTTGTCTGCCTGTTCAGGTGGATGTTAAAGATCCTGTGGCTCTATGTGAAAAGGGAAGCGAGATGCAATTGGCCATTTGTGGGACTTTGCTGTGCACAAATTGGCTGCAGCGTTCACCTAGAAATATACTTTTGAAACGTTTTGATGAGGTCATAAGGTGCTATATCAAATGCAAGATTTAACAATTATATTATAATAAGAGAGGTGTGATTAAAGAAGACTCTTCAGTCCATTTGATCCAACCATCTTCCCGTTACAGCATCATGCTGTTTCTTAATATCCAGCACCAGCATCATAACCCTTCCTGTTAATTAACCCAGATGTTAATTACCATCTGTCTAAAGAAATATTTCCTGGTGTCCGTCGTGAAATTGGCCTTCGCAACAATGAATCTGTGCTCTCTTGTCCTGCTGACTTTAGGTGCCATTACATTACTACACATTGGTGTGTGTCTGATGTGAACCCTGTATAAAACTACCCATGAGGTGAGCTTTGTTTAAACTGGCACAGGTTCAACACCCATTCGTCATCTGAAATGTGCTGCTCCTTGTCGGTCAGGCCTTGGCCCAAGATTGAGTCTAATCCAATTTCCGAAATCCAGAGCAGCTACGAGCTTCTGAGGAATGGATTCATCTTTGGTCACAAATCCCCTTCACTCTCCGCGTCTCCTCTCCCCGAACCAGTGCACTTCCAGTGCGCTTTTGCAGAGGTTTTGAATAGCAGAGGCGCAATTGTAGATAGATAGATACAGATGTTGTGAAGTTAACTTTGGGATACAGGGAAATGACATACAGGAGTTACTCTCAGGAGCTGATTAACCAATGATTTGACTGTAAGCAAATATGCTTTTGTGGCAGAGCAAACTGCCATCTATTTTCACAGGTGGAGTGAAATTCCAGCATGGGCAGCGGTGGGGGTGGGGGGATGATTCCAGCGTGGACATTCATGATCGATATGTGTGGAGTGGTGGTGGGCGGGGGAGGTTATGAGGAACATAATGATAGTCCTTACAGTTGATATGGTGCCTTTCCCATCAGGGAGGCATCTCAAAGTGTTTCACGGGATCTTACCATAAAGTGTAATGACTCCATTTGGCAGACGAACACAGCAGCCAATTTGCACACGTAAATATCCCACAAACAGCCATGAAGTGAATGAACAATTTCATTTGGGGAGATTGTCGGCCAGGACACTGGGAGAGAAAAACTCCTTTCTCTTTTTGAATAGCAACCCAGGATCTTTAACGTCGACCTGAACAGGCATGGACGGGATCTCAGTTTAACATCTCACCCAAATAGTGCACCTCCGACAATGCAGCGCTTTGAGATGTTTCAACGACGTGATAAGGCTCTATACCAAACTGCAAGGATTGCTATTACATTTTTAGCAGCCGGTGTAACACTGTTTAACACCGAGCTATGAATGTTTTCTGGAGGTTATGGTGCCCTCATGTGGCCAAAGGCCGGTTCTTTCTACAGACAAATATTTAACGCAGAATTTGAACAACAAAATGATAGGCGCACACTCACATTTTATGACACTTCGGTGCAGTCTGTTGAAGCATTCTCGGGAGCGACTCTCGAGAAAGGATATTGATTACATTCATGGCCCTTACCCAAATGTTTATAACCCTGTGTACAACCAAATGTTCCGCCCACAAAATGTACAGTCACTTTACGGTATATTCTGTGAAGTGGCTTTCAGACGTCTCAAAGATGTGATAAGGTGCCTTATCAAATGCAAGGAGTATTAACCCTGCCTTACCTGCCTCTCAAGCTCTTACTTATTTACCCTTTGCCTCGGCTGAATGCCTCTCTATCACCTTCAACCTGTTTCACCCAACAGTTATAAGGTGCATTTGGAGAATCACAGAGAGAATGAGAGTCAGATGGCCAAAGAAGTAAAGCTAACACATTTACAGAGCCAAGATTACAAGTATGAGTTATTGAGAGCAAATATGCAGAGGGAAAGAGTTTATGGACAAAAGGTTCAATACTATCAGGTGCAAGCTAATCTTGTCAAGCTTGAGGGCATGTTGGCATACATCTTATTCAATCATCTGGCAATCATCATCACCAAGGGTTTTTACTCTGGGATGATCTCACACAGAAAAACCTCTCTCGTCCCCTGCACCAGTTGCTTTGAAACAGTGGATAGGAATGTTTTAAATTAACATTGGAATAATAAATCAACTGGAGCAAACGCAGTTGGTTTCAGTAGAACAATTTTTCAAAATAAATGAAAAAGACTCCCCATGCAGTGCTATTCTGAAGCATGGACGTCAACAAAGTCTAGAGATATTATCAGTCATACCCCATAATGTATATAAATGAGTACATTGAATTATGAATTCTGTTGTAAAAGACAAAGGCATCCGATACATCAAAAGTGGAAAAACTCACCATTTAACATGGCAGAATATGATGCATTAAGTGGATAAAATTATGTAAGCAAGCTTCATGTAGAATAAAACATTGCTAATGAGTAACACATGCAAAATGGATATTCCCAAACATTGTTTTTTGTAAACGCTGTCCTGAAATTCTCACAACTTCGCAAAGTGTTTTAATTATCTATGGTTCAGATACAGGACGTGCTTAGTTTAGGTCACGAAGAAGATGTTCACCACAGCACATACAATGGAGCATTGTGTTGAAATACTCAACTCAGCTTCATATTTATCAATACTCTCCAGAACTTGGTAAACAGAAGGTGTCCCTCCAGAGAGAGGGAGAGAGGGAGAGAGTGCACATTCCAATCCAATACACAGGAATTTCTATGCATAGGTGGAATGTTTAGTTTGGATACTCTTAATAACCCGGTGATGGGTTTCTGGACGTGTCAGACACCCGACTGACCCGAGACGAAACCGAACAGCGACCGTGAGGCAAACCTGGCGACCGTTAGCACAGAACTCGACGAACGGACCAAAGACGAGGGTTGTTAGACCCGGTTGTTAGCCGATCGGCGAACGGCTTCATAATCCCTCAGTATAAAAGAAAATCGTTTGGGGCCGCTCAGTCCAGGACTCTTTCCCGTGGGTCGCGGCTGCCGCGTGTCGCCCGCCCACAAAACGCACGGTCACTGCACTTCGGAGCGAATCCCGTGAAGCGCTTTGGGACGGCGGGAAGACGCCGCGATAGGGCGGAGTGTATTATTGTAACCCAACACAACACAAGGGGAGGGGGTGTGGGAGGGAGGGGGTGTGGGGGGAGGGGTGTGGGGGGGAGGGGGTGTGGGGGGGCAGCGGGTGGGGGGGAGGGGGTGGGGGGAGGGGTGGGTGGGGGTGAGGGGGTGGTGGGGGGAGCGGGTGGGTGGGGTGAGGGGGTGTGGGGGGATGTGGGGGGGTAAGGGGGGAGGGGTGGGGGGGTAAGGGGGTGGGGGTGGGGGGAGGGGGGTGGGGGGAGGGTGTGGGGGGGAGGGGGAGTGGGTGGGTGGGGGTGAGGGGCTGTGGGGGGGGAGGGGTGGGGGGGTAAGGGGTGAGGGGGTGTGGGGGGGAGGGGGTGGGGGGTAAGGGGGGAGGGGGTGGGGGTCAACTCAACTCAAGTCAACAGCAGAGCCAAAGGTACTCAGTGGAAGAGACTGATTGGTTCTCTGGGACCCTCCAATCACAAGCTGACACGACAGCGCTCGGGGGGGGGGCGGGGTCACGTTCCCTGTACGTCGTGACGCTGCGCCGAGCACGTGGAGTCGGGCGAACGCCTGCGCTCGACTCGACGTGGCCCTGAGCGGCGTGCGTGCTGACGTTGAGCGGCGTGCGTGCCGACGTTGAGCGGCGGTTGCTCGGTCGCTCTCGCTCGGTCGGGCTGCGGACGGGAGCCGGCGGCGGAGGCGAGGCGAGGCCCAGACCAGGCCTTGAGGAGGAGATCGGCGGCCCGAGCAGGATGGGTGCGAGCGGGGCGGCGTCGGCGCTGCTCGTGTTTCTGCTCATGTGCGGCCTCCCCTCGGAGGGACAGAAGAAGAAGGAGGTTTGTGGGGCCCGGAGGCGGCCTTCACCTCACACAAGGATTAGGATTGTTGTTATTGTTATCTGGTTAGAGAGGAGCCCGGGGGAGCCGGGGGGGGAGGAGCCCGGGGGGGGGGGGGGAGAGGAGCCCGGGGGGAGAGGAGCCCGGGGGGAGAGGAGCCCGGGGGGGAGAGGAGCCCGGGGGGGGAGAGGAGCCCGGGGGGGAGAGGAGCCCGGGGGGAGAGGAGCCCGGGGGGGGGGGGAGAGGAGCCCGGGGGAGCGGGGGGGGGGGAGAGGAGCCCGGGGGGGGGGGGGAGAGGAGCCCGGGGGGGGGGAGAGGAGCCCGGGGGGGGGAGAGGAGCCCGGGGGGGGAGAGAGGAGCCGGGGGGGGGGAGAGAGGAGCCCGGGGGGGGGGGAGAGAGGAGCCCGGGGGGGGTGGGGGAGAGAGGAGCCCGGGGGGAGTCCGGGGTGGGGGGAGAGGAACAGCAAGGCCTCGGGGCGGAGAGAGAGAGAGAGAAAGGGCAAATGGCCGTCTGTCTGTCTGTCTGTCTGTCTGTGTACAACAGGGAAGTGTGGCGGCTGGTGTGGAAACCCTCTGCCCAGTCAGTGTCTGTGTCTGGGATGAACGTGGCTTATAATAATAATAATAATAATAATCCTTGCATTTGATATAGCGCTTTTCACGTCGGGAGGACGTCCCAAAGCGCTTCACAGAATATACTGTAAAGTGAATTGACTGTATATTTGTGGGCGAACGCGGCAGCTAATTGCGCACAGCAATGTCCCACAAACAGTCGTGGATTGAAAATGACCAATTTATTATTGTTTTTGGTGTTGGAGGGATTATTATTAGGCTCTGTGTGGAGTAAGGAAACTTGCCCAAGGTTTCGCCCTCTGCCTGGAATTGAACTCAGGTCTCTCACTTGCAAAGCGAGTGCTCTAACCACTGAGCTACAGGACTCCACTTAAACTCCATCCTCTCCCCCACAAAAAAAGAGCCCACACAGTGCCATCCCCAGTGCCTTCGCCGCTTCCTCCCTTTCCTCCTTCAAGGCCGGTCTCAAGACCTTTCTCTTTGACCGTACCTTCAGCTCCGCTCTCGACTCTCTACCCCCTCCTCGCTCCCTCCCTTCCCTCACCATTTCCCCCTCCTCGCTCCCTCCCTTCCCTCCCCCTGACCATTTCCCCCCTCCTCGCTCCCTCCCTTCCCTCCCCCTGACCATTTCCCCCCAATGCTCGGGTCCTGACCCAACTGTCCAGCGCCTTGGGACATCCTCCCGACGTGAAAGGCGCTCTATAAATGAAATCTTGTTGTTGTTGTTAACCTCCAGCCACTGCCCCCCTCTCCCCCGCCCCCGAAACCCTGGGACTCTGTCCCTCAATCCCTCCGTCTCGCCCGCCCCCCACCCTCCCCGCTTTCAAATCCCACCTAAAAAACCTTCCTTTTTGATCGTGCTTATACGGTCACCCCGTCCCCTCCCCCGCCCTCCCTCCCTCTCCCCCCGGTTCGGTGTCAGATTCCGCCGCTGTCGGGCGCTCCGGGACGACACCCCGCAGGAGGGTAACAAATTTGCCGTCATGGGCGGTGCGGAGGGTTAAGTTGCGATGCTCTTGGGTAGGAATGGAGTCTGCAGTTCCGGGCTGATCATTATCCTGTGGCTTCTCTGTGGCAGTATATATATATATAACCCTTTGATTGTTTTAGAACATCCTAAACGACAAAGTTGGGCAACTGATGGAATGGGGAAGCAGGCGAGCTGTAGTCCGGATGAATGGAGATAAATTCCGTCGATATGTTAAAGCTCCACCGAGGAATTACTCGATGATCGTGATGTTCACTGCCCTGCAGCCACAGCGCCAGTGCACTGTTTGCAAGTATGGGCCTGTCTCGTCTTTGCTAACGGTTGGCTCTAGCTCATTGATTTGTGTCTTGTGCTAAGCTGCAATATTTTCTGGAGATAACATTTATTTCCCATCTCTGCCCAGGCAAGTGGATGAGGAATACCAAATCTTGGCCAACTCCTGGCGCTACTCTAGCTCATTCACAAACAGACTTTTCTTTGCTATGGTGGACTTTGATGAGGGTTCTGATGTGTTTCATCAGGTAAGAAGGTTGGCTTAATGTTGCCTTTCATTTTATTGCGCTGAGATTTTGAACAATGGTTGATGTGAGGAGTTTGATGTACAAGAGCCACAAAAACAGAGTTCAGTGTGCATTTTCTCCTCATGTGGTATACTCCTCTTTGATTGCATTTGGTCAACTCGAATTTACAAAAGTATAACCATTATGAAGTTAGCACAAATGTAACTGAATATATATGCCTTTGACACTTTTTTTTCTTGTCTAGCTCAATATGAATTCTGCTCCAACGTTCATGCACTTTCCTCCTAAAGGGAAGCCCAAACGTGCAGATACGTATGAGCTTCAGGTGCGAGGATTTGCAGCTGAGCAGATTGGCCGATGGATTGCTGACAGGACAGATATCAATGTAAGCTAGTGGCTGGTTTTGCACTGCACCACTCTCTGTACTGAGCTGTTTCCAACATCAGAAGAATTCTTGTTCTAGTCACACTATACAATAGCATTTTAGGTTGAAATGCTGAAAAATTTAATTTATGTTGGGAAACGCTAGCCAGTGCACCAGGCTAGAATATGTATTCGCAGACATCAGGTACAGGTGGAGTAATGCTTGCCCTTTGTTTTGTCTGCATCTGTTTGTCTTTCAAGAATAATTAATTGTGTGAAATGCTTATTGAGACGCTACATCAAATGCTAATGGAGTATTATTAGCCTGATTATAATAATAATAATAATAATAATAATAATCCTTGCATTTGATATAGCGCTTTTCACGTCGGGAGGACGTCCCAAAGCGCTTCACAGAACACACTGTAAAGTGAATTGACTGTATATTTGTGGGCGAACGCGGCAGCCAATTGCGCACAGCAATGTCCCACAGACAGTCGTAGATTGAAAATGACCAATTTATTATTGTTTTTTGTTTTTGGAGGGATTATTATTAGGCTCTGTGTGGAGTAAGGAAACTTGCCCGAGGTTTCGCCCTCTGCCTGGAATTGAACTCAGGTCTCTCACTTGCAAAGCGAGTGCTCTAACCACTGAGCTACAGGACTCCACAAAATGTTGGCTCGATTCTGCATGCGATATTAAATGTTATCAACGGAACGTTTCAAAGGAGTGTGTAATACAGACAGTAAAATATGGTTGAGTAGACTACAATGTGAAAGCACACTCTGGGTAAAAACATCCTTACTTTCATTTTTTTCTAAAAACAGGTCAGAGTGATCAGGCCCCCAAACTATGCCGGTCCCTTGATGCTGGGATTTTTACTGGCGGTTATCGCTGGACTTCTGTATCTTAGACGGAATAACCTTGACTTCCTGCACAACAAAAACGGCTGGGCCTTTGTTGCTTTGGTGAGTAAAAGCGAGGCGAAAGATTTCCAAGCACTCTGTAAGGTCCACCTGTGGTTGAATTGAATTACAAAAAAGCAAAGTTGATTTGAGTCTGTTGATGGGAGATGGCTGAGAATATCTATCAAAGCCTCAGGAAAAAAGAAAAATTGAGATTTAAAAGTTCAGTGGCTGATTTTTAACTTTATGTTCCCATGCAGTGTTTTGTACTTGCTATGACTTCTGGACAGATGTGGAACCATATCCGGGGACCTCCTTATGCCCATAAAAACCCTCATAATGGCCAAGTGGTAAGTATCCCACCTTACATTTGTTTGTTCAAATTTAATAGCGTCTGTGTTCTAGTTGGGGTGTGACTTTATGTTGCAAACTACTTGATAATAAATCAATGTATTTAAACCTGACCATTGCAGTTAGTTTTCTATTCTAAAAGTTATCAGAGACAGAATCTGCAACAGAATTACCATCACATAACTCGGCACGTTCTTAAAATCTGGGAAGGGTATGTGACCTTTATTCTCGAGAGAATCCTCGAACGGCCCAAATTGTTTGATTGTTAATTTAGTTACTTGTTAATCTTATTGATTTAAAGCTTTTGTGGACTGGTCAGACTAGTAGTTTTAGTGCACCACAATTTTTCCCCATTTCCAATGTTTTTGTTTGCCTGCAAAATATCCAGTCACGTCACATCACCGTAAACCCTGTGAAGCACTTTGAGACGTTTTCCGGGTGTGATAAGGCGCTGTATCAAGTGCAAGGATTACTATTTTCAGAGCAGAATTGTTTTTGAAACCCACTGGAATATATATGCAAGCTCAAAATAACAACTTTGCTATCTGTATTTAGCACAAATTTAACAGCTGAGACTAAATGTAAATTCTACTCGTTACAAAGTTACAAATTATTTACAATGTCTGAATAAATACATTTCATACGTTTTGTAAACAATTTTATAAGCTTCAGATCTGAGATGAAAATTTTCATTGTACTTTTTAACCTTCTTTATTTGTCCCCTTTCACAGAGTTACATTCATGGGAGCAGTCAAGCGCAGTTTGTGGCTGAAACTCATATTGTCATCTTACTGAGTATCCTTTGTAAAACAGTTTGAAGTGTCGAAGGAAATCCATGCATGCAAGCGGGAGAAGGGAATAGAGGGGTATGGGATTGGGTGGAAGCTCATGTAGAATATAAACACCGGCACGGACTATTTGGGCCGAATGGCCAGTTTGTGTAATTCTGTGTAAAATCTGGCATGAGCTGTTTTGCTCGTGCTGGCTTTACCCACCAGGCCATCAAGGGAGCTGTTGACTCAACACTGTCATTGGGTTAACTTTCCTGGATACAGCACAAGATGAAAGGTTAAAGCAGAACGGCTGAGAAAGGTTCTCTGCTTTTTAATCCTAGATCCAGTCATTGTTCCTCTGGTGAACATTGTACCTTAACCGACAATTGCAGATGCGGCCATTACATTGGGTATGGTGCTTCTTCATGAAGCGGCAACATCTAACATGGAGATAGGAAAACGAAGAAGTAAGTGCGTTAACGGTGGAAGTGTTACTGTATGTATGTCTGGAGAGGGGTGGAGGGTAGAATTATAACTATCCACTTTTCTATGAACAAAAGCTTTTCTCTTGAAAATCAATAGCTGTTCACCAAATGTTATGAATTTATCCCCATTAGACACTGGCTATCATTAAGACTGAGCATGTTAACAAGTATGCGCATGCCCCAATAAAAAATTGATGCAGCCTTGCTTTGCTCTTTACCCTGCAGTTCTGTGTGTGGCGGGACTAGGATTGGTTGTGTTTTTCTTCAGCCTGATGTTGTCGATCTTTCGAGCTAAGTACCATGGATATCCCTACAGGTGAGTTACTGATATAAGTAACTGAAAAACGCTACATTTTCTAAAACAGACAGCCGAATGTCTCTCAAATTGGTTTTCTTTTGTTCCCAACTCTTCTCCTTCCTCCCCCTCCCTTCCCATCCATCCCCTTCAACTTCCCTCCTGAGGGGCTGCGTCTTATACTGGGATATGGGGTAACACGTGCTGAGTGCACTCCAATACATGGCCTGAGCGGCTGCTCATGTATAACCCAGAGGAACAATCACCGGGGTTGGGGAATGGTAGGCAGCATAGGCCAGCTGAGATCAACAAACATGGATTGGAACCTGCAATCTTTTCATCTGTATGATTTAATGTTACTTGGGAACAATGCCTGAACACACTAGTGTTCATCTACTAATATAGAAGTTTACGTTTTAGTTAAATCTTAGTGGTTTGGGAAATTATTGTATTAAACCTTTGTTTTTCTGTCTTCCTCCCCTCACCCCCATTTAGCTTTCTGATAAGTTAATTAACAACTTGAAAGCACAAGTCAGAGCCTGAATTGTGAACCATGACATACAATGTTGAAAAAATAACAGAGATGTGAAGATAAGCAGAGTCCAATTGTGTTCCAGACTGCCTCCCAACAATTCCAATCATAAGGTATCTCGGAGGAAGGCTTGAACCAAAGAGAACCTAGAGTGCCTTACATTTTACATTTACTGTTGGGCAGCAAAAAAAAAACTTCATTTTAACAGTTGAAAGATTCCCTCATTATGGTTGTTGAAAAAAAGGTGATTTTTGAAGTTTTTCTGAGCCAAGGTAAAAAAAACTTTTTTAACCAAAAAAATGCAGTTTTTCAAGGAATGATGCAATTTCTATTGATTAAAGTGCCTTAAAGTTAGGTTGATCATTTGGACGCAAGTCTTTGAAAGGGCTGTTTTCCACCTGGCTGAATTCTTACCAGCTAGTGAAATGTAGTATCGAAGTAATATTTTCAGTGAGTTTCCCTAAAATATTTACATTTCATCAATCTTGTACATCTGGTTATGCTCTTCATTAAATGATGTGAACCTGTCTGGTGTGGTATTTACATTAATTAAATAGCTCCAGGCATATTCTAATGTGGGTGAACACTTTATTCAATGAAGGTTATCCTTTTCCTCCCCTCCCACCATGCCCATCTCTATATCTAAATGAAATCTTGTAATTTATAGTGAAGAGAGACAGATCTGTGCCCTGCGAGGCAAAACATATCTGTTCTTGCATTATTTTGCCTGTTTCATCCACCCCTCCGTTACAATCAACGAATACTCTCCCACGCCAAACACAACTGAGGAGCTTTTACTGCTCTGTGCTGTGCAGTCAATTGATTGTGAATTGCAACCAGTGTTTGAAGGGGCACTGTCTTCATTACAAAAAACACAAAACATGTATATAAAAGTGATGTGTAATTCGCATGACTTGTAATGAATGGTACTAGCTCTTCCCCTTGACCTAAATTTAGAACAGTTTGTCGTACACCTTTCGATACTGTTCCCTTCAAGACATGAGCACTGTTTAGCCACATTTGCTGCTGGAAGTCAGCCTCACTTTTGCGTGTTGAGCTGGAAGGCAGAATGTCACAAGCGTAGCCATGGTACCCAATTTCAGAGTGGAATGTTTTAGGAGATCAAAAGGGATTGTATTGAAACACAAGGATTATTATTGTATTTCGCCATCTTGTCAGAATGAGGAAATGATATGCAAATGACAAAATTGTATTTTTGCATGCGGTAATTTTGAAGATATCGTGCTGGATATTGCCACACTGGCCGGTGGGACATAAGGTAGAGATTCCTTCTCTCTTTCTCAAACACTGTGCATCTTGTACTATCTCTGTTGGTGTTACTATCTCTCTGACTTTTAACTCTACATAGTACAAAAGTAATTGAAACACTTTTGCACCACCAGCAAGAAAATCCAGTTACTTGTGTTTGGGATGTGACTGGAGGTGCTCTCCCTGTGTGGCTAATTTCACACCCATTTATAACCTCACTCGCATGCACCTACTAACACTAACCAAAATTGACAGCAATTGCCTGTGAAAAGCTTCAAGATAATTTGACCTTGGCGTCAAGTAGAAGGATTTTGAGATTTCTTAATGTGAAAGTCCTTGTATTAAAGATAAAGACGATGTTACTATTGTATCCTCTTTTTTGAAGTAGAGATGTACTGAGATGTAATTGACCTGCTGTGGTTTTTCAGCATTTCCTGGTTTCATTCTTACCCCAATGTCTCCACTTCATATCTGCCAACGGCTTCTCTTCGTGCCCCCGCACGGTCATGTGTGGTCCACAGGGATCTACCCTCTTCCTCTTTGACTGCACCTTCAGTCTTTTCTCCTCCTTCCCCGCCTCCCGTTGGCCCCCACCTCTCCCGTATCCAACTTCCCCAGCTCGGGAGCAAACCCTCGACTATCCAGTGCCTTGAGACGTTCTCCCGATTTAAGGTGCTATGTAAATGCAACTTAATAATAATAATAATCCTTGCATTTGATATAGCGCTTTTCACGTCGGGAGGACGTCCCAAAGCGCTTCACAGAACACACTGTAAAGTGAATTGACTGTATATTTGTGGGCGAACTTGTTGTTGACGTTGTCCAAAACAGCACTCGCTTTGCACCTTATGTTATCCAAACAGCAAAGACATTGAATACGATCCAAGTACCTGGTTTCGGCGTTATAAGTGGAACTCAGTCTCAAGAGTTTTCTCGACTAAATCAGTATATAATTTTGCTCGTACAAATATACAGTCAACTCAAGCGCTCCGAGACATCTCGAAGATGTGATGGGATGTCCTCCCGACGTGAAAGGCACCGCACAGATGTAATCCTAAGGCGCGATATCAAATGCAAGGATGAGTATTTATTTTTTTTGATGTGTTAAAAGCCATACGCGTCCCGGCCTTCCGCATCGGAGCACTTCTCTTCCCGGCAAAAGGGAACGTTTGCTTAAATGCAGGAAAAAAAACTTTGTTTTTGTTGCTCCGAGGAAAGAAAGCCGAGCATTGAGATATTACATCCCGTGCCCCCCATCCCATCTCTGGCTTTCCCCATCTCTTGGACGCCGCCATTACAACCGGGTTACCCGGCAACGCCGCCGGGAGTCCATCAAAGCGCGGGAGACCACGGAACCAATGGGAGGAGCGCCTGCCACGAGGGTGGGCGGGGCGTCGCCCGGTGACGTCACGGGACGCGGCTGCCCGTGCTCGTTGGGCGTCACGTGGGCCACGCTCTGTCCGTCACGGTCGCCAAGGCAACAGCCTCCGCCCGTCCCTGCCCCCCCCCCCTGCTGGACAAACACTGGCAGGACAGGGCGGGCGCCTTGACCTGGTGGAAGTGACCAATTTCTTAATGTCTTTTTTTTTGGGGGGGATTTCTTTGCCGAGAGGAAAAGGAATTTAATTTAGACGACGCAATATTAAAAAAAGAAGATTCTGACAGCGATGTCGTGCAATCGTCTCCCATCTGTTCTATCGCTTCTAAAAATTGTTTGCGGAGTGGGGGGGACGTCGAGATGGAGGGGTGTGTGGGGGGGGGGGTGGGACCCACCGGCGGACAGCGCTCGTCCAATGGGAGCAGGCGATGCTGAAAAGGGGGCGGGGCGGGATGGGCAGCCAATCAGAAGCGAGGTTGAGGCCCGGGTGGACGAGCGCGAACCGAGGCTGTGCGTTTGTCCGGTCGGTGAGAGACACGCGATGGCGCCGTATTGTCTTCCCGGGTTATAGCCGCTTCACACTCACTCACACACACTCACACGCACACACTGAACCCGAACGGTAAAGCAACCCGAGAAAGAGGGAAGAAAAGCGCTTCAATTTTGCCAACCGCCCTTGTCTCCCCGCCTCCCTCCCTCCCTCCCTCCCCATCCCCCTCTCCCCCCCTCCTCCTCCTCCCCCTTTCCCTTCCCGAGAAACCCCCTCACTCGGGCCCTCTTCCCCCTTTTGCCCAGCGGTAAAAGAGGCGGACGCCGATGAGAGGAGGAGGAGGAGGAGCCGCCGCATCTTGAGGGAGTCGCGGAAGAGATGACAGCAGAGCCGACGAGGTAGATTTTTTTTACCCCCTTCCACACACACACACACACACACACATACCCCCTCCCTCCCTCCCTCCCCGCCATCTCACTCTGACCCTCTTTTCTCCCCCACCCCCCCCGCCCCACCGCCCCACTCACCAACCATCGGGTTTACGCGAGCGAAGGCAAGGGGGAGGCCTGGGCCCGAGGATGGTAAATATAACGCCGCCATTTTCGGCCTTCCTTTCCCGGCTTTTTTTTTGCGTCGGTTTCGAAAAGGAAGGCGGGGGGGAAAGCGGGGGGGGGGCGAGTGGGAGGTTGGGCCCTTGGTATATAAACACCTCCCCAATCCTCTCCTCACTCGGTCGGTGCCCTGGGGCCCAGATTTCGCTTTATACACGTAAAATGGCGACTCCTCTTCTCCCCCCCCCCACCCACTCACCCCGTTAATTTTCGGTGGCGAGAGCCCTCCTCTTTGCCGCGGGTTTCTATAATACGAGGAGAGAGAGAGAGAGAAAAAATGTTTACACGGTAGAATCGTAGAGGGGAGAGGGTCGGGTTAAACTATGCCAAGGATTTTTTTTTGGGTGTCGGGGGGGGCGGCAAGTTTAACATCGCACTTCTGCCCGCAATATGCACAGTCACTACACAACAGTTCGGTTTATATATATATATTTTTTTTTTAAAAAAGCCCGTAGAGCGCTTAAGGAGCGTCCTCTCGAGCCGAAAGGCTGCAGCAAATGAAAGGATTATTATTATTATTATTATTGTTTCAAAAAAATTATGGATGCATTTTCGAGATGGTCATTTGTTTTAATAACGCGATGGTGGAAGGGTTAGGGAAGGGTGGAGATAGAGAGGAGACACCGTTGTTGGTCGGTGTCGTGTCCCCTTTCTCCCTCCCCCCCCCCCGTCGGGGCTGTGCTAGTTAGCGATACGAAGGGCGAACGCTTCTCCCGTCAGAGACTGTTTTGCGAATTCTCCATTTTGAATGCACCGTCGGGTTTCCGCCGCCGTTGCGTAGGTCGCAGCGATTGGATTCGGGGAGATCTGAATGCTGCTCCTTGTGTACGGTCGTTAAACTATGCAACGTTGGCGTTTGGTTAACCCTTTGCTTTACGGAAACTGATGGGGCGAAGGGTCTGCGCGCGCGTTTGTGCGCGCGGGCGCGCGATTTCCATCGCAGTCCTCGCATTCCTTAGCCGTAAAATTTGACAAATCAATGGAATAAATTGAGGTCTGTTTGCATTTCTAAAGTATTGCACCGATCAAAGCAGTCCCATTGCTTTGGGGGTGGGGGGGGAGGGGAAGTGCAACAACATTACATTTGTACACTGCCTTTTACCTCAGGAGGACACCCCAAGGCGCTGGACAGTCAATGTTTCGGACTGCAGCTGGGGGTCAGGATTGGGGAGGGTGAAGGGCAGTGGGGGAAGGAGGGTGACCAAAGCCAAGGTCGAAGAGGAGAGTCTTGAGACGGGTCTTGAAGGTTCGAGGGACTGCGGGATGGAGTTCCAGGAGTTCCAGGAGGCGGGGGACGTGAAGCAGGCCAGAGCCCACTGAGCGGAGGGAGCGGGCAGATTGGTAGGGGGTTAGAAGGTTGCAGAAATACAATATAATAGTTACAACAACAACTTGCATTTATATAGCACTCTTCACACGGGGTAGCATCCCAAAATGCTTCAGCAAGCAACAATCTGGTGGTTTTGAAATGCTGTACTCTGTCCAGCGCCTTGGGATATCACCTCCCGACGTGAAAGGCGCTATACAAATGTAATGTTGTTGTTGTTTTGGAGACATTTGATGTTTAAGAAGTGAAACTATTGTGTTAATAATAATAATAATCCTTGCATTTGATACAGCGCCTTATCACGTCTTTGAAACGTCTCAGAGTGTTTTTGAGTTTCACACCCTGAATGTGATTTGTTGTCTCTGTACAACAAATACAAATCAAACTGGTCTCTTTGAGGCTATGTTCAATGCTTGGTTTATAAATAGTTACACATTGGGTTATTGCAAACCATCTGTGAAATTTGGACGATAATGGGAAATGCTTGTTATGTATGTTTACATTGATTGTAGGAAACATGCAGCAGGATGTTGGACAGTAAATAGTTTGTTTTGACACCAGAACTACAGTGCTGTTTTCTAGTAGATATGAACTGTATCACCCCTAAAAACTGCATACTGTGCTTTGTATATGTAATCATGTAAATGCTTTATTGAATTGTTTCAAGCACTAGCTTCTCTTAGTGATCCTTTGCCCCCACCGTACAATTCATCTAGTTGGTGAGGTTACAGTAAAGTGTATACACATGAATCCCAAACCAATTATTTTTTAAAATTGCCAATTTTCTGCCCACCACTCTGTTCCCAACACTTTTCTGCTGAGGGCATTTGACTATTTTCCTTCTTTTGGGACGTTGGCCTGAACCTTGCCCAAGTAACTACTCATGTGTAAGCTTTGACAGTAAGGGTTGGCGAGTATCATAGCCAAGTCCAGTCCTGACATTTGCACAAGGGCACCTTCTAATAAGAGTTACTGGACAGTAATCAAGAATGCCAAGCCTAGCTTTTTTTCTTTCCTTCCTCCAACCTGGAGTCATGAGACCAATTGACACACCTCATCTGCTTTTCCAAGCTAACTCAGCACACACCGCTTTTCAGGCATAAGAAATTTGAACTTTGTGTTATGTTTGCTATTGGCTTTATATTTCCCCTTCCTAATCCTTTGAGGATATTGAGTGAATATGCTGCTACCTTTTTGTAGAGGTGAATGATTATGAATACTGATAACAGCTAAACATGGGCATTTTAAACTGAAATCTGTCTTTATCTCGCCGATCTAGATATTATCTTCAAATATAGAGTAAAGCCATTTAAACGTGAATCCAGAAGTTTCCTTATACCTAGAATGAGAACATAAAATTAATTGCCATAGATATAGGCTTCAGTTTGCTACACTGGTGTTGATTCTGCTTCATTGTGTAAAATGGGTAGATTCCACAATACTCACACATTGCAGAATTGCTTCAATATATAAGGTCACCCACAGATGCTTGTATGTTGGTTTTTTAAAAAAAATCAATAAGAATTACAGCCTGGACAGGGTTAAAACTTCCCGCCTGTCGACATAAGTGGTAAGAACACAATGTACTTAATGCTGTTAGAGACTTGAAAAATTTGTCGATATAAGCATGGCAAAATTTATGTTGAAGTCAGCGTACTCTAAATTTAATGGGGATTGGCCCGGGTTTTTGTGATAATGGATAGGGTTTGGGTTTTTGAGATAATGGATAATAATAATAATGTATAATATAAATGTAAATGTATATATTTTTTGGAGCTGTATGAATATACGTGAGAGATATTCTAGATATGTAATTCAAGTATTTTTCTGGTTAAGATTAACTTTTGTGGTGGGTTTTTAAAAAAAGTTTCAATATTGATCTCAAGTTCTAATGGAATTAGCTTGTTAATTTTTTTCTTAATGTCTTCACCCTGATTGTTTCTGAACATAAAAATGTTGAAAAAAATTAGATGGGATACATCAACTTGAGAAAGTAGAGACCTAACACTCCTTGATTATTGATAGCAGTCGGCTTATTTTGGCTACATTAATTAAATTACATTTATGCGAATTGGTAGGAAGCGGCACTTGTCTAAAAAGTTTCTCTTTTTTGTCAGCACTCAGCACTCAACTAAAACAGCTCTGGGCTAGCATAACCGTGGTCACTGACCTTAATTTAATCTGGATATTGATTCTGTGATCCAAAGAACAGTGCATCTCTGTTTCACTGTTATGTCTGATGCATTTAGCAAACTGTACGTTAGTGAAATCATGAAGAGAGAGCCTATAAACATAAGTTTATACTGAAGTGAGTTTAAGTTTCCATCATTAAAAATGGGCGTGTAAATCATGCTGAATCTGTCACAGAACTCTTACAGGAAGAAGATGAAAATCTGGATTGGTATATTGTGTCCTATTTCACATTTTGGTAACAGAGACAGAGTCGTAGGTAGAATTGATTGCCAGGCAACTACCATGCGTTTTAGAAGTGGAAGCCAATGTTGTACAGATTTCAGGAGCTGCATCAGCAAATGTGTGTTTTTGATCCCAGCTCTGCTAATGAGAGAAGACACTTGGAGGATGGGGAGCTAATGCAAATCATCAAATCTTGAATACCTACACGCAGCTGACTCGAGCAGCATTAGGAGGTGGGTGTGGAGGTGGTCAGGTGGGCTGTCCCCTCTGCTGTGGATGTTCTCTGGAGATGAAAAATTCTTTGCAAAACAAGAAAATAAATACAATTAAGTTGTCAACTAATTGAAGGACATCAAGTATTATGACTGGAAGTGCAATTTTCGTTCATCTGGGAAGATGTGCTCCATTGTTTGTGTAAGGCACATCAGTGATGGCTGCAGCTCACATTCATCTTAACCAGGTGGTTGCATTAAAATCAGAACCCATTTCTTTAAATCACAGCAAATTATGCATATTATATTTGATTACTGAATGTTTGAATGTCAAGTTTCTGGTAATGATTGCAGTTGAGACTGATATTAGGATTTCCGTATAATTGCAATCCATCCAGTGTAGCATTGAAGGGCTCAGTGCTTTTTTTAAAAATACAATTAAAAAAAAAGGTTCCAATGTCTGTCAGCTTGCTTCACACTCTGTGACAAAACTGTTTTCCCAATATTCCCTTGAAAATTAGTTGAATATTGTTTAGTCAGATGATGCTGGAGCTCCAGCAGATGTGATGAATCTTTGTAAACTGTAACTCTTATTTTACAGTGAAAACAAGCTTAATACATTGGTGCAGAAACTTCATGAGTATCTGGCTCATTCAACAGAACAAGGCGAAGAAGCTCCGGCCTCTCCAAAGCAGCGTCAGAACAAGTTTTTAGGTAAATATTTATGATAGTTGAGAAATGAGTACTTGGAACAAAAAGTTCCGAGATTCCTTAGTTTTTTTTCTTCCCCTTTAACCATACTAGGATAGGGAGGAGAAGAAGACCATCTACGTTGGAAAAGGTCCTTGATGTAATAAGCCTGAAAAACAATCTTTCCAGAGCAGGTAATCTACACATAGGAGATTCTTGATTTTTGTTGGAGGAGAATTATTATAAGAGGAGCGCTGCTTGTGCTCATCGCACATCTCAAGTCCAGCAAATCTCTTCGGGGCCTTCCTCCACCAAGATTCAGTTGGCACCTTTCAATGTTGCTAAAATATCATTTGCTACAAAAAGTACATCCTCCTGTGGCTTTCAGGTTTACAAACCCATAACCATTTATTATCAATGTCACTGTTGGCATTACCTTCTCCCTTGTATTTACACTAATGTACGAATGTCATGCAAGGAGTTCGTTAGCAGTAACAAATGAATGTGATGAAACTACTAGTTACTGTTAACAAACTCCTTGAGTGGATCTGAATGTGTTCTCCAGATATATCCTTTAAGAAGCAAGAACAAGCGTCTTAAAATTAGTGTGTTTTACAGAGTCCAGCTGCTGACAGCTTGGGAGTGTAAAATACTTTTCTGTATGTTTCAGATAAAGAAACTGTTATCAGTGTTGCCGATATGGAGCATAAAAAAGAGGTTAGTGGAAATGATTTTCCTAGTCTATAAAAGGTTGCTTTACTTGCCTAAACTGAAGGAACTTTGTTAAATGGGTGGGGGAAGACGGGGGGACTGACTTATTTTGTGGAGGACGAAGAGTTGAAAATGCTGAGACTTTTTCCTGAGAGTTCTCTGGCAATCCAGCTATATAATCTGAATATAATTTGAACTCAGCATGATCAGAACTGATTTCATTTAAAAGTAAATCCAGAAAATATTTCTTCATGAAAAGGGTTGTGAAAACATGAATGCACTTCCATAGAATTGAAAAATTGGAGAAACTGCAAAGGATTTTGTGTTGAAATATTTAATATAGAGTATTTGGTAAAATCCTGCAAACATAATGCTATTGAAATGGCAATGGTTACCGAATGTTGCATTGACTGCAACTTTCCATCTTCTATATTAAAGTTATGTTAACTTCCCATTCTTAGCTGAATTTACAAAAACGACGTCACCTTGTCCCTCTTTTGGAGTCTGCTATTTTGGAAGTTGGGTTTTGCACTTGTATCTGCTATAATAAGCTTTCAATCCAGTTGACAAAATTAGGGACTCTCAGTGTTCTGTGAGCCACATCATTGATATCTCTGAGAATTCATGGTTCATTGTTTGTTAATTGGAGGAATTGAGCTCTTCCATTAATGACTACTTTGTTAGGGAATTTAGTTATTGGTAACTGGGAACAATTATGTTCTTATGAGGATGAATTATTAGAGTGCGGAAATGCTTTGATATTTAAAATGGAGAAATTGGAGATGTTATATTGGAACATTCTCAATCCTGTTACTTTGGAAATTAAGATGTATTCTGCTAATCAATATTAGTATCAATATTAGTCCTCTCCGTGTGGAATAATGTCTTGAGCATAATTAATTTGTACTGACCTCTGAGATGCAGACTAAACTTTATAACATTCAAATGGTCCTAGAGGTATTTATTTTTAAATCCACATTTGTTCATATTATTTTGTGTCAAAACACTTAAAATCATGAACCATATTTACAGGAGTCCTGTAACTCAGTGGTCACTTCAATCCATAACTGTTTGTGGGACACTGCGGTGCACAATTGGCTGCCGCGTTTTGCCCACAAATATACAGTCAATTCACTTTACAGTCTATTCTGTGAAGCGCTTTGAGACGTCTAGAAGACGTGAAAAAGCACTATAACAAATGCAAGGAATATTATTTATTATTTATTCCTTTTTGTTCAAAGGCCTCCAGTCAAAAATCGAAGTCTTTGGGATCATCCCGCTCAAGAAGGTTAGTATGTTAAGCATATAGTGTCTGTGAACAGCACAGAGTAGAGCTAAGCCAATTTGATTGCATCCATTTGCAAGCTCACCTGTCTTTGTTGCTGTGGGGTAGTGCTTGACACAAATCTGGTGCCTCAACATAGGAAGGACAGGTAGAACTGGAGAAACGGTTTCTGCTGAAGTATTTGGAGTAGATAGTTTTCTGCAGTTTTGTGACATGGCAAGATTGAAGAGAGCTGGGGCGAAGCTGGATACTTATTTCAAAAGTTCTTGTGTATATTATGTACGTTTATTCTCATTATTTTTACTCCCGCTAGTTTGTAATGGATGTTAAATCAAATAATTCCAACAGAGAAAGTATAAAAATATTTCCTCTGGGTTGCTGCCTGTTTACTTACCAACATCTCTGCTACATCACGTTATGTTCCTCTTCAATGCACCATATAATCTAAGCATATTACTTTTCTGCTGTTTTGGCAGTGAAGTGAAATTTCCAGGAGGGAGAAATGAAAATTTAAATAGTACCATGTTAGTGTTCAGACTGTTGGGTCAGGTTTTTGGACAATTGCAGGTTTTAAAATTAGTATAAACAGTAGGAAGGTCTTCCAGCTGACTGGGATTTTCCAGTCTGCGAGAAATAATCTGAAAATATGTGGAAAATATTTTCTGCAAGATGAAAGAATGGATGCCACTTGCTCTTTATCCTACCTACTTTCCTTTTCCCACTTGAATAATATTGACATGTTTAGCCTTTTCAATGGGTCTCAAATAAAGGTTCTCTTTGGAATTTGATGGCTTTGGGGAGGGGTTGATCACTGGTGTGGCTTTTGAGCTGTCCATGGGTGGTGGATTGTTTACTGCATTAACTGCATCTTCTTTAATTCATTAATACTGAGTTTATTCCAAAAAAATGTTTATCTACAATGGAGCTCAATCCTTTCACAGAAGGATGAGCCTTATACCTACAACTACGTATTACTTGCCACGTATTAATTTTTCTAAGACCCAATACTAAAATTGATTTGAAGTAAAGCTATGTCCTAAGCCATTTCAGTCATTTAATTCCTACTCCTTTCTAGCAGTGGTGCCTTGTACCAATATTACAGTTAGCTGAAAATTTTATTTGAATCCTGGTTCCAATCAAGCGTACATTTTGGAAGTAAACTAACAGCAGCGAATCAAGAATTACAGGACTTAATTATAGTCAGCATTTTGTTTTGCTTAATGTTTTCCTTTAACTGATCCAATGTTTGTCAAAGTTATTCCTTCACTGTCATGCTCTAAAAATACTTCAGGATTTCCAAGGTTACAGTATGTGGTTCTATAAAGGAAATGGAAAGCTTTGTTTTTTTCACAAAAAGTAAATAACTAATGAAAACCTTAAATTGGAGGTTGTATGGTTTCCCTCTGTCTTCCTTGTGCACGGTCTGGCATTCAGCTACTAAGCTTCAAGTTCTTCCAGGTTTTGCTTTCTGTTATTGAAGCCTAAGGATGCTAGGTGGCATTGCACCCTGAAGAGAAAAGTGTACAATCAGCAAATTTTCTCCAGGACATCTCTTTATTGAATGCTCCAGATACATGCAGAAGAATGTTCTTTGAGGATCAAGGACCGCTATTCATTATCGTAGGAGAACTTCAGTGCTGGGATACTTTGGCAGCTAATGCGCATCAAGCAGTCTGGTATCTCAAGAGTACAGATCAGGAGTAGTGATGTATTTGACACAAGCTTTATCTCCTCTGCTACACCATTGTACATTTTTTCTTTGTGAGACTGTCCATTTAACAGTAGTTGAACTGGGTTGTAGTTGCTTTAACTCCTTTCTGGTAGTTTGATAACCTAGTGTCGTGCAGCCCTTTTCTACCTCTTTATTTTATTTTGAGAAGTTCAAAATTAAGATTATCTTTTGGGCAACCTGAAACATGTATTTTTGTTTCTCAGCAACTTGAAAGGAAGGACAAATATTGCCATTATTTTCTATCATTACAAGCACTTTGAACTCCAGCCCTGTTTTTGGGAGAATATTTAGTCACAATTACTTGGGAATAATTCCCATCTCCTAAAGCACAGAATGAATGCCTTGGAGTTTTAAAATGTTTTGGGAATCCATAGCTTTTTAGTATCAAAACTAATTCCACTACTGGTCATCTAATTTGGTTAGCTTTGTAGGAAAATGCCATCGCTGAATAAAACACGTAATGCAGAAAGCCTAGCATGGTACTATCGTAATAAATGTATTGAAAGCGGAGATGGAAAGAATTACAAACTTTTAAACCGTCTATATAGTTTGATTTTTGTTTTAATTGTAGGAAACCCTCAGTTGTCACGAAACACGTGTCGGAGGATGAGATCTCGAATGAGAATACTTCAGATTGTGAAAATTCAAAGACTAAAGATACAGAAGATGATTTAGATGTGACTAGTTTGCCAAAAGGTAGATGACAAAGAGCTTTCTTTTTTATGCCTTCTTAAAGGTCGCAATTCATTCTTTCCTTCCATGCTCTGAAAAGAGGGACTTGTGGTAGTTCCAGTTGTAATTATGTGTCAGAATCATGGAAAATAACTTCTAAGGATGAGTTCATAGATCTTCATTCAAATACTTCACATTACTTTTTGGGTTATTAACAAAAATATGGGGAAAGCATATTAAAGCATCAATCTGCTCTGTGGTGGAGTGCTGGAATGTGAGCCCTCATTAATAATTTATCTTTCATTGTTGAGGTTTTGGGCTCAGAAGAGTCACTTGGGTGCCAGGTAGTTTTTCACAGGTGGGGAAGGTCGAGGGGAGAAGGTCGGCTCTGCCTTTCCACAAGTTTTCTCACAACATTCTGCTCATGGCTCAATTCAAGTGGAGCTGATAGGGGTTACTGTGAGGAAATCTGCTGAGGCATTGCAACTTTCCATTTCTTAAAAAAAAAGTAGCATTCTTTTTCTTTTGCCACCTTAAAGATTTGTTTAAATCTTTTTAATGTCTTAATTTTAGGCACAGTAGTTGTACAGCCAGAACCGGTATGGAATGAAGACAAAGATAACTTTCGAGGACCTGAATTTAGAAGCAGAAGTTCAAAGAACAAAATGGAGACCTCGAAGAAGCGTGGAGGTAGGGAAAGTGCACTGCAAGGTTCGAATGTTATTTTTTTCCACAGAATGCTCATTTGCTATTTGTTAATTTTGATTTTTCAAATTTTTTATTTGAGTCCTTGTAGCAAAAGAGATTTGACACAGGCTTGACACAATTTCCTGGGCTGATTTTCTGGTACACAATGAAAGTTGTTTCACAAAGCTTGTGTGCACTGAACCCTCCATATTCCAACTTCAACTTGGAAGTGGTCAAACCTTTTCGGAAAAAAAATACCAAGTAGACTTGGGAGGTAGTCTGTGCCCAACTCTCATTCATTACAAGAAGAACGGTCTTGGGAGTTCTAGTTACACACCACCAACAGGCTTGAATGCTGTGCATTTTTCTTTACCTTAGTTTATTACCAGGGGTATGTCTGCAACAAATTAGCCATAAGCGACTACAAAGTTCAATGGTATCCTTGTAGAACATCAACTTGGCACAACAAAGCGTACTTCTTTTGAATTGACGAAATGCAAAGCCCACCACGATGAGGTTCACTAACTAAATACAAAATATATTGTAGACTGGCATTGGTGCTAAACAAACTTTAATCTTGGGGTTTTACACTGCAAGCATGCAGAATAGTCCATTCCTGGTGCCCTTGGAAGAAGAAACATCTAGCTGTACAAATTGACTGCAAGTTATGGTGATTTACCTCTGACAGGTGGTGTTGCCCAGAAAGCTCGAAAGGTCACTGAGATTTTATTTTACAGGAATCAGGACAAAGGAGCAGCTGAGCCCGATCCTGTCCTCGCCCGACGTCCACCCACATGCACATTCCAGCAGGGTCTCTGGATAGTGATCAGGAAAAGGAAGCTGATCTTTCCCTTCCCTAACCCAGGGGCGCTAAGGCCAATTATAATGCCCCAACTGTTGCCCCAATTAAGTTCAGCTATGGTGCGAAACTGAAACCACCTTTAAGTGCTCTTTACCCACTATACGAGCAAGAAACCTGTGGTGCTGAAATTTTGTTACAGTTTCGTCATTCCAAAGAAAGCGTCTTTGTTATGCACAGTGTTGATTTTCTACATAAATGACATTGGCCTTTCTAAAGGCAACTGTTTTTCTCATGGGAGAGAAAATCTATTAAGGTGAGCAAATTGAGTTGTAGAATACATCTCCTTATGCTATTCCTTTTTGCTGCTCAGATCACAAGGAAAATTGAAGTTCGTTCTACCTATGGTGGAAAGGAAGAGCTTTTCTCTGATATTTTTCCCCTCTGCCAGGCTATTATGCAGAGTAAATTGCATGTTTTCCTGAAGCATTTATTGTTTTCATTACAGTTAGTAGCAGCAATCATTTGAAATCCATTGATGTCCAGGCCGAGTGTTGCATTATAAAACGTGAACTCCAGTATTATTTGCCATATTTGTGTTATCTTGTTGTACATGAAGGCAAAATGAATGATATGTTAAATTTCCTGATATCCTTTCAGTATAATTCAGTTTCCACATACCTAGTTTCTTTCTCCCTGCTCTTTGTTCTTTTCTGACTTAATGCAGTTTAAAGCTTTCCAATGTCTAATGTGATTCCTGTCTCAGGTGAAGGCTGGAGGAGGAACAAAATAAGCATGGTAGAATCTTCCTGACTCGTGTTACTTATTAGTCTCAAATTAATTTACAGAAAGAAGAATGTTTTGGATGCAAAATTGGTTGTTGCAATGACTTGGCTTCTTGCATTGCTTGTAATCCAGATTGCACTGAAAAGAAATTGGCCTAAACTGACCGTTTTCAGAGCCTTGGGACGTCCTCCTGACGTGAAAGGCACTATACAGATGTAATCTTGTTGTTGTTCCTTATTCCAATCCTTGCACCAAACTGATTTTTCTTTAAAATGTGCAGTTTAATACTATGTTCTTACACGATCACTAATTATTGATTTTTTTACTTATCGGAAAAGATGAAAACCTGCATGGAATAGTCAGCTGTACAGCTTGCGGGCAGCAGGTGAACCATTTTCAAAAGGATTCAGTTCAGAGACATCATGCACTCAAAGTTCTCATCTGTAAGGTAAGAGGCATTGTGCTTCGTGACTAGTTGGCTGTGTAAATTAGTTACTGTCGGGAGGAGGGGGGAAACTGTCCTTCCTCTTGGATTGTTATTTTGTGTAGACACGACCCAGTATGAATAAGCAAATGATGAGAGGTCAATTAACTGACAAAAGCGAGTGTCTTCGGCATACTCTGCAAGCGGTTTAGTTCTATTATAAGCTCGATAATGGCTTCCTTTTAATGGCTTAAGTTTGCTGGCACCATTGAGGACATTTCATTCATGACTTGGGTAGTAGTGCAGGGCTGAGGTGTGAAAGTTTTCTTTTGTTTTACAGAACTGCCATAAATATTACCTGAGTGACGACATAAGCCAAGATTCAGATGGTATGGATGAACAATGCAGGTGGGTGTCTCAATCCCTAGGCCTCCTCGGTTTACTTGTGCTAACTTAACTAGATGCTGCTTTCTTAAACTGGATTTATGCTGGCCCCTAAGATCTCAGCCTTCGAGGCTCTGATAGAAGTACAATTATGAGTACAAGAACTAATCACAATGACTGCATTCCTGGGAAATAAACTTTGTTTGTTTCGCCCACAAAATACACAGCCAATTCACTTTACAGTATATTTTGTGAAGTGCTTTGAGCCACCTCGAAGACGTGATAAGGTGCTATATCAAATGCAAGGATTATTATTATTCATATTTGTTTTTTGTCTTACAGGTGGTGTGCTGAAGGTGGAAATTTGATTTGTTGTGATTTTTGCCACAATGCATTCTGCAAAAGCTGCATCTTGCGGAACCTAGGCAGGAAGGAGCTGTCCAATATAATGGATGAAAACAAAAAGTGGTACTGCTATGTGTGCAATCCAGAGCCTTTATTGGATTTGGTTACAGCTTGTGATAGTGTGTTTGAGTGTCTTGATCAATTGTGGCAGCAAAACAAAAAGAAGAAAGATCTTGATAAACTGAAACCAGACGGTGATAAATGTAAATCTCCGGGACCGCATGATAGTGACAAGTCTGCAGATCTTGAATATAAAAATTCTCGGAAAGGAGATTCCACATCAAATTGCAATGGACAGAAAAAAAATTTGGGTTCATTAAAAAACACCTTGTCGGGATCTGGAGCAATTACATACTCGTACAAGGCGCTGAAAGTGCCGAAAGAAATTCTGAAGAAGGCCCGTAAGCTGATTGATACTTCTGCCAACTTGAATGTCAGTTTTGTTAACTTTTTAAAGCAACAGGAGTTAAATGAGACTGAGACTAGCACGAAGATGAGACAGCTAAAGGCTTTCAAGTCTGTGCTTGGTGATTTAAAGAAAGTCCATCTGGCGCTAGAGGAAGCTGTGGATGTTGAGATTCAGGACTTTGAATTGCAACAGAATAAGAAACCGGAGCAGTCGTTGCGAGAGAGTATTAAAAAAACTGAAATCGAGAATTCTAATAACAGTAGTGATGAATCTCCTGAAGACGGAGTTCCAGAGAACTCAATGGAACCTGCATCTGATCAGATGGATGCTGTTTCAGCTAATGAAGGGCAACAGAAAGTGTTGTCCGAGCAGGTTGATAAGTTATTGGACTCAAAAATGCTGGAAGAGGCAGATGCAGAGGATTTGCAGGAAATTTCAGCAGAGCATGAATCTGATCAGATGGATGTGTCCACTGTTTCTGAAACACCAGGGAAAACTGAAGACCAACAGAAAAGATCGCCTAAGCAGTTTGATAAATTAAAGCTGGATTCAAAACTGATTGCTGCAAATTCGGACAGTCCATTAGATCAGCTGTTGGACAACAGGGAAGAAACTGATGCTGTTTGTGAAATTTCACCTCTGGGACTAGATTCTGAAATGACAGAAGCAGTATTACTTAATACTTTAGATGTAGCCATGGACATGGGTTCAGTTTCTTCGTTGACTGAAGGCTTGTTTGAAGCAAGTGACTCTTTGCTACCAGATCTCGATGCAGCCGATAATTCTGCAAGCAACAGCACTGTACCCGATGCTACATCAGCTAAGGTACCTGTTGAAAGTCCAAATCATTCTGGAAGATCTTCAGAAATTGATTCTGATTCCAGTTTAAGAACCCATCCTAAGATAAACCATAAGCTTTTTATAAAATTAACTCCGATTTCCCCTAAAACCTGCAAGAAAGTGTTAGGGAAGAAAACCTCTGCCACCAAGAGTAAATGGAGTGGTGCTAAAAGAGATACAAGAATTGGAGATGACAAAAATGGTAAGACAGGGGTTGGAGATGGCAACGTTAGTGATAATGCAAAAGTTGGAGGTGCAAGGGATGTGGATGGCAGCAATGCCAGTGATGAAGGAGTGGGTGATGGCAGTGATGCAGAAGTCGGAGATAGCAGTGTGGCTGGGGGTGGCAGTATTAGTGATGTGGAGCTTGGAGACGGCAGTGTTGGTGGTGTTGGAGAGGACGGTATAGGCGGTGGTGGCGTTAACATTGGAGAGGACAGTGTTGCGGGCGAGGCCAGTGGTGAGGGCAGCTATGCTGGCGAGGGTGAGGGCAGTGTTGAGGGTGAGGGCAGTGCAGCTGCCGAGGGCAGTGCTGAGGGTGAGGGCAGTGTCGCTGGAGATGGCAGTGTCGCTGGACTTGGCAGTGTCGCTGGAGATGGCAGTGTCGCTGGAGATGGCAGTGTCGCTGGAGATGGCAGTGTCGCTGGAGATGGCAGTGTCGCTGGAGATGGCAGTGTCGCTGGAGATGGCAGTGTCGCTGGAGATGGCAGTGAGGTTGGCGAGGGCAGTGTTGAGGGCGAGGGCAGTGCCATTGCCGAGGGTAAAGGCAGTGTTCAGGGTGAAGGCAGCGTGGTTGGTGATGGCAGTGTTGTCGGTAGTCTGGTCAGTGACGGAGAGGTTGCTGATGCCAGTACTGATGGTGATACAGGAGTTGGAGATGGAGAAGCTGAAGATGGCAGTACTGATAGGGATGCAGCAGTTGGTGACGTTAGTAACGGGAGTGATGCAGGAGTTGGCAGTGATGGGGACAAGGAGGATGGTGATGCAGCTAGCAATTGTGACGGGAGCGGAGAGGCTGATAATGTTGAGGATGGCTTGACGAAAGAAACACGAAAAGGTAGAACTCAAAAGGGCAAAGTGAAAATCTCCAAAAAGAAAAAAAAATCGAGCAAAGAACGAGTAACTGGAGAAGAAGATCCTGAAAATGACGCTGGAAATGATGCTTCAGTTCTATCCGAGAAGGCTGATGTTAGAAGGTCACCTCGAATAAAAACTACACCTCTAAGGCGTCAAGGTGGTGCAGGAATTGTAAGTTCTAGATATGAAGAAGACACTGACCACAGTAACCATGCTGGTGTTGGTAAAAAGTCTAGGAAAGTGACAAGGCAATCTAAGGACAAAGAAAAAGTGGACACTTCAGGGAAAGCGAGGACCAAACGAACCAGGGAATCCAGTAAAAATGCAAAATCTGAAATGGAAGGATCTGATTCTGATAAAACGGGCAAGATGTATAAACCCGCTGAGGAAACTACCACCGACTCTGATGAGGTCCCGGAAGTATTGAAAAAGGCCGGAGTGAAGAGCGAAAGTTCATCCGATGATGAAGATTCGGCCCAGAAAACAATTAGAAAAACCAGCCTGTTTGGCCTGAGAAAACGACTGCAACAGGCAAGTAGCAACGAGACGCAGAAACGCAAGCGGAAGACCTCATCTTCGAGCTCGGATATTAGTGGGAAGGAGAGGAAAAGAACCAGCAAAAGGATCAGTGTCGCGAGCAAAAAAAGGCAGCGTTGCTCGGACTCTTCCAATTACGACTCTGAGCTGGAGAAAGAGATCAAGAACTTGAGCAAAGTCAGTGCAGCGAAGAAATCCTCCTCAAAGAAAGGCAAAAAACGGGTGGCGGAAGAGGATGCAGATAGTTCATCCAAGGATGAAGAGAAAGTGAAAAAGAAAAAGTCTCACAAAGAAAAGATGGCCATATCGAAGCGCAAGAAAATAGCTGCGAAAAAGGAACAGAGCTCTTCATCGCCGCCATCTTCGTCAGGCGGAGACGAGGAAGCTGATGAGGACAATCAAGATTTGGCTGGAGATGAAAGCAATGATGAACAAAAGATCCAGCCCATCACAGAGAACGTCATGATTGCCTCAGGATCAAAGTTTTGCCAGTCTTCAGGTGGGTGTGTTTGTATTCTAGGAGAAAATTGCGGCCTAAGAAAAGGCTAAATTTGTAGACTAATAACTGGAATTTAATTTTTTTCTTTACAGGGGATGAAGTGGAGGGCCAATCTCAAAATGTCACTCATTGTGCCAGTGATGAATATGATGATGATCCTGAGAATAGGTAATAATTGCCACAGTCTGGTCTTTAATAATGATAATAATACTTGCATTTGATATAGCGCCTTATCACATCTTTAAGACGTCTCAAAGCACTTCACAGAATATACTGTAAAGTGAATTGACTATACATTTGGTGGGCAAAACAAAGTGCAAAGTAAACCTTACAAAGTAAACTCCCATTCATAGCTTGTATTTTGCACTTTTTACAGAGACATACTCATTTGGTGCTAATATTGAACCATTTTAAGCTTTAATGTACTTGATCTTATGTATTTAAGTGGTTGCAAACATTTTTTTGAATCTTTGCAATTTATGCAATAAACAAATTTTCATTGAAACTTAGTTCTATTTGAAAGTTGATATGGAATTTTAACTATGTCAAGTGCTCGTCTCTAAATTTAGTCAGTCATAGTGTGCAGTCCTCCCCATAGTTTCACTGCATTGATTCTTCTTTTGTTTTCTGCCTGGGATCTAAATAAATATGCTACATAAAGACAACACTTCTAGGCTCAAGCTGGGGTGTGCTTAAAGAATGATGGTAGATACCTATTCCTATAACTGTTTGACTGGAAGTAATTGCTAGTGGGAGACTGCTTCACCATGCTTCATTTTGTTCATAGAATTGGGAGTTGAGATGGCAGCACCCCTCCTAGTTTGTGACCTTTATTTTCTTCAGTCTTCATTTTCTTTCAGATTCTATCTCACTGTGGCAATTTCCTCTGTATTTGATTTTCATGGATTTATTTTCACTATCTGGATAATTGCCAAATCTATCTTGAACCTGAAGGGTTGTTTTCTGGAACCTTCTTTCTCTTGTCAGTACTCCTTCATAGTACAAAATGCATTTTCAGCAATACAAACAAAACTAATCCCCAATATTAGAGATGAGTTATTAAGAACAACTGGATATGTTCTTATGTGTTAGGGCTTGTCATCTTTAAAAAGGAACACCTCAGAGGGAACATTTTAAATCAACTATATTGCACATCTGAGGAAACTCAGTCATGCTTGAACATCTGCCTGCAATCTGATATACTATCCAATTGTTTATATGGTAAATATGAGGCCTAAGTGGTGAGTGGTGACAGATTACTCACCTGATAGGGAATTACAGTTGAGTCTGATTCCATCAGCTGATATTGGAATTTAGGAATATACAGGACCAGAAAAGAGTCTTGTTACAGTTGTGCTCGTCAGTCAAGCTACAGGAATTGTTCTTCAGATCATTTTCCGCTTATAAATAATGGGCAGTATTCTATTGTATGTGGAGCATGGCCTACAGTTAAATGGTAAAGACCATACATAACATTCTGGATTATTTATGGTCTTTTTGTTTTTTCAAAAACTGAATATACAGGAAAGGTGAGCATTTTCATAACAGCTTAAATGTTTTTTTTTTGCAAAAGTCTTCAAGGACTAGTTGCGACTGCTACCTAAGCTGGCTGAGCAGCTTTCTCTTTTCCTCCCACCACCTCCTATGTAGAGCACTTTCGTGTTGTATTTACTTTCTGTTACGCCATTTGCCTTGTCACATAATTTTAATTCTTTTAAGAGGAATGGGCTTGATATGCCTGTAGCTTGATCCACCAAGATGTTGTGCTGGTGCCATAGAAATTGCCCCCCCCCACACACACACACAAACACACTCCCTCTTTTTTATATTATATATAGTATATAAAAAATCTGGCATTTGTCTACTGTAAATCTACTTGCATCTGTGTTCCATGATTTTTTTGATCATTAAATTGTTGGAACCAAAATTCACTGGATTTTCTTTATATAACTCACGCAGCAAACTCACAGAGCGCAGGCTGCCAATAATCCTGGTGTTCCCACAATGCACTGCCGGAGGAAGAGCAATCTTTTCCAAATTACTGCACGTTTTTCATTTCCTCGCAACCGATGTAAAAAAAATTATACTTGCAAGCGATTTACTGAAATGATAGTTACTTTTTTTCTTCTCTTCCCTCCCCCCCCCCAAAAAAAAATTGCAGAACACTTCTTAACATCCCACCAAATCGCATCCCTCTGAAACAGCCACCCCACCATCGCGGCATCAAGCTGCTTTTTAAATGAGTCCTTGTGTCCCGGCCTCAACCGCCTTTCCTGGCAACCTGTTCTGGTTGTTGATTACCTTCTGCGTAACAAAACACATCCTGAAATTGTCCTTTAGTACTCTAAACCTTTTAATGTCCTCTCGTTCTGCCGAATTGATACATCCTAAAACAATGCTCTGAATTTACTTTTTCAATCCTATTTAAAATTTTGTAAACCTCTTTCATTCGTCTTCTCCCAAGACTGAAGAGCCCAGCCTGTCTTATCATTACTCACAGCTCATTTCCTTTTAACACTGTGGTTCATCCTCATTGCTCTCCTCTGCACCGCCGCTGGGGCCCTTTTGTTCCAGTGAGCAGGACTCTATGCAGTATTCAAGATATAGGCTAACCAGAGCACTATTCAGCATAAGTATTATGTCTGTGGAGTCTAAACTTGACTGATTGACCAGTGTACCCCAGCATCCTATTTGCCTTGTTTAAATGCTGCCTCACACTGTTTAGACATAGTGAGCAACGAGACAGCTAACACTCCCAGATCTTTTGGCTTCCCCCTTGACAAGTTCAGTCCCATCCGTGGAGTAATAATAATAATCCTTGCATTTGGTATAGAGCCTTATCACATCTTTGAGATGTCTCAAAGCGCTTCACAGAATATACTGTAATTTTAGAGTACTTGTATTTCTCTTAAATATCCTAACAGGAAATGCTTGCTCTCACGCACAACAAAATGATTTTCAAAAACTAGATGTGGTGCAGTTTTGGCATAGCAGTAAATTCATTGTATTCTGTACTTAGAAAAAGTTGAGGAAAGTATTATTTGTTCACAAAAAGGACAAAAACTACTTGTTAAAAATAGTTTTAACTATTCTAGTGATTGTTTGTATTAATATTCAAATTGGTTATTTTGTTTTTGACAGAATTGCCAAAAAGATGTTGTTAGCAGAAATAAGTGCAAATCTATCATCCGGTCAAGATGGTTCCTCCGACGAGGAATCTGAAGAAGAAAAGAAGAAGTCGGACAGAAAAAAAGAGGACAATGAAAATGGTGAGGGAAAGGCTACGAGTAAAATCCACAAACTAGAAAATGTTTTCAATTAGAGAAATGTAGATCCAGTGCATACCTTCAGTTAAGTTTATTAGACACGTGTATAATTAATTAATTTGCCTTTCACATTGCTCCAGCAAGTGCAGTGAGTTACAGTGAGAGTTGTGCGCCCTTTCTGCATTTGGTTAACAGAACCAGGATTGTATTTTGGTTAATTTTAAGTACTTTGGTTAATTTGCAAATGTTCCTCATTTGGCAGTGGGCTTCAGATTGAGTTTCGAGCAACAAAACACCACTAAATTATAATAGAGGCCTGTATGAAAGGAATCGAGAGAGATTTCCAAGAATTTCTCTTTCTCTCGCTCCCCCCACTGCAAAGTATGTCATTTGTAGAATCATCTGGGTTGGTGGCATATCGACTGGGATCCACCACAATTGAGATCTATCTCAATTGTTGCCTGATGTTCACAAATACAGTTCTTTCCAGCAGAGGTCACTCGATCGCAATCGAGCAGCGTCCCCGGCTGTGCTGATCCACTGAACCAGTGGGGGAGCTCTAGGATTGCGCATAGGCTAACTTGCTGACTTCCAATGAAGGATGATCTTCGTTGAGAGCTGCTCAAGATCAGTTTGTTGTAAATGAAGGATGAGGGTACAGAAAAAATGTAAAGGTATTTTGCTATCTTTGGCAAATTACTTAAAGCAAAGATAAATGTGGTTTGATAGATGTGTGCGTAATAATGCAATGCTGTCGTGTCTACTCAGAAAACTTTGTTTAAAAACTGTTAGTTAAAACCGATTACCTGGCACCAAATAGTTCATTTGTTCAAAAGTATGCCTTTTTTTTTTTCTTGGAGTCAGTGTTGGCCAGAAGTAAAGTATACTTTAATGCTTAAGAATTAAAGTGTTAGCTTTCCTCAACTCTGCAGCAAACGTTGACTTGTACTGGGCTAATGTTTCATCGGTGGCAGCAGCCCACCAACTTTTTACTGGTAGATTCTAGTAAACTTAATTCTTCATTTACTAATGATGTTCCAGTTTCTAATTTGTTGGAGGTATTCATCTGTTTTCCTAAGAACACGTGAACAAGCACTAGAGTTGATTTCAGTTGCTGACCATTAAAGCCCTGCAGTACTGTATTTTGATTGTTTGTGTGAATTTGGCTCTCCTAAACGATCAGTGTTGTGACATGAAACCCCTTTTCCACTTGTGTTGCTGCCAGGGAAGGTGTAGCACAGTCAGATACAGGACAAAACGTCTTGCTGTTGCTGTTGATAGTTTTTTCCTAACTTTGTGTGTCTGTTTTTATGCTGCAATTTTCTTGTGTGATTATTTGTTGAGGGGACAGTTTGGAACTGTTTGAACTGGGGTACTCAAAGCTAGAACAGAAGAGCCAGATGGTATCAGCGTTGGTTTAATTTCATCCTCTACAAAAGGAATATTAATTTTTTCAAATAATTAAGCACATCATTGGCTTGAGGTGCAAAATAGACATCTTACGAAGCAGTGACTATAGTTTCAGTTTTGTGGCAAGTCACCTCACACCCCTTAAAAATTTAATCCAAATAATTAACTGTGGTGATTGTTGTAATCAAAGTAAATATTTGTTTTTAAAACTAGATGAAGAAGACGAGGAAGCTGAGGCTGATTCTGATTCTGATTCGGACTTTGAAATGACCAAGAAACCACGCTACAGGCATCGATTACTGAGGCACAAGCTCACAATGAGCGACGGTGAATCTGGAAATGAAAAGAAGGGAACCAAAGCCAAAGAAGGAAACAAAGAAGGCACCCGAAAGACCAGGCGAAAAGGTACATGGCCTTTGTATTTGTACAGCTGACTGTTGAATTCAGGAGTAAAGTATGCAGAAAATTTAATTAATTTGATCTTTAGTCCAAAAATGTTAACTCTTATTGCTGTCTGATCAACTGAAACCGTGGAGAAAAAAACATGATAAATAGCTCACAAAGTATATCCATTTTATTATTTCTATCTTGATCACGTCATCAATTCTAACCCAGCATGTAGTGTTGCCTTTGTGTTTCAGTTGTACCTCCATTTTATAAATATGAATTCATTACCCACTCATTTCATTTTTCCTTATATTTTCAGATAGTAGCAATGAAGATACTACTGATCAGGAGAGTGATTCTGATTTCAAGGAAACTGGATCAAGTGAGGAGGAGGAGGAGGAGGAGGAGGAAAGTGAGTCTGATGGTAAACGAAAGCGGCCAAGAACCAGGTACATGAATGGGTCCTTTACCCAAATGCGCACATTGCATTTGCTTTGTGTAGTAATTGCGAATGTTTTGTTTGTGCTTGAAACTCATTACTGTATGTGGAAAACATCATTACTGAAATGTGTGGAAGTACAGAGCATTTTTGCTATTGTGCAGTGCTTTTTTTTGAGAAATCCTAGTTGAAGAACTTGTCTGTAGTGCAGGTCAACACAGGAAAAGGGATAGATGTATCAAAGTATGGTGGTTCCCGATGTCAAGCTTGAATCTTGAGGGTCTGTAAAAGGAAGGGAACACTGAGGAAGACTTGGAATTCCAGACTTGAGATCCTAGATGGGGATAAGTTAGTGAATCTGAGTGTTGATTTCAACACAGTAATTAACCCTGTGGGGAGAAGTAAATATACTCAGAACTGTATTTAAAACTCAGGAAGAACGAAGAAAGGAAGTTTAAAGGACCTAAAAGAATAGCTGTAGTCATGAAATTGAGAGTGGTAGGATAGACTAAGGATGAAATGAGGATCACCTTTACTTGAGCGTATCTGTTCAAAAACTACTTCTACCTAGGAGAGTGAGGGAGGTGCTGGAGAAACATCTCAGGAAGACGTTCAGGAAGAATTGCTGCCCCCAATTGGTTCACTCCCTATCCCAGAAGACCTGCTCCAGGTGTTTTTTAATGCCAAACTTGGGTTAAGAGGCATTTGGCTTAGTGCAGCAGGCCATCAGAATTGGAGAGAGCTGGCAAAGAAATTTCAAAGTAAGGAAGCTGTGGTTTGTTTAAGTAGGTTAATGAAGCAGATAGCCCAAGTGTGAACAGGCCTCATTTTGAGCTAACAGGCAATTGCCTAATTTACATTCATTTGTAGAGCTTCGAAGAAAGAGGCGGAGGAAAATCAGCGTAGCTATCTTCAGAAAAAGAAAAGGAGGCGAATTAAAGTCCAGGACTCCTCAAGTGACAAGGTACAGTCTCTGACAACATCAAAATTTCAATCAGTTGCAATCTGAATTGACTGAAAAATTAACCAATTTAATGTTTTATAAATATAACTGTTCAATTATGTTAAATTGTGTAAAATGAACGGGAGTTGATGAATTTGCTTTTGTTGGAACAGAGCAAATCTAATGAAAGTGGTGATGGAGGTGATGATGAAGATGACAATGATGACTCCAAATCTCCCGGAAAAGGTCGGAAGAAGATTCGGAAGATTCTGAAGAATGACAAGTTGAGAACCGAAACTAAGAATGCCTTGAAAGAAGAGGAAGACAGAAGGAAACGTATTGCTGATAGAGAAAAAGAAAGAGAAACGTTGAGAGAGGTAACATTGCTTTTGTTTTATTTCTTTAAAAAAAATTGGCTTGACATAATGTTGTAAGATTCTGTAAAAGGGGAGGGATTTTCATAATCATTGTTTTTGATAGAGCGCCTCAACAAGATCAGTTTTATCAGGGATTTTGTTGGCCCTGAACACTGAGAGAAACTCCTTCGCAGAATTAATTATAGAAAGATACCACATGTGATCATTGCATTTATGCAATGATAATGTAGATTGTGGCGAGTTACTTCACAATGGGCCATCTGCTTCCGATAATAAAGGCTTCTGAATGACTGTTAGAAATTTAAATATCCCTTTCCTGTGTAATGCTGAATTGTACTTTCAGATTTCAGTATTAACTTAAATCCCATCACCATTAATTGCAGAGAAGAGCAAGAGTGAACTTTGAGCAGCTCTCAACTCCCGAGTAGCAAAGTTGCATTGTTAGTTCTGTAATTAGTAGTAGATAGAGGATACTGCTGTCTGAGGTGCATTTTCTGAAGTCCTTGCCAATACTCTTACCCGATAAAAGGAACTCTTCAGCAAAAACGGATAATTCATTTGCAGATTTTGAAACACAGTAGTCATGAGATTCTTCTTGGGTTGGGAGAATCACATTGGTAACAAAAATATTAAATAGCTTTAACCCTTCCATTTTAAGGTCAAGGTTTCAGTTGAGCAGCTTGATTCTCACAAAAACAGTTTTATTACATACGAAAAGGATATACTTTGGATTGTCTGGTTATAATTGAGATTCTTGATACTTAGCCCCTTACTCAACAGGATGAGGTTTTAGTAAAAATCATCCTTGCTTTGTTTACCAAGTGATGATTGGATAATGTGCTAGGACTGACTAATGCGGCTTTTGTTTTGTAGCACTAGTACTTAAAACAGATAGGTATCAGCCGAATACTGATTTCCTTTCCTAGACATGCTTATAAAATTCTACCCAGGCATTTCAGCTTGTTTTTATATATCCAGATCAGTTTGTCTTTATCAAAAGTGTTTTGCTGGGAAATTTTAAATTCATGTTTCAAAACACCACGTTGAACCCACTTTATTCTTTACCTCTTATCTTAATCACAACTGTCCAGATCTTGAGAATTCTGAGCTTAGATTGCCCAGCCCAGCAGAAATGTCTTCAAATGGAAGCTTTTCTTTCAAGAGGCATTTCTTCCTCCAAAATGGATGGTAGGAACTGGGCTACTCAGAAGGCAAGAAGAAAAGGTGTTGACCTCTTAAATAAGAAAGAAATGTTGTAATGGTTATATTGAAGGAGCAAAAGTAGTGAAGTTAAATCGGAATGGGAGAGAAAAGTTTATTTCAGCATTGAGCTGAAAACGTTTTTAAAATTAAAGAAGCCAATCCAGAAGAGTCCTTTAGAGTGCTGGCAGTCGTATTGGGGCAGTTTTTAATTTTATTTTTCCCCACCTACCATTGACAATATGCGAGGTAGCCATACACCTAAATGAACATTGTGCAATAAGCTATCGTTTCATGGCTTTCTAATTTCTCCTCAGATCTCCCCATCTGCTATATTTTGATGTTTCAATCTTTGATTTTTTTTTATATATCAACTCTTGGGTTCCCGAGGGCTCTGTTCTCTCCTGCTTTGTTCTTTCCCAATCAATGATCTCATCAAACCTATTTCCAATCAACATTCATCAACTTCCTTCACATAACAAGCCTTGAGTATATCCAATCTTCATTCCTTTCAGTGTAATAGCTGAATAACTAAACTTTGATCTGCCCCATTCCCTTTGATGAGGCAATGGATTTTTTTTAAATTCTTCAAAAATTTAATTTCTTTGTCTCTTGCAACTCCATCCAACAGCTACCACCTTTTGGCTTCACTCTTAGTCTTCATTCATCTACTAATATTCTTGGCATCATTATTCTGATTGCTAAAGCTTCCTCCATGAAAGCAGGAAGCTTTATGCCAACCATTTATTTTCTCTCAAAAGAACTTTGCAAAGTCAAAGTGTGTCCAAGATTTCTATGCTGTTCCCATATATCGTGGGGTGGGGGAGCTCTTCTCGTCCCTTGAAACACTCTTGTGTAGATTGCAATTGTGTCTCGTTCTCTCTGGCAGCCTTGTCTGAATTGAATTGGAGGCTGTGTGCCCAACGACCTGAAGTTTCTCCTTTACTTGGTTTGACTTGACCATACGTATACAATATTCAGCTCATGCCTTATTCATTCACAGAAAATCCATCATCTATGATACTTAAATAAAACTTCAAATTTTATTATTTCACTTTGCTAGGTTGTTGTGGTAGGAGATACTTCCCCAGTGAAATGTCCAATCACCACTAAACTGGTTCTGGAAGAAGATAAGGAGACCAAAGAATGTGTGGTCCAGGTCCATAGAAATTTGGTGAGAAAACTGAAGCCCCATCAAGTTGATGGTAAGCATTGATGCATTCGTTAAGTTGTCTATCTTGGATATCCCTGAACCATAAACGCCCAAGGTGGCTTACACATATTGACAATTGGAGCAAAAATCCAACCAAATATATGTTCCTTTTTGGCTTAAGTAAGTGGAAGGATAAAGAAGAGAACAACTATTATTAAGCTGTTCCAGGGCAATGAACACAATTACAAGTAATCTTCATCACTCGATACTTAAATCGCACATTTATGTGCCTGCAATTAAATGGAAGTACTCCTTCATTTGTACTGGTTTCTATGCTGTAAACACAAACACTGGCATCAAAGTGAGTAACTGATCAGAACATAGAAAGTTTCAAACGCTTGCTGAAAGCAGGGGTATTCTCAATCTGCATTTTTCGCGTTGGTGCTATTGTTCTCTCACTGATACACTGACCTTTTTTTTCCCCAAAAAATAAATACCCCCAGAAAGGATTTCTAACCTCCATAAAATCGACCGTTCTCTACAGTCAGGGTTTTTATTTAGAATTGTTCTACTTTTAGCTGAACAATGGGAATGTAATGTATTGCTGTTTGGAATTCACTTGAAGCAGCCTGACCATATAAACTGTATAGTCTAAAGAGAATGCTAGTTCTTTAAGGATATCCTGCTTCTTTCAGTGACACTATTGTGGAGAAGTTGAAAATTGACTATTTCAGTAATATCCCGCAGCATTATTTCCATTACTATGCGCTTGTGGATTCTGTTTGTTACAGGTTATGAAACCTCATTAATTCCCATTATTATATATTTTTTAAAAATCTCATGCCAACAGCAAGCTACAGTGATGCTGTTTTCATTTGGGATTATGTACCCTAGTTTTGCTGAGTTTGAAATTGTGTTCCGTCTGTGCAGGTGTCCAATTCATGTGGGATTGCTGCTGTGAATCGGTGGAAAAATCGTTAAAAGAAGAAGGATCTGGGTGCATTTTGGCACATTGCATGGGTCTTGGCAAAACACTGCAGGTAAGTGTCTAGCCCAAGAAAGCTTAAACTTGGACAAAGGCGATATTATATGTCAACTTTCAACTTTTTTTTAAACTGCCTTTGAACTCCTCGTGACAGTAGAAAAGTCATAAGAATGATGATGCGAACCAACTTTTTAATTAAATCCTTGGGCATCCAGCTCTGAGTGTCTTAAGCAGAATTATCAAACAGTCTTGGTTTCATATAACACAAAAATCCCATCCATCTAACAAACTTGTTGCATTGAATTTTTAGCTTTGTTCTTTCTGGCAGTTGTAGGGCTTAATGTACTTGATTTGAACAATGCAGTGTATTTGATTACATAATTGCATTGTAATTATTGCCTGTTCAAATTCTTAAAACTAAAACTTATGATTTTAGCTTGCAATTGTCAGAGATAGTTACTAAATGAAATAATTAGAGTGAACATTAAACACACATTATTTTAACATGCAGCCAATTGTTCTTTTTTTTGCATTTGATGGGTGGTATTAGAAATTCTTTAGAGACTGACAATATTGAAAATTACTAGTGATTTATTTGCAGAAATAATGCTCCTGAATTATTGCCAGAATAATTTGGAAAGCAAATTGGAAGTGAAGCCAATCTTTTGTTCTAGTTTTTGTGTACAGTATTTAGAATAATTTCCTGACCAAAAATATACTTAGGATTAATCACTGAAATGTATTGACCGGTTCGGTTCTAATATAGGTTTCACTTTGGTTATAGGTGGTGACCTTCTTGCACACCATGTTGTTATCTGAGAAGCTAGACTTCACCAATGCTTTAATAGTTTGTCCACTGAACACAGTTCTGAATTGGGTGAATGAATTTTCAAAATGGCAGGAAGGATTGGACGACGATGAATCTCTGGAGGTATTGTAAACCTTTCCGGCCATTTGTGGTTTGGAGCTTTTGAGATTTCTTGTTTAGTGGTGTATAGATCAGAGATCAATTTGTGATAGGTAGTTATGTGCTCTGACACTTAAAATGTTTGACATCCTGTTAGGACAAGGATTAAGATTATGTTCTTGTTACTGATGATTTTTTGTAGCCTCCAGCAACAGCACTCTCAATGTGTCTGATCTTGTCCTGGGACTCATTATGCTCTTTAACCCTTTCCTGCCCCGTGCTTTATTTTAAGCCGTTTTCCCGGTTCCTGTGATGTGTGGTGAATGGAGTGGCACCTCTTAGTCACTGCTAGCATAAAATCAGTCAAAACTGAACCAAGTAGGTACAAATAATGATGTAAAGTTGAATTTGCTGGGCAACTGGTTATAAAAACTACAGAACACATGTGACTGTTGCAAATTGTATGTGGCCTCTTCAGGGAATCCTCTCCTGCTGTTTTCAGCTGTTCAGCGGGAGAGGGATGCAGTGTATTTTTTTTTTAAAAAAAAGCCCACGCCTCTGGTTTGAGCTCCTTGGCCGTTTTGTAAAATTATTGAGCCAAATTTACAGATTCCCTATAATTTGGTGCAGCTGTTTTAACAAAGTTCATTTTTTCTTCAAATTGTTAATTTTGGATGCTTTAACTTTTCACATTTCCTTTTATCTCAGAATTCTGAAAGGCTTTAGTACCTGATTATTAGGGTAGACAGGAAAAGCAATTTGACTGTACTGCAGGGAACTTCTGTTGGAGTAACCAGGCTACTTGTTAAATAGCTTAAAGTTACATTAAACAAAAAGCAGATGTGTAAATGTGCATCAGATTGTTGTGAGTAATGGACAGACAGAAATTCAATAAATTGAGTTGTTCTACCCCTACATTTAAGGACAAAGAGTGAAATATCCTTTTTTTTTTTTGCCTATGGGGATTTTTATGGGTTCTAGAATGTGTTGATGTGTGGAGGTATGAGAAGCAAAACCTTTCAGAACTATTAATTTGTGCAAAAGAGAAATAGTACTTTAATGGTATATTTCTGGGTTGTCAGGTTGCCGCGTATGTTGCTATGCCCCACAAACTTTGCTTCGATGCGTTGCACATGTTCACTGTGTAGAAGAAGTGCTTCCTTTCGTTTGACATCAGCTGTGCAGAGTGTTTATGCGCAGCACGTAGTGAGCAACATTTATGATGTTTCCTGCACAGAAAATGACATCAGTGACGATCTGATGACTCAGATGCCAGCCATTTTTAGTGCGGGAAGCTGGTCAGTTAGCAGCCATAGCTGGATGTACGGCAGCTTTGGTTAGCACGGGTCAACAAGTCACCGTAAGCGCAACTCTACCAGGGAGTTTTGTCATGAAGTTGCCCTCTATTCTCTCGCCACCTAATTTATCCCAAACTTCTATCATTAATTGTCTACTTATTTCATTGTTATGTTGCGACATTGCTGGCACAGCTACATGTGCATCTATAACAACATTCAATTTATCTCCCAGCAGTTTTATTTTAGTGTTTTGATATGTTTTTTTACATGATAGGTACCGTATAATATACAGTCAATTCATTTTACAGTATATGCAGTGAAGCACTTTGAGATGTCTTGAAGATGTGATAAGGCGCTATGTCAAATGCAAGAATTATTACTATATCATTTGTAAGTTTTTATTATTTGAAGAGTGAAGAAGAGTCCTACTGATTTAAAAAAAAATACTTTTCCCGGTACTAACATCTCTTCTCTTGAACACAACAAGCATTGTCAACAAAAGCGATGTGTGAAGCACCAATAATTCATGAGTATACTGACCTGACATATTGGTTTCATCACAAACCTAAATTGATGTGACTTTAGTGAATATTGTGAAAAGTCGTGTGTGATTTGCACTGTGAGCTGTTGTTAAGATTGAGCAGTACAGGGTGAAATCCCCGTGGAATGACTTGTTACCAAGGCTACAGTAAGCATGATCCTCCTGAGATGTAATTAAGTTGTTTTGTGCCATAAGTAGCTGCTGTCATTTACAAAGGATTGCTCTTTTAGGGATTTCATATTGTAATATAATAACCTATTAAGAATGCAAGTTCAGAGTAGATTTTTTTAAATTTCTTAACTCCGTACTGTGACTGGATGGTGGTAACGAAAAGATCATTGAGAGCTCCTGTTTCTTTTGAAGGTGAATGAATTGGCAACAGTTAAGCGTCCACAGGAGCGCTCCTACATGCTTGAGAGATGGGCAGAAGATGGGGGCATCATGATTCTCGGTTACGAAATGTACCGTAATCTTGTGCTGGGCAGGAATGTGAAAAGCAAGAAAATAAAAGAAATATTCCAGCGGACTTTAGCAAATCCTGGTAAGAATTTTTTGGTACATTCTGCACGCTTGTCTTAATTTACAAGAATGTGCAGCAACAGAAGAATTAGAATACAAAAGTTGAAAAGAAATTGTACATTATTTCACTCGTACCCATCCCTTTTGCTATTGTTTCCAAATAGCTACCTTACTCCTTTTCAATCTGCCTCCACCACCTCTGAGCGGCCTATTCCACACGTACACCATTTGGTGTAAAGTAATTACTTTTAGAATGTTTATTCACCTTACATTACTCTTGCATACTTGAATCTGTTGTTGTTGGTGGATGTAGGCATCCCATTACTTGTTCTGTGATGGGACAGTGCTTCCTGAATTATTTTTTAAAGCTTAGTGGAAAATGAGATCATTATTTGAAAAAAAAATGTTGAATTGTGCATTTACTTGAAATATAACCTCACTGTGCCAGTTATTGTACCGATTTAATGTTAATATATCATATAGTTAATATTTGGATCTGTGGACTAGTCTCTGACGAGTTGAGTGAGATGGTGGCTCAGTAGTACATTATGCATGTGGAAATGTACGCCTTGGGTAGGTACTGTGTGTAAGCCCTAAAATGAAATCTGGGCATAATTACTTTTTGTTGTATGTTTTTTGTAAGTGTATACTTAATGAGAAAACTTCCGTGGTGAGCAAAACCATTCCCTCTCTTGTTCCTATTCAGCAAATATTGCAGAATGCATGAGGAATGAATTGATACTAAGCAGATGTTCCCCTAATGTTCTCATTAACAAGGTGCCCATTAAATGACATGCTCTGTATTATGCCGCAATATCATTTTAGTTGAATCAAAAAGCATCTTGAGTAATTTAGGAAATGTTAACAAGGCAAAATAAAGTTCCGTGCCATGTTGTGCACTTTCTAATGTATTGAAATGTGACAATTGTGCTTTTCATTTTAGGCATGTCAGTTCATAAACGGGTATGAGTTCTCCTTAATTTGATGCTTGCGGCAGTATAGCAATGTGGAACAGGAAGCCAGATTTACACTGCCCATTCCACTTTGCTTTAATTCTTGTCGAGAGAGTGGGGGGCGGGTGGTTGGAGGAGGTGAGGAGATGAAAGCCTTAATTTTTCCCATTCTCTGCAAAGACAGAACACAAAATATTCTTCTTAAATATTTGGTCACATGATTGGTCCTTACCTGAAAATGTGTTAAGGGTTAAAACTCCACTGTACACCTGCAAACATCTTGATTGTCCAAGAGCTTTGGTGCATGTGTGTGTCTTTGCGTGTGTGCTCAGTATGATTTGCACTCAGCATAGCTTTACTCTGGTTAAAGGAGTGTAACTCTGGAGTGATTGACTCTGAGCCTCTGTTTATACAGCACGTGTATTAATTGTGTTTAACAGTCACTACCTGTGAATTGCTTTAACACGTTTCAGAATTAAAGGTGCTATATGAAATACAAGGATTATGATTAATACTACACAGTGGGGGCGTATTGTTGCCAGAATTGTGATTTGCCAGCAAGCCACAGTATAAACTCTGTGTTAAAGAGAATTTTATGTACGAATTCCGTGCATTCCTCTTTTGGGCAATTATTGTCCAATAATGTAATCCTTAGCAGAGCAAGTTTGAAGGCCTACAAAATGAATCTTAATTCTAATGCCATTACCCACAGTTTGCGCTATTCATATGGAAAATTTTCATTTGTGTAAGCTATGAATTTTTCATTAAGGTGTGTCTTGTAGGAATCTTCTGTGTATTACTTAACTGATATCCACTTTATATTCCTCACCCATCATCTTTTTCTTTAGAATTCTGCAGAATTATGAGCCCTTTTGAATATCTATTTGTATATGAGAACGGGTTCACTTTTAGATTAGCTCTCCACTTTACAGTGGTTTCTGTTTTACATTAAATATGGCTGGCTAAAATTGTATTTTAACTTGAAAATCTGTTTGAATGTACAGTAGAAATTTGCCACCATAAATTTAGGTTGAAGTTAGTTTATGAACCTTATTTTATGAATCTTAAAATTGTGCAAAATGTACCCAGCAGTTCTTTAATGTAAATTCCTGATATTTAACAGTAGCACACTGGGAATGGAACAAAGGAGTGTGGTAACTTTTTTATGGCTGGCTGCAGGAAAAAAAATTGCTTTGTGGCAATGGAGAAGTGTACATGTTTTTGTAAAACCATGGCATTCATTTCATGTTTTATATAATATGGGCAGCTTGCACTAGACAATATAAATGGCTCTATACTGCTATCGTGCTAGTATAAATTGGAAGGTGTATTAATCTGTCGAAAAAGCAAGTGCTGTAGTGGTTCAAGAGACCGAAGCTGCCTTAGATGTGAGTGGAAGTCCAATAGTAAGATTACTCTTGGCAGGCTATCCAAACCCACTGCCAATACATTATTTTTCCAGTTGTTCACTATAATAAAGCAGCTGGTTTTCAAAGTGTTCTGGCCTTTTGAGCAATTTGAGGTGATCCCTTTTAGACAGCCACAAATTGGGTCAAGGTACAGCGTGTTGCATCCAACGACGTCATTGATTTTCTTTGTAACCACAGCTGACTCGACCCATGTTAATGCAAAAAAATATAAAAATTTCCCCTTACCGATGTTTGTGCACCTTTACTGGAAAACAAGGATTGAAAAGTTAATTCAGACTTAATTTTGAGTCATAATAACTCCCAATGATTGAGGTTTGCCTTCAAAGCTCTTTCTGTTTGCAACTTAATGGTCCACTATCATTTGGCATTCACTATTTGACACAATTGCCCCATCAGTGAAGTGTTGTAACATGCAGTTTGCTGCGCCTTAAAGTATGCTGTAATTCATAGCAAACTCGATGGAGCATTCACACTAATTTACACTGACAGTTCTCATTTCTAAAGATGTTTCGTCCACAAAGTATACAGTCAATTCACTTTACAGTACGTTCTGTGAAGGGCTTTGAGACGTCTCGTAGATGTAATAAGGCACTATAATAAAATGCAAGGTTTTATTATTAATTCTGCAGTCACTGTTCTGTCTAATTTGCAAAAATTTACTTTGAATGCTAATATCTGAACTGCTCTTTGATAATGTTCATGATTTCTTTTCCCTCCTCGCAGCAGTACAGCGGGTTAAAAAGGGTCCATCTAGATCTGTTCGCCTCTAAATTACTCTGACAACTTTACTAGGCCACACATCAGGGGTATTATCTTTATCTGACCTTATCACAGTTCATAGGAAATGAAAGGAACTTGGCAGAATAGTCCTTTAGAGGTAGCTTGGAAAACATGATTCAGCAAGACTGAAAACATTGGAACTTGTAAAATCACCTACTTTGCCAATGGTCATGGTTGGAAAGGTGGTTAGAATCAATTAAATTGTAATTGCAAATGGTTGCCAGCTTGCAATAGCTTTGCTGTGACCCTCTTCATCTCTACAAACTTGAAAAATCAGCGGGTTCTTATCTTTAGATTTCAGCTTTGCAAAAAAAACGTTTATTCTCAAACTTTGAACTCTTGATTTTAAAAGCAATTGGGTTTTTTTAAACATGATTGCTATGATTAGCTTCTTTGTTTATGCTAACTAAGCCTGAACTGTTTGCTGCTCTTGAATAACGATTGCTAATTTCTTGACTGAACATTGGTTTCTTTCTTTTCACTCTACGGTGTGTTCTGTGTGCTTCCTTCCCCCTCTATTTCCAGTGGAGCAGGTTTGTATACTGTTGCTTAGTTTTCCTATGTTGCCCTGTAGAATTGAGGGACTATACTTTAGCAATTGGTTGACTCTTTAATATAGATCAGTTTAGAATGCATAAGCAATTTGAGTTCTTGCTTCTCTTGCTAACTTTAATCTCCAGCTGAGTTTTGGAAATGAAATTGAAGGTCACATATGTGGGTGTCAAATAATAGAGTGAACAGCAATGGCATATTCAGTACCTTCACTGCATATCTCAGTATTTTGAAAGCGGTGCCCTCATCTGCTAATAAAAAAAATTGATTGATTTGGCTGCTTTAACCACCCACTGGCCAACATTTATGAACATCTATTGATCTTGACAAGGAATTGCAGTCATATTTGTTGAGGTATTGAGCCATCCCTCCAACTTTCCACCTAGTTATATTTTAAAGTTTTCTTCACACTTAAACGGTTCATGCTGTTTGGCAATTTTTTCAAGCCAGAAAAACTCATCTGCCAAATCTTATCAAAATCTTAAACAAAAATCGAACTGTATTTTGCACTGAAAACAACTCGCAAGTAAAAGTTCCTTGTATGAGAAAAAACAAAATCGGTAATTCATTGAAACAGACTTAGAATTCAGCATCTTAAAATAAACAGGTCAACTGATTCACAAACAGAATTTGAAAATGAATTAAAAATAATTTATTTAATGTTTGTGCTCGTCAGTGTTTGTGTGAATGCTCTGCACCGGTAGATGGCAGCAAAGCACATGAATGCTGTGACCGTCTTACATTGACAAAACCCACGTTGAACAAATAGGCTTCTTTTTTTCTCAGTGAGGTCTGAGCAGAAGGATCGGTTACAGCGGGAAATATCATTAAACAATGAAGAATTGCCACTAACTCGCTAATGCAGGAGATTTTGTTCAAGTTGTCTTTTCAGCAAGAATGTTCAAAGCTTTATCTTCTTAGTGGGTTGAATTCTCTAAAGAGATTTAAATATATTGGAGCAAGTCCACGACAGTGTAAATTGCACAATCTTTTGGATGATTGAGCTGAAATAGCTTTTTTCATTCCGTATCTATCAACTCCTAATGTGCCAAGGATGGGTTTACACATCCAGTCTCTCTCACCTCTCTATGGGTCTGTACTTCATCATCAACACCTTCCACTATTGATGCTAAACACTATGTCAGATTGACCTGCTTTTATCCAGAGCAACAACGTTGATCCCTTTTCTGGATTGCAATCGTCTCAAAACTGATCGTTTTTTTTAAAAAAGCAATTTAAATCAAGTTCTCTTTACTAAGCTGCTCTCAGCTTAATGTAATGTTGTGCTGGAGGTGTTTGGACAGAAAAGTGATGTGAGCCAGTAGCTATTTTGGAGTACTTTCAACACTTCCATCTTAGCAAAGCTCTGCACATTCACACAGCTCTGATAAACTGCTCATTTATTTTCATGTTAGTGAAGAGTTCGCAATCCAACCAGTGGTTCACTAATCATAAATAGATAAACAAAGTAACTATTAACAATCTATTCTATTGTCAGGCAGTTTGAGCAGTTTTTAAACTAATTAAAAGTCTGCTTAGCAGGAGCTGGAGTAGCTCTCATTGGAGTCTCCCATGCTCCTCAATACTGAAATTCCAATGGTAATAGTATCATAGAAATATCCTGTGGTGTTGCATGCAGTTGACTTCATATATGAGCTGTGGCCTGACTTATCCAGAGAGTTGGTCATTTCTCTGGTTCTCTTGACAATCAAAGGGTCAAGTGTTTTAATTATTGTGGAGAATTCATTCTAAAATAAAATTCTGTTTTGCTTTTGGAGTGTTTGCAGCCAGTGGCGGCTGGTGACGTGACAGAGCACTTCATGTCTGACCTGAGTGAGATGCAGCTGTTTCTGTTTGATTATATAGCGGGACAGTGGAAAACGGGACACGACTTATTTCCACTTAAGCGTTCAAAAGTCTGGAGTCATGATGGGATTAAGGAGAAAAGGAATCTCTTGGAGAGAGTTTCAACAGTTCTTGTAGAAACTGGTATTGATCCAGTTCATTTAAAATAGTTTTTGAAGTTTACTGGCTGGTCTGTACTTTACTCTGGCTTCAAACAGCTGTCTTGTTTCTCTCTATAGCCCCTATCCCTGCCCTTGCCTGCCCCCCTTCCTCCCCACCCCAAAAAAGTTGGATGAATCCACTTGACAACAGTGGTAGTTATTTATTAAAAAAAGTTAATATTTTTGTAGTTTTCATGTTACAATGCAGGGTCTGTTTCAGTTTCCAGATTGAGAGCATCTTGAAGTTTTAACTCTGATCTAAAACATCAACTTATTCGAATTGAATTAAGAAAGCCATTCTGAAATTACAAGTGGGGAAAGTATTAGTGGTGTCCATTTAAATCTGTTCATGGGAACTAAGATTGACTTTGTTTAATGAAGGGAGGTGCATGTATATTTTTGTGTCCCAGCTGCCTGTAGGGTTTTATGTATTTTGGAACTACTGGTTAGAGACAGTTTAGGAGGGAGCAGACATTTTGTGACTAAATTCCTGTTAAAGTAATCTCATGAATGGAGAAAAATCTGTTGTCTCCTTTGGAGTGGTGAACCAAATATTTCCTGATTACTGGGTTTGGCTGATGCTTTTAATGTCCTCTTATTTGACCTGTACATCCCTCTGTCAAGAAATGGCATGTTAGGCATTTATAACACTTGCCTATTTTAAAAATATTTTTTTTCTGGCTTGGTCAAACTTGGCCTTAGTTGAGTACTCCAACGCTGCCACGTATGAGGGCACTCTCTGAATACAAGTTGTTGTTGAAGCTTAAGTATTTATTTTCCTCTTTGCAAGATAACTTGTGTTCAAAACATTGCTTTACCAGACAACTGTATAACAAATCTTTGCACATTCAGTGGTGGTTTGTTGCACGCTTAAAATGCTGAATTATTTATACCAGGGTAAATAATAACAATTTTTTAAAAAATTGTAATTGTTTTTGTTTTTCCCACTTAGGTCCAGACTTTGTTATATGTGATGAAGGACATATACTTAAAAATGAAGCCTCGGCCATATCCAAGGCAATGAATTCAATTAATACAAGGCGGAGGATTATCCTAACAGGAACACCTTTACAGAACAACTTGGTAGAATGTAAGTTAGCTTTTCTTAAAAAAAAGCTTCCATGTAAACTTTATTTGCTGTCTAAGAGTAAAATTTATAGATGAATTTATTGTTCCTATATAGAATTATTGTTTGCACTTTTCTGTGAGAAGCATCTCATCCTTATGATTAATTGTGGAATTCATCATTTGGAGGAAAGTGTCGATGTTACAAATATCGCCAATATTTGAGTCACAGGTTGGTGACTCTTGTATTCAACAGTCTGTGTTTTCATGCCTAAATGGTTTAAATTATAAATTCATACTCTTTTAATGAACAAATCTGAGGTCAAGTTATTTTGGTTCCAGATAGTTTCTTCCTCGGGAGAACTGATTATTAATCTACTGATGATTCATCACTGAGTGGCTTTTCTTTGAATTAGTCCTTCAACCAGTGGAGTCCTGTAGCTCAATGGTTAGAGCACTCGCCTCGCAAGAGAGAGATCTGGGTTTGATTCCCAGCAGGATGAAACCTTGGCAAGTTTCCTTACTCTACCCGCCCGATAATAATCCCTCAAGAAAAAAAACAATAATAAATTGGTCACTTCATTCCACGACTGTTTGTGGGACGCTGCTGTGCGCAATTGGCTGCCGCGTTTCACTCAAAAATATAGTCAATTCACTTTGCACCATATTCTGTGAAACGCTTTGAGACGTCTAGAAGACGTGACAAGCGCTCTATCAAATGCAAGGCTTATTTATTTTATTATAACCATTTTAAATTCTGTATTCATGGAAGTATGCAAATGGTGGATTGCGTTCATAGAATACCTGTATAAATTTTGAGGAGATGAAATACTTAAACTCTTCCCTCTACAGATCACTGCATGGTGAATTTCATTAAGGAGAACCTTCTTGGTTCAATCAAAGAATTCAGGAACCGGTTTATGAATCCCATTCAGAATGGTCAGTGCGCAGACTCCACTTTGGTAGATGTGAGAGTGATGAAGAAACGTGCCCATATCCTGTATGAAATGTTAGCTGGCTGTGTGCAGGTATGTACAGTAAAGTAAAGCTTCATAATTTTTGTGGCAAAACTGTTCACTTCCAAGCCAACCCTCCCCAACTTGTAAATGACTCTCTTGCATTGGTTGCTTTGTGGGTGTTTTTATATAAGGAAAGGGAATGGCTGCCCTTACAGTTGCATAATGGTTTTTTTGTTCCTCCTCCCCCACCCACCACCACCCACAATGCCCCCAGTTTATTTGAGTAATAATATTAATTAAATACACCATGACACTTTTTTAAAAAAAGTTCTAATTTTGCTTTTCACACAGCGAAGAGATTACACTGCGCTCACAAAATTCTTGCCACCAAAGCATGAGTATGTTCTTTCTGTGAGAATGATGCCAATCCAGTGTAAGCTTTACCAGTTCTACCTTGACCATTTTACGGGTAAGTAAAACTTGGCTCATTTTGTTTTAACTGATGTCAATTTTGGTTCCTTTGCATTATTATCGCTTGTGCCTGCCTCGATTTCTGTTTTCGTTTTGCAACTGCATGGAATTGTGTCCAAAGGACACCACACAAAAGTTCTGAGTAATATTGTCGGGTTCCAGATTACTGAACTAAATGGATCACAATGGGACCCATAAAGTAAGTAACTAATGTGAGTTGTCAAAAGTGTGCTCTCGGGAAGGAACAACAATGCGACCTATCATTGGTTTTCAGAGCCACAGAGGAAATTTGTAGTTGTGTGTGGCCATTTGGCTACTTTGGTGATGTAGGAGTTTTGCTGATCCTTCTGTGGATATCGCAGGTAGTGTAAAGCAGTAAGACTTTATCTTCTGCGGCTGGCAGTCATTCTGTCCACTGATTTTAAGCATTCTGTCATTAACTGTTATACTGTTTTTTATATTCTTAGGAAATGTTAATTCTATCAGACTTTGAAGGTTGATCTTTTCTTGAAATAACCGTAAGAATTTTAAGGAGTACATCTTGAATAAGGAATTTTCTAAAGCTTTCATTGTAAAAGGGTCACGGGTATATATCACTATCGTATTTAGCCTCACGGGAAAACCTGTTAGTTGAGTTGCTTATGTTCCAGTGTCCTAAGAGTAATATAATTTCTGTGTAAGGTGCCATTAATGTTGCTTTCTACACCTGTAGAATTTGTGTGTAATTTATTCATGTTAAATTGGAAGGAAATTGGTCTGTTTTGAACCCACATTTGAGGTTCTTCCAAAGTGGCACGGAGTCCTTATCGGCCATTAAAATACTGCCAAGTCAGTAGATATCTATCAATAATGTTACTTTTGTTATGGTCTGTTTGTGTCAAATGGAGTCATTGATTAGCCAAAAACTAGCACTAGTATAATCAGTGAACACTTTGAATTTGTGGCCAAATGTACCTAATCAGCATAATTTTTGCAACACTTTATGAAACTCTTTGAGGACAGTAACTACTGAGCAAGATCTGTGCAATAATCTAGTAATCATCTTTGAGAACTACAATGAGGCATTCATCTTGTGGCTTATACTTAAATGATGCTATTCCATAATTATGGAGTTGAACTTCATTTTCATTCAAGTGTGCTATGATATCATAGTGCATTTTAATAGCGTGCAGGTTTGAACGATGGTGAATTCGAACCAGATGTTTGAAAAGAGGTAATACTGGCTAACTGACTTCTTGGGATCGTGGCATGATGTATTCAGGAGAGTCGATGCTTAGACAAAAATTGGTATTTTAATTTCAGTGAAAAAAAGATTCTTGCAACACGTGCTTCTGTTGTTTGGCCAATAACTGTAGGTAAACCAATGAGTTTCTGTAATTTATTGGACAACACTGATATAATGGAAATAGTACAAACCTGAACATCTTGTTTCAATATACAGTAGTAGCCTTAAAGGAGCAGGAAACAAATGGGGAAAGTACCAAAAACAGGTGATTGTTGCAATGTTTTTCCTTTTAAATGGGAGTAGATCACATTTAGGTATTTACAATGAAAGCAAATTCAATCAAAGTGGTAGGCAGTGAATTTGGTCCACTAATTCATCTGAATATATCAACAAGATGACTTGACTAGCATTAACTTAGGTACCATGCTACATTGGGGTGCAGCAAACAGTGAAAAACTGAATAATGAGTTATCCTGATCACTGAGTTGTCTTCTCAAGATGACAGCTTTGTGAGTGCCATAACTTGCAGTGATTCTGTCTTGCGTAAATGAGATCAAAATTAATCCATAAATCTGTGACATTTTTTTGTTGGGGTGGATGAGGTGAGACTTCAAGCTGTGTGTAGTAATAATAATAATTAATCACTGTGGTCCAGGTACTTTAAATGAAAAATAGTTTTTGAGACCCTGTCAGAAGATAACTTAAATATATGCAGTTATACAAGGGATTGATAACCTTAAATTCTTTCAGGTGTTGGGGCCAATAGTGAAGGAAGAGGAAAAACGGGAACAAGACTCTTCCAGGACTTCCAGATGCTCAGTAGGATATGGACCCATCCTTGGTGTCTGCAATTGGACTACATCAGTAAAGAAAACAAGGTATTGCAGACTAGACTAGTAGACTTTGGACCAGATCAGCGAATGCCTGTCTATTCGGGAGTTCCATTGTTTTCTGGATGAAAACCTTCAGTATAATTTATTTGAATATACAGTCAATTCACCTTACAGTATATTCTGTGAAGCGCTTTGAGACGTCTAGAAACATGAAAAGTCCTATATCAAATGCAAGGATTATTATTATAAATGTTACCATGGTATTACAGAAGATCATTTGCTGCAGTTTTCACATTTCAATACAGTCATTAATATAGTAGTAAATTCAGGTCAATCATGACTAACAACTCTTATTTTTGGTGGCCCAGACCTCCATTTTAGTGACCCACCAGTTTTTACTAACTTGCCAAACAAACAAACTACTCAAGTTCACCTGCAAGTAATCAAAGTGGCAGCATTTTGGTTGTTCAGTGTGTAATTTATTGGGGAAAGTTTGTTAAAATACTGATGGTAGCTTAATTCTTAATGTGCCGTTTTTAATTTACCCACACTCGTTCCTACACATGGATTTAAGCAAACTTCTTTCCTGAACACTAACCCAAACCTGCCATTATTTTTAAAATGCGAGTAAAATTCTAATACTTTAATTACAACCAGTCCTCCTTTCCAATTAAAAACGCTATACAACTGTTTTTTTTGCATTCCCCAAATTAGTCCTCTTTACATTAAACATGTTTTTGATCTGAATCGTGTGTGTGTGTATATATATATATTTTAAAATCTGTAGCAAGCAGAACGTGAAATGGTGAAATAAGAGTAGGATAATGTTTTGGGTATGAACTAAGGAAACTTAAGTCTTGGTTTGGTAACTTGCTTCCCTCTTATGACGACGCTCAATTTGCATCCAATGCTGTTTCCAAATATTCACTCTTTCAGTTGCTGAACAACCTCTGTATTTCCAATCTTTTTGTATTTCTATTCAACTAGTCTCTATTTGTAAAAGAATATCTAAACCTCCTTAATTTGTCTAAAAAAATTGCAGCTTTTTTAAAAAAAATCCTTGTTCTTGAACCTACACACATCTAATGTTGTGCTGTATATGCTTCTGGTTGAGGAGAATGAAGATTGACTTGAGAGGGGTTGAATCATTGATTAAGGAAATAGTGATGTACATGAAACGCTTTGTTTGCTTTTGTTGATATCCAGAACATAATAGCAATCCATCTTATTATTTAGGGTTACTTTGATGAGGACAGCATGGATGAATTCATAGCATCTGATTCGGACGAATCTTCAATGAGTCTTACTTCTGAGGAAGATAAAAGGTTATATATAATTTTTTTTACCTTTTTCGGCTCATGTTTTGATCATTTAAAGGAGTGGTTTTCATTCTTGCATGTGGGTGTTATTCTTGGGTTAGTGTGCTGTTCCAAAGAAAAGGTGTGAGCTTCCTGCCTGGATATCTTGGTTTATATTCTCTCTCTGTCCACATTCAACCCTTTAATGTGACAAGAGCTGTGAGTTTTATGTGAAAAGTGTTGTGCAAAAAGGCAAGTTGTATGTGCATGTCTGGAGCTTTCAATCTCTCCCAAATTACTCCTGCAAAACTGGAGTGTTCAGGTGCTGAATAAATATGCATTGTACCTGGTTGTAAGGAATTCAAGCAAGGACAGTGTTTTTGTACAGTGCCTGACTGCCCATTAGGCAACCTGTTGGTTTTTTTTCGAGCCAAAGCGTTTATACTAGCTCTAATTTAAACACATTCTTTCAGTTAATTATCGAGTAGATCATTTTATTCTCCTGTGCTTTTTTTTGGTAGAAGTGGGGAGGGTAAGGGATTATGCATTGATGGTTGATAGCCCGTCCCTTGCTTTCTAAATAATGTTTATGGCCAAGAAACCATTTTGTTTCCTCAATTTTTTCGCTGTTCCAGACGGTGCAACAATGATGTAATAATCTGAATTTTAGAAACTCATTCCAGTCGGTCTCATTAAAACACTTAGGAAAAAGAAAAAAGGCAAGCGGGGGAAGAAAGACGATAGCAGCTCGAGGGAGAGCGGCAGCGACAATAATGTGGAAGTGATCAAAGTGTGGAATTCACGTTCCCGTGGTGGTGGGGGGGAAGCAAGCAGAGAGGCACCGCCGGTTGTGGAAACACCTCCGATTAAACCAGAAGAAGGTACAGAATTTATTTTGGGGGTTTTCTGGGCAAATGGTGCGTTTATCATGTTTGAGCTGGTTCCCACAGTTGAATTTTTTGCATGTTGGATTCACGTTGCTGGGCACTTGTTTATCGCTTTGAAAAATGGTGATTGTACACTTGGCTAAGGTAAATAAATAGAAATTATTCAGTATTCCAATAATTTGCTTTGGAACTAATAGAGAATAGAAGAAGAAAACATTAGCTCTTCATTTGACAGTCTCTCAACTCTGGATGTTGGAACGAGTGGGAGGAGAGGGGTGGGATGAGTCCTCCACAGTTCTTCAGAAAGCCTATCTCATGACGAATTAACAACAACAAAATGACATTCGTATAGCGCCTTACACGTCGCGAGGACATCTCAAGGCACTGGATTAAATATCACAGCTGCCTTCTAGATGTTATCTTTACACCCATTTGTACCACATTTTGAATGACCTACGTGGAATGCATTTCAAAGCTATTTGCTTCATTGTTTTTTTTTTTGCAGAGTGGATGGTAATAATAAGGAAGTGGCTGGTGTGTTAGTTCCAGATTGGCCCCTCATTCAGGGAGTTGGGTACTGACTTGTAAGGCAGTAGAGAACTGCGGATGTTGGCAAATCCTTCTAACCTCTGCAAATAGTCATTCTTCACATCTGAGCCTCTGCAGTACGTGATGACAGGCTTTTTGGATTGTGGGGGCGTTGTTGTAAAATCTCCAAAACAAACTTTCCGTTTCATCCAGAAGGTTTTTATTTTGCTCACTTTGGAAGCTGCTACAAAATCAAGAACCCACAACAACTGAAATCATAAAAATACCAGTCCTAAAAACATAATGTGTCTGGCCAGTCCGTCGATTGAGGTAGCCTTCTCAGGATTTCTTAGGCTTGGTGCAGAAACAACATGGCCTCACAACCAACAACAAATGACATGTATTTAGTGACTTTCATTTCGGTAGGATGTCCCCAGGCGCTGGACAGTCAGGGATTTGGAACCAAGCTGAGGATTGGGATCAGGAGGGGTGGAGGGCAGGGAGGGTGGGTGTAGGAGCGTGGCCGAAGGCCCAGTTGAAGAGGAGGCTCTTAAGATGCGACTTGAAGGAGGCGAGGGAGGGAGCAAGGCGAAGGGACTCGGATGGATTTCCAAAGGGTAACCGTAGAGAGGCTGAAGGCCCAACCGCCGATGGTGGGGTGGGCCAAGCTGTGGAACGTGGAGCAGGCAGGGGAGGGAGCTTGATGTTCAACTGGAAGCCTGTAATGTCGGATACGTTTATTGAGTTTACGCTTGGCGAAATTTCAAACAATTCTTGCTAAATTTTTATCCTGAGCATTCTTTACCTTTTCTGACCATGGTTTATGCATTATAGTTCTGTTCCCTAATCTCATTAGTGAATTGTTTTTCTGTTTACAGTGAAGCCCCCCAATACGTCTAATCCAGGCAGTCCTGCTGCAGACTGGTACAAGGGATTCATCACTGATGCTGATGCGGAAATATTGGGACATTCTGGAAAAATGCAACTTTTATTTGAAATTCTACGCATGGCTGAGGAAATTGGCGAAAAAGTGTGAGTAGAGAGAGACCAGATACAGTAAGACTCGCATAAGTCTTATCTTTATAATCACCTAAATTGCACATTCACCGAGTTCCATTCAGCTTCCTGTCAAACCCACTTTCCTTTGCCCAACTCGTGTTAATCCATCAAAGTTCCACAGCAATTCTGTTACACTATGTGATAAACCAAATCGAATCCGATCGATCATACCAGACACAAGCACTTCTGAAACACTCGTCCACAAAGAGCTCACCGAGAGCAGAACAGAAACTACAGATTTTTGTTTCTTTGGAATCATGAGGTTGGAGGCATGCATGTAAATGATCTCCCGTTACTACTCCATGTTATGTCGTCGACCAGTTTTTGTACTGGCAGTCCACATGAATTGGGCTTGTTTAGTTCTTGCTCAACATTTCTACCTATTGAATAGTTTACATTCTTTGTTTTAGGTGTGTAAGTTGAGGAAATCCATATTTATAGAGCCAAACTGATTAAACTGCTTGTAATTCATCGCTGGTTATAAAGAATATTGTATATTGATGAAACAAATACTTCCCCAACCACACTTTCCCTGTGCACATTTGAAGACATTTATTTGTTTAGCTCTCCCGTCAAATTTTCAAGACCGAGGTGGATAGATATTTGTTAGGTAAGGGTATCAAGGGAATATGGGGCAAGAGTGGGCAATTGGAGTTGAGGTACAGATCAGCCATGATCTTATAGAATGGTGGAACAGACTCGAGGAGCTGAATGGCCTACTCCTGTTCCTATCATTTATAGCAATTGCAAGGAACATTGCCACTTTCTGTACAGCTGTAGTTTTTCTGTGAGTTACTAACAACAACAACAACTTATATTTATATAGCGCCTTTCATGAGGGGTTGCATCCCAGAGCACTACTTAGGGTGGAATATATAGTGGAATATATCAGCACCTCACATCTAGTTAAAACCATTACTTTTATGGATGTAATTAATCGTGATCAGCATTTCTCAACGTACGGGACTTCATACTATTGTTAATGTATTCCATTTCAGGCTTGTTTTCAGCCAGTCTCTGATATCATTGGATTTGATAGAAGACTTTCTGGAACTTTCAAACCGGGCGAGGACAGAGAAATCCGGTGATGATAAAGGTAACCTTTATTCCTGGTTTTTTTAATTGTATCGTTTTCTATCTTGAGTGCCCTGAGCTGCTTATTGACTGACTTCATTTAAAATTGGAACATTGTTAAAGGTGCGGGTTATTATGACTTAAGGTAAGTGAGGGAGTAAACTTTGGTTGGTGTACAACGTTTGGTTCTTATCGAATGGCGGGGCAGGCTCGAGTGGCCGAATGGCCTACTCCTCCTAATTCTTATGTTCTTATGTTCTACACATGAGATAGATGCAATGTTAGATACTGAATGCTTGTGGGACATTGTTGTATACAAATTAGCTGCTGCACTCACCTACAAAATGCACGGTCACTACACTTTATAGTAAAATCCTGTGACTCTTTGAGGCATCTTAGCACTATATCCAATTTAAGGATTATTTCTATTATAAACCGAGTGATTTTCCCAGCACTGGAAACCTGAGGCACTATTACTGATTAAATTGAGTAATTTTTTTAATATAAATATTTATTGTGTGTATGTATGTGTGTGTATATATAGCAAAACTCTGTGATAGCAAACCAGACAGGCTACCTTTCTCACCAAATGTAAAAGATTTGAGTAAGGGAGGCAAATTTCCTCGACTCTGGTTGATTCTGTGGTCTGAAAGTAGGCAATATTTCTATTTTGCAGTAACTGGTATGATGTGCATAATCACGTTCGTGGTTTCCCATAATCCATCAACTAGCATTACCACTTCCGCGTGTCACCCTTAAGGAACATAATGCATTGTGTATTCATATTGAACAAATAAACTGTAACCCCAGTGAATTAAAGGTTAGTTAACCAATGCCTGCAGCAATCAGCTGTGTTTTCTGTACATCTGGCATTAGGTAGTGTTGCTGCACAACATAATTAAACTGCAGCTGTTCTGCATTTCAGTTCCACAGCGATTAGACCTTAAAGGTTTGATTCCTGAAAGTATTACTTTTGGGATGCAATTTGTCTGGGATAGATTGTTGCCTAGTAATTGAAACCACGCACACTGGGGGAATTAAAAAAAAATAGGGTTAATGTTGTAATACAGGAGGTTAAATAAGTTTTGTCCTTTAAAATTGACTTTTTACACCAAGAATAAGTATACAAAGATATTATTTTGACTTGAATAATTAATATTTTTCAGCATTACAAGCAGTAATAATATGCAAAAGGAACCTTTTGCCCTGCAGAGAACAGCTCATTGAGTTGAAAGCTGGGTATGAAAGATTGAAAGAAGGGTAGGGTGGGGGAGCCATGTTTAGTGAATTTGTTGTAACTGCTGCTTGAGGGAGGGGGTGTAATGTAGCCTATAAGGATATCTGAGAGAGGGGTGTAAGGGACATGCCCCTAAAACTTGATAGCCATTGTACTCTGAGTGGCACTTGTGCTGGTGTAGAGCTGCTTTGAGATTTTGTGCACTAATTGGCCACCTTAGGGTTGTAACTGTTGCCTTGTTTGGTGCTTTTTGCACTTAATAAATATTTTAAAAATCATCGGGGGGTTTCTCTCATTTGTAAGTTCAGCTTCATTCTCCCTCACTTCAGTCATCAGTGTTGGGCAGCTCTATTTGTGGATATTTCCAAAGCTCCCACAAGTATCACTCGAGAACTGTTGTAGTCTGGTAAGACAAACAAGATTTTTTAAAAAAAAAACACTTATTACTACGGCGAGCTCCATCTGAAATTAGAATGGAGGCTAATTATTGTACACAGATTATAGTCTAATACTTGTGATTTCTAATTGGCAGGCAAGATATTTTTTGATTTAAATAACAAAGTAGGATTAATAAAAAAATTACGATTAATTTGGAGGCCTTTTGAATCTGAAGTGTCGCTTTTATTTCTTTGACCACCTACAGTGCTTTTTACAATCACATGTTGTACGTTAGCAGTACAAAGCATTCCCCCTGCCCCCTCTCCGTGCTTTTTGCCTGATATTACCATGCCTCCACCATTGCCAATTGGGTTGTATAAGAGCTACCTCTTGGTGACTCCTGATTTTCCTGCATCCCTGTAGCCCAGTAGGAAGCCATGCTGGAACACGCACTCACCACTGACCTTGCCATGCTGGGGAAATGCTTACCTGTGGACCTCACTGTTACTGACGGGAGGCCGCTTGATAATCCAGAGCTTTATTTCAGATAGTAAAAGCTTTGTTTACAATGATCATTGGAATCCTGCTCCTGGCAGTACTTGACCTTGACTTCCATGCATGCTGCAGCTCCAAATTGGTAGCTTAATTCTAGGTATACTCCTGTTTGTGTGTTGGTGCTTCAACATGCAGCATTGATCTGCTCCTGGATTAAATAAATGCTCGATCGTGGTTGTAAGGTCCAAGTGGCATTTGTGCCATTTTATTTCATAGGTGTGTTACAAAGAGTAAGATTTTGTTAAAAGTATGTCGTATGTGCTCCATTTACAAATAACTGGATAACTTCTGATTGCAGATAGCTGGAAGTGGTACAGAAACATTGATTACTATCGTATGGATGGTTCCACAAGTGCACAGACTAGAAAAAAGTGGGCTGAAGAATTCAATGATGAAAGCAATCCGAGGTACCGCAATTCTAGTCTTGTAGATAAAACTGCTTAAAGCTATTGATATTGTTAATCTGCAAAAAGGTGTCTTAAATTTGTAGACATGTAGATTGAAGGGGAGAGGATTGCAATTTTGCATGGTTAGTTGCCAAATTTGTTTTAAATAGAGTAATTATTTCAAGCGGTGTTGAATGTAAAATTGATAATTGATAATTATGGGATGGTATCACAATTGAACTTCCTTGATCCAAATAATCCAGAAATAATTCAGAAAAAGTAGTTCAAAACACTTTCAAATCAATTCTGCAACTATACCTGAAACATAAGAAATATGTTTTTTTTAAAGTTTTGCATTCATAACGTGTGCTAAAGAAACACTTCAATTATTTCAGGCTGAGAGACCTAAGGAGAATTTTAAGATCCACCGGAGAGTAAAGTAGAAAGCAATGCAATGAGACTTGATTTAAGGGTGGCTTGTAAGGAGGAGTGTTTGGGATGACTAATTTGGACTGAGGGGAATGTTCAAAGGATTGCTGGCCAAAACCTATTGACAAAATAAAGACCAAAGTTGTGATCAAGAAGTTCAAAGCTGTTTTTTTTAAACCTGGCAGTCACATCATCCTGGGAATTCAAAACTATTAATAATTGGAAACAGTATTGTGTGTTAGTTCTCCAAATGCGTGTTCCCTAATTAGCGAATACTTTCAGTTACATTTGAGTGTTTGTGTCTTTCTCTGTTGGAAGCTTCCTGTTGAGCTGTCTGATTACAGGGCAGCTTGTATGTGTGTAAGCTGTCCTGCCCTTTGATGTGGTGAGAATACTGTTTTTTACACATGTGCAGCAAATTCAGGAGTTTGAAAACATTCAAATGAGACCATTGAATAGGATCCCTGCAGTAGCAGCACTGCTTAAACGAATTATAACTACCAACTGCAGGATGTCCTTTAATAAAACTGCTGCTTGAAAATTGAAACAGTTCACGTGGCCCTTGTTTACATACATGGTTTAATCAAGTTAGAATCAAAGATTGCGAGTGGAGTTTCAGATGAAACTTTAAAATGAGACCTGTACAGGTGGGCATTGAAAGATCCCACAACACTATTCAGAAGGAGAATGTAGCTAGGGTCATCTGGCCAATAATCCTTCATATAAATTGAACGTCCGTTGCATGGCCATTTGGACTTTGGTGTGCACAAAATGGCTGCTGTTTGGTGCCTGTGTATTCTGTTTAAATGTGTACATGATGCTAGGGTTTATTAATTCAGTCTTTTAAAATGTTGGCTTGCAATAAAATAGTAAGAGTTTGAGCTGCTAACACAGATCTGAGTTGTGAAGATGAAATATCAAGTGTGGAATAAGGTGGAGCCAATGTGAGGATGCCCTCTGAACCATGGAAGCAAATAGTAGTTTTTACGATAGCCTTATTCCTGGTGTGAATTTGATTTCTAATCTGGCCTAATCTTTCCATGTAATTTTGTCTTGCAGGGGTCGTTTGTTCATCATTTCCACCAAAGCAGGATCTCTGGGGATAAACCTGGTCGCTGCCAACCGTGTCATAATTTTTGATGCCTCCTGGAATCCTTCCTATGATATTCAGAGTATCTTTCGTGTTTACCGTTTTGGACAGATAAAGCCAGTCTTTGTTTACAGATTCTTGGCTCAGGTAAAAAAAACACTACACCACCTTCAATACTTTCTTAAAGCAACACTTTGAGTTTGGCATCTGTTAAAGCGTCAGACATGAAATTTACTATCTTAATTTGAGAAGTCACCTGTGGTGCTTATAAACCTATTTTTGATGCACCATATCATGTATATAATATCAGGACTATGATTGTTGTATAGGTTTGATTCTCTTTTCCCTTTCCCCATTCTAATTATTATTTTAACTTGGAAACCTAAGGCTATACAGCTACTTGGGTTCAAGTCTATCAATCGCCCTGAAGTTAATGTTAGCAGCCTGTGCAGACACGCTGCTTGTTCAGTTGAAGAATGGGAACATGAATGGACAGGGCAGGCGAGCATTGAAATCGAAAAGAACATGTAAATGTGTTGGGAAAGAAAAACTGGGAAGTGATTAAAGAAACCGAGGATAGTGAGTTTTTTTTATAGAATAGCTTCAAATTAAAGGATACATAATAATATTATTATTAAAGGATACAGAAAGGGCAAAAGTTTGAAAGCCAAACTACATAAGGGAAGGCTGCTGCAATAAAAACAAAAAAACTGAGGGTGGAAAGGGGGCATTGGGGGTAAAATGAGGCTGCGAAAAAGTCACCCGAATAGGGTGGGAGCTACCCTTATTCCTGAGGTGTCTACAAAGGGAGGTTCTACTCTACTAGACGTAAATTAAAATGGAGAGATATTAATTGCTGCATTTCTGAGGCCTGTAAAATCGTAGAGTTACAAGTAAACGAAGGCCTTCAGTACATTTGATCTCATCCATCCAGAAAACCTACCCTGTCAAATTATCATGACAACATTGAGCCGTTTCTTAAAACAAGTCCCTGGACTCAGATACCCTTCCTAGTGAAGTGGAAACTCGTTTAGCTAAACTCTTCCATATATTTAATTATCACAAAGAAGGTTCAGTCGAACATTTACAGTTATTTCACAGTATGGTTGTAATAATTTGTCTGCCACTAGCCACACTAAGACTCCTAATTTGGAGGAATGCTGGTTCTAATGTTACAAGCGAGTTTTAATACAGAAATTCTGGATCTTACCACTTGTTTTTATTTTCCCCATTCACTGAAACTACATCTAGTGTGTTCAGCTTTTGTAAAATGTAATGATGTATAGGTATGCTTGTCACTTGCTTACCTTGACTGTCAAGCAACTGACCGTACCTTCAGCTATGTTCACTTGAGAATGATGAGTGAGGTCTGCACACCATTGGGAATCTGGTTGGGAATGTCTGTGCCTTTCTAAGACATTTTTTTGAAATCGTAAACCACATGAGCTCTGCACTATACAGTACCCCTACTTGGCCACCTTTAATTATAGTTTTCTGCTGCCACTGCTATTCATCACTCCCGTGCTTATTCAGCATTTGAGTATGACTTTTTTATTTTTATATATATATATATGTATATTATATATATTCAAGATTTCTGGCTTCAATCTGTATCAACTAAAGGGAATAATTTCCTGGAGCTGGTTGCAATTGGTGATTGCCATTGGAGACATTGATTCAAGAAAGTTCTTTTTTAACGGTTCCAAAAACAATTGGTTGGGACGAGGAGAGGGCTAGAGTTTAAAAGCTGAATTGGTCATTTTGTGAAAAACATGTCAAGTCAGATTCATGAGTCAGAATTCTTTGGGAGAATCAAAATGGATTGTTGTCTCAATGAAGAAAATTGTGCCCTTGTACTGCTTTGGCAGTGGTGATCCTCCCCACTTCTCTCCCTTTACACTCGTTGTTCTTTTTCTTCCATTATCACTTATATGTGCAGAAGTTCATTTTTTTAGCAAGTTTTTTTTGTGTACTGTCATTTTCTAAAGTATGATGAATTTTGTGCTTTGAGACTTTCTACTGGCATGAGTGGTACTGTCTGTATAAATGTAATATATAATTTGAATTCCCAACAGTTTAAATTTCAAGAAGACATTGGTCGTCTTTCAGTCATCTCTACAGTTGATCTTTGCATTTCAGTGTCAGCCCGTCAAAGCCCTGTCCATGTTTTCACACAGAGCTGATATCAGTTTTAAGATCTGTATTTAATGTTGTGAATGCTTTCTGATGACTAAGTCAGTCAGATTCAAAAGTGATGTTGCCAGACTTAACAATAGTGCTCATTGTGGTTCTTGATTTTCTGGAAGACTGTCCTGCTATCCAAGCTTGAGTCTTGAAAGTTCTTTCAAAAACTCACTTTGAATTGCAGGTCACAGAGGAAATCTAGTTTAAGTAAGAACTACATCCAACAGCATTCCAGGAAAGGAGAAATGGCAAAACGTGTTTGGCTCTCGTCTTCAATCCTATCACTGGCTTTGGTACTTCTCGTATACCCAAAGTCACCGGTTCAGTTTCGAATCAGTGCCAACGGCTGTGGAACATCGGGTCCCCCAAAACTGCTCTGGTATAATGATAATTATGCTTGGAATTTGCACGATAGATTTTGCTCATTCAAAGAGCCAGCAGAGATGTAAATTTCTATTCCGTTATCTACCAGGCATACAAAGCTTAATTATGCTCCTTTAGATATATGTTGGTGATTGGGAAGCTCCACTACCTTCTGTGTTGAAAGAACTGTAGTTAAGAATTGGCATTTTATTCAATAGCGTGAAAAGATCAACTGACTCAAATTACAGAAAAAGGGTGTACATTTCCTAAAGGGGCAATGACTTGAACTCTGTTGTATGTAGAGGTTTGTTTCATAGAATGAAAAAGTGCGTTCTTGGATTAAGCAGTCTACATTTTTGTTAATGGAAGTCGCCTGGAAACCTGTGAGCATATACTCCCAGCCGGCAGTGTCCCATGTTTTTGTCTGGTTTTCTGAAAGACTAAGTGAACGCTTGAGGTTATATGTTGCATGTGCACATTTAACTCCTTGAGTACTGAACCTGTTTTGAAAGAAATTTGGAAAAAAAAGTCATTGAAGAATCAGTGGAGAATTGCAATTCACATTTTTTTATATTTTCCACATCACTGCTCAAATGACAATTCTTCAATTCAAATGTTTTCAATACAGGGAACCATGGAGGAAAAGATATATGATCGGCAAGTAACCAAGCAGTCCCTCTCGTTCCGAGTTGTTGACCAACAGCAGATTGAGCGTCACTTTACCATGAATGAGCTAACTGAGCTCTACACATTTGAGCCAGACCAGCTCGATGACCCAAATTCTGAGAAAAAGAAAAAANGGGATACCCCCGTGCTACCAAAGGTCAGTCTACATTTTTTTGTAACTAAAAAAGTTCATTATTTGTAAATGGCTTGGAGTCTTGGAGTCGATAAAGCCAGGAACCAGAAATGCCCATCAAGCCTGCTCTTTACCTTCACTAACCTCAGCATATCCTGAAATAATAATCCTTTAATAACCCTTACATTTGATATAGCACCTTTCACCTTTCTCGGGAGGACGCTCAAAGCGCTTTACAGGATTAACTGCAAAGTGGAATGACTGTGCACCTTGTGGGCGAATCCAGTATCCAATTTGTGGACGCCAATATCCCACAAACAGCTATGAAGTGAATGAGCCATTTTATTTGGGAGGCTGTTGGCCAGGACACTGGGAGAAACTCCCTGTAGAGTACTTGGTCATTCCAGCATCAATTTCCAACATAATCTTCCTAAGCAGATAATTTTGTTTTGAAAAATTCACAGCAGAAACTACTTGGCATCTATTCTACATACTGGAAAGAAGAAAAACGCTTCTTATGGTTCATCTCACTGGAGATTTATTAATTTGAAGCCTGTGTTCTGTCTAATTCTCCTTTAACTCAACTTTACATCAAATATTCTGCTTGCATACACAAATCTTTGCCTCAGCATTTTCAACGACCCAGATTATGTTTATTCACATTATAATTTGATTGCATTATATTTACCATCCTTAGCATTGCTCAAAAAAGTTTGCTCAAAATGATACAATCAGTATTTACTGAGTGGAATGAAGGTTCATGCAAATATTCTTCCTTTTCATTGGCACAGAACAACTTGGCAGTGTACAGGCTTCATATCCATTTAAAAGAGCTTCTTTAACCTAGCAAGTACAAATTGATCTCAAGGGCTCTACTATAATAAATTTTTGTCATCTATCAGGATGGTTTTGATTTACAGTCATAATTAAGAGCCCAGCTGTCCAATTTTGGATACTTTTGCGTTTCTTCATTGCTGTTAGTATAGAGAATGTTTTTAAATAATGAAGTGGGTACCCATAGTTTTCCAGCTATGTTTTTTCTTTTGAACTAAATTCCTAGCTTACTTTATTTACACTAATATAATTTAAACGTGTTCCCACTCAGTATGACTTTACGTGTACAGTAATCTCATCTAAACCTGTTTATTTGTAAGCATGATGTAAGTCACGTCTATGGTCATTACTCGTGTAGTTTCTGGAGATAATTAAGACTGCAAAGAGCTACTATGAAACCATACAGGAATTTTGGTAAGTGATTTCAAATTGAGAAACCAAGGTCAATTAGTTCTTGTAATTTCAGTGGTTATTGAGAGATAAAGGGGACCAGATTTTGTACCATTTCTCCAAATAAAATAATTGACTCAAGATAGCTAAGAGGCAAGAAAGCTATTAAAGAGCGACTGTGATTGGAATCTTTAAAGAACTCAGCAGATGTGCAGTGAGTCCAAACATCTTCTGATCTCGAACAGGCAGATTTTGGAAAAATCCATATTTATTCTCATAGATTACCGGACAGTTGTTGAACCTACTCTCAGAGGAGACTAATCTTTTGTTTACACGATTATTTTGTTTCATCCATCTCATTAATCTGTCGGAACCAAAGCCCTGTAGCAAAATGTAGCACCATAACTGTGATTCGAGATTTAATTACGGAGTTCTTCAATGGACCCAATGTGTAGGAGACCTGCAAAGTTTTCATTTTATTGTACTTCCTGTTGAGGCTTTGAGTTGACAGGATAGAACTTGATTAGGTCACCTACAGTGTACTTAAGCAGCTGTTGGAAGGTGGGATTAAACTGTCAAATTTGTAAAGGGGTTTTTTCGTTGACAACCATATATAAAACTGTTTGAACTCTGTCAAAACAAACTTTGAAAAGCAAAATATGTGAAGAAGAATAGCATAGGAATATGTTCCAGCAATAAGGTGTGTGTGTTTGTGATATTTTGATGTGTGTTTCACAGTATTTTCATAGTATTGCAGGCTACTTTGACCCATTTGATGTGAGGTTCACAGTTGATTTTATTAATCACTGTCAAAAATTGACAAGGAATCCAATCTTCTGCCGGGTGGCTTTTCTGTTAAGGAAGCCTACCATCTTGGAGAGTAATGGTTGCAAAGGTTAGTTCACACTAGGTATCTTACTACCAGTAGGGCTTTTACCCCTAAGATCCTAGGAACTAAGAGTCTGGGGTGGTTGCACTTAAAACTTTTTTTTATTGTGGAACTAAATGGTCGTCAAATGCTTTTAATCGGAGATGGAGGAAAAAGATGGAAGCAATAGTGGCAAATGTGAAATATCAGTTAAAACTCAGAAAAGAAAACACGGGGGGAAAAACATGGTGCAGGTGAAATTGATTATAGGGTATTATGGATTATGGGGTAATACCTTCAAAAATGTATTAAAATAATTGGGCGCTCAATCCACGACTGTTTGTGTCTGCACAATTAGCTACCCTGTTTCGCCCACCAAAATATTACAGTCAGTTCATTTTACAGTATTTTCTGTGAAGTGCTTTGAAACGTTTCGAAGGTATGAAAAGTTGCTACATCAAATAAATGCAAGGATTATTATTATAAGGATGTTGGTCTCACTGTGATCAGATGGCCGGTCATCCATTCTCTTTAGGCTTTACGATACCCAAATTTGCAAGTCCTTACTATGCTAAGCTGACTTCAATACTTTGAAACTGCTTCTTCAGTACTTTGATTGCTGTAACAATACTTCTCAAATTGTCTTCTAAAAAGTGACTTCTAGAATGTATTATAAACAGAAATGTTACTATCAGAAATCTAAAATCTCCAAATAGCCTTGAGCTGCTGCAGTTGAACATTACCTTAAGAAAATTAGACCATTTATCAAACAATTAATACAGTTGTCTGTAAGATATAATAGGATCACACAAAAGTACCCTTGAATTGCAGCTGTGTACCTAGTTTATCCCAAACTTTTCAATTTGTGCCCATCTTTAAGGAATGTGGCACACTTATCTAATGTCTTCCTTTTAAGGAAATTTGGTTATAAAATTGACCTTAGAAAAACTATCTTTGGTGTTCTTCAGTTGCCTGAATGATCCTCTCCCTCAAACTGACATTGGCCAGCAGTACCTCAAAGAAAATTGAATACAGTCAAGGAAATCAGTATTTAAGGGAATTAATAAATAGGCAAATGGGAAATACAGGTTGTATATTTGGCGAAGTTTTTCTCTGACATCTAGTTTCTATCAATTTGGAAATGCTACGCTAACTTAAATGAGAGCTCATCTCCAGACATCCTCTCCAGCCTGAGGATGCTACATGCTTTTGAGTGGAATGAAATTACTGCTCACTGCATTCTGATCTTGCACATAACGGTGTCTGTTAAATTACCTTTCTTGTCTCATTCTCTCCAATTATCTGATTCTAATCTACTGCTTGTTCCTCATCCCTTCATCCCACCATGAGGGATTGAATCTTCAGCCACTACACACTTGCTCTCTGGAACACCAAGATCTCCTTGCTTTCTTTTCTATCCCTCTCTCTTGCTTTGTTTTCCTTCAATGTCCTCTTAAAAACGTGTCTCTGATCATGCTTTAGATTAAGCATTCTAATTCTCCCTTCTTTCTCTTGAGTTGGTTTTCCCATCGTTGAGTGCTTTCAGAAATTTATGCTAGGTGAAGGGCGCTGCATAAGTAAAAGTTGCTGGTGTCATCGGACCATGTGGCAAACCCACCTCAGGTGGCTTGCTTGCTTTTGTGTCAATACCTCAGTCACAACCTGGTCTGAGGTGTATGCCTAACTCTGGGCATGCAGTTGGTACAGAGCAAAAGAGCTGCTGGGAGTTTTGTTTGTTTGTAAGGATTATTGTTGGGCCTGAGGATAAGAATTGTAACAGCATGAGTTCTGATTAACCATGTGTTCCCTATTTGTATTGGGACTAATCCGATTGATCTGACCGTATCTGAATCCTCGTAATTGGAGTGGAAAATATCATCATTATGAAGGGTAATTAAGATGCTGATGTAATGCACCTTGATTTTTTTACTGAAGTGATCTCATTTCTGTTTTAGTGTATCGTGAGCTGTATCACTGAGTTTATTTACACGAATAGGTAATAGAACAATATTGCTCAGGCAAGTCTTTATAGTTTTAGATCATGATAGTTGATAATTTGGGTACAGCTTAATAAAGTGGTTTAGCCGAATGCTTTGTGAGCAAAACGAACAAGCTTAATGTGTCTTAATGAGCAATTTGCAATTACCCCTTTACTGAGCTGGGAACTGATGGAAGGAGAAGTTTAGATGTAAAAGATTGTCACTTGGCAATATACTGAACTCAAACTTCTTGGCCAGTGACCTTTGTTTACTGACCCAGGTCTTTGGGTTTGTGTAGTTGGAGAGAACAAAGAGAAACACTTGAGTAAAACCTTCTCATCATTCTGTTGTTGAGTTGCAGTTGGGGTACAGAGAGCATTGACTTGATTTAATGTACAGTACATAAATATAATTGAAATCCGGTAAATACTCAGCTAATTTGTTGCAAAATATTATGCTTGGATCTTACTTTCTATATGATAGGGGATTGGAATTCGTTTGCATCAGGTATGCGTTTATCTGGACTAGATTGTATTGTAAATATTATGTTAGGACTTGGGTATGCAAAGGCAAATGGTGTCTGGGTTTGATTGCCGATTTAAAAATTCAGCCAATGTAAGCTAAACGACAGAAACCATCCCTTTGGACTGAATGCTGTTGCACATTTACCATGTTTAGGTCCTTCAAGTGTTGTGTGGTGGAAAATGATTTCTGACCCACCGAGCCCATTTCCTGCTGTGTAAACAGTTTACATTTCTTGAGAAAGTGTCTTGCGCAACTTAAGTGATGTAAGGATTGTATTTACATTCAAGGGAACTTTCTCTTTTCATCACCTCCAGAACATTAAATTAAAAATAAAGTTAAGACAAAGAAAAGCAAACATACACAGTTGGGTGTAATTTGAACCACATTTCAGTGGCCGTATTGAGCAGGCGCATATTATATTGCAGGACATTGTTTTCAGTAATGTGTTGCCTTGGATATAAAGAAATGATGTAAAGTTTCAGAAAACACTGAAATATGACACTGGTCATTTATTTGTGACCATTTAATTTTAGGAGCCTCTGATAAATATATTGCTAAGGATTTTTTTTCCTCCTTTTATTGAGTTAAAACACCGGTGAAAGAAGTTTGCCGTGTAATCGATTTGCAGATTAACAATGGTGAAGAGTTAATTACTAGAATTTTTCAAAACTTCTTAAAATCTAGATGCAATTATATTTTGCAGTGTTCATGTGTCACCTTGGAGATAGTGTCAATATTATTTTAGCTGCTCCATAAAACAAATTAAAAGATTGGCAATCCTACAGCATAACCTTTGGGGCAGACATTGACAAGTGGGCTCCTATCTTTGGCTAGGTCTGAACTCTTAATTTGGGACCAGGTGTTAGCTATGTACAGAGGAGAACTTGGGTCCTTTTTAAAAACTGTTGGGATTTGCGGTAAATATCCACTTGGGGATTGGCACAGATGATTCATGCAGACACATGAAGCCTAGCCTAGTCTATACCATCTAGTTCAAGCCTCTTGTGACTTAAAATGTGCAGAATGGTGAAAAAATTTCAATCTGGAAGTCAGATTTCGCATTTCTGAAAAAGAACCAAATTAAGGCAGAACAGAAGAATTTTCTACAAGTCTGAATGATTTTAAGACAAAATGGTCTTGCAGGCGAACACTAGGTGCATTTCTGGTTCCTCAGTAAATGCTCCATTGTTAAGGTAGGGAGCCAATGCCCTCAGAGATGGATGACAGGTAAAAGATTTTTGTATCTCCTGTGCACAGTACTTACTTGGTGAATGAGTAAGCAAGATTAGTGTTGATCCAGAGACTGTTTCCCATGACTGGTCTTTCTGGCTTTAAAAGCCTTCTGGTTAAAACATACCACACTTCATGCATCCCAGCTGCTGGGCATATTAGATACGTCTCAAATCAACAGCTTTAGTCTGTGGACATGGGGACAGCACCGAATGTGAGAAAATATTATGCTGAACTGCAGTCTGCTTTGATTGCAATCAGCTGTTTTCTAGTTACAGTAAGACGTTGACTTCAGTCCTTTCTCTTTGTAACCTATGAGAGTATCTGGAATGCTTTTTTCCCTCCCAGGAGGTTGTGTGACAGGGAGAAGTCCAAAAGGATAGACTTTGCATGTTTTTTTCTCATTCTATGCTTTTTATGGTAGTATTTCACCTATGCAGTTCGAAACGCTTGCATAATTTCAAAATACATTTTTACAGCTAATGTTTATCTTTTAAAATTATACACTCTAAAAAGTTTATAGATTCACTTTGAGATGCTAATCCTACAAGTAAAGACACAATATCTATAAAAGTGGAAGTTGTCAATACACCTTTCGCACTAATTGAGGTCATGCTATTTCCACAAGGGAATCGTCAAGTAGATCCTTATTATCTGGTTGTAGTTTAATATTTAATAGTTCTACAACCTGCATTTTGCTTGTATGCTTGTTTTACTTATTGTAGATACACGGCTTAGTAAATTCTTCAAACATTGCAGCTGATTCCACAAAAGCACCGTGACTAAAAGTTCGCAAGGAACCAACTGTTAAGATGGTTAAAGGAAATGTGATCCCAAGTAAAAAAAAATCTATTGCTGTAGCCAGAAATTAAATCTAGAATCACAGACCTGTGAATTTGATCATTATCCAGTGTTTTACTGGTGTTGGGGAGGAAGGAAAGGAGTGCAGAATTAATGAGCAATTGTCAAAGAATTTAATCTGGTAACACAGTATTGATGTCCTATTAAGAAGGGAATTTTTTTTTTAAGTGGTTTGTGTAGCCCAGAGGAAGTAATTAACTGAGTGATGTTTGTATTTTTAAACAGGACCACATTTTAGCGGAGTTACTTCAACAGCAGAAAGATTACCTTGTGGGATACCATGAGCATGATTCACTCTTGGACCACAAGGAGGAAGAAGAGCTGAGCGAAGAGGACCGGAAAGCAGCATGGTCCGAATACGAAGCGGAAAAGAAGGTAAGAGGCGTTGTTGTTTAGCTGGGCACTCATATCAGACACATTGAAAAATAAAATTAAAATAAATTTGAAAACACTAATACAAATTTTGGTTACTGAATCCATGACTATTTGTGTGACACTGTTGTGGGCAATTAGCTGCCACGTTTCGCCCACAAAAGTCAATTAAATTTACAATATATCCTGTGAAGTGCTTTGCGGCATCTCAAAGCCATGATAAGGTGCTATATCAAATGCAAGGATTATTCTTATTGTTATTATTGAGCCTCTTTGATGTCTATTGGCTTAGAAAAGCCAATTCTGCGCAAAACTTCAAAGCTGGCATAAATCAACCAAAAGTGGGCAAGAAAGTCGCACAAATGCAAGTGTAGAAAATATTAATGTTGTGTTCCACCAACTGGGTTTTAATCACACATAAAATTCAAATGAGTTTGAAGACTAAATACAAGTAATGTTCATGACGTTTGATTTTTTTTTGGGTGCCAATTTTAAAACTGACATACTGTTAAAATACTATTGGAAAATGCTTTGTTGTGGCGCTCAAACTTTGCTCCCAAGCTTGTGTTTAATCACCAGAGCAAGTCAGATGAACACATGAAAAATTAGCACTATAGATTTCTGCGTGGTTGAAGGTGTTTCTTACACAAGATCACTTGTACATTAAGTGTTTTTAATGAACTAAATGCATTTGCCGCCTCTTGTTTCCTTCCCACCTTAAGTTTAGTGAGTGGAAGTACTGCCCACAACTCTGTCTTGTGTTTTGTGCTGCTATGTGCGTCAGCCAGTAAGAGGTAATCATCTGGCAGGTTGGCTGTTATGGTTAAGTATAATACTCTGGTGCCTAAAAACTGAATTTTAACATGCGATCTTTATATGAATACGATTTGGTGGTTTAATCCTCATCTGAAATGAAAGCTGTTTTTTTTTACATAAAGGGTGTACGTCAATCGAAGACCTTGTTTCTAGCCCTCACAGTCGATATCCAAAGTGTAGCGAATGATACAACCATCAGAGATTTGTCTGTCCCAAAGGAATTGCCATTTTCCATAATGAAATATTGTCTGCTTCTCCCACTCCATTCAGTAGAAGGATAAAATATTTGCCCCACAGTGGGAGCTATTCACATAATCTATAGCTTGCCTTATACATGAGTGAATCATATTTGTAAAATGTAGAATTTATGTATTTGGAGCACAGTGTATACGTGTTGGACAATTGCAGACATGATTTTCTGTTTGTAAAGTTACTGTGATATAAATACAGTGTATGGGGAATCATTTTATTAGTCGCTACAATTGCTGGCTTTCTTTGCTAAGTATACAGATCATGGAGTCGATTTGTTTTCAGCCAGTAAGATAGTTAACAAACTTCTAATCTACCTTTAACCTAAAGTGCTTCACGTACTTTCATCAAAGGATGACGATCAACCCATGAGAAATGTATAGCAATGGAAACAAATGAGAAGTAATCATGATGATTTTTCACAAATTGATGCCAGAAGATACTTAAGAAGTAAACAGCAACAGAGCCATCCAGATTTCTTGGGACGACACCTAACTCTATTTTTCCACCTCTCTTTGGGAACCCACAGTCCCCTGATATTCTGTCGTGTCAGACCTGGATGAGCTCAAATTTCCTTCAGCTGAACGTTGACGAGACGGAAGCCATACTCTTTAGCTCTCGTCAACGTCTAAAATCTCACGGTTCTTACCTCCTCCACCTACCTGACCTCCCCCTAAAACTCTCCGAACCCGTATGCAACCTAGGCTTCAGGTTCAACCCCCAATTATCCTTCTTCCCCCACACCCGGTCCCTCACCAGCACCACTTTCTTCCACCTCCGACGCATCGCCCGTCTCCGCCATTATCTCTCTCCGAAAGCCGTTGAAATCCTGGTCCATGCCTTTGTCACCTCTCGGCTGGACTCCTCCTCGCCGGCCTCCCCTCCACTACCATCCATAAAATCCAGTTTCTTCAAAACTCTGCCGCTCGCATTCTCACCCGCACCAAACTCCGCTCGCCGATCACCCCAGGCCTGGCCAGACTGCACTGGCTCCCTGTCCCAGAGAGGATCGATTTCAAGATCCTCACCCTTGTATTCAAGTCCCTGCACTCCTCTGCAGGTCTCTTTCTTTTCGACCGCGCCTTTGGTCACCTTCCTCCCCCTCCCCCTGGCTCGTCCCCGGGATCCGTTACTGTGAAGCGCTCTGAGAGGCCGTCCGGCGTGGAGGGCGCTATGTAAATCCAAGTTGTTGTTGTCCTTAAGTATCCAAGCTCTTGGGAAAGTGATTTCCTCAGTTGAAAAGATATTTGCTTTTCACGCACAAGTTGCATCTTCAGCTGCATCAACATTACACACTGAAGGTTTTCTGCAATTTGTTCTGCAAAAGCTTCTATTAAAATAAAACTGTACATTTGCCTCCACGTGCAGAAAATAATGGAAATGAGGTAGTGTTTAAGGCCCATTTATCTGAATTTTCTTAAACCAGGTGTTGCACAATAATGCATCTTTCCTTTGCCCTTAGATAGGTAACCTGGTCATTGAACTACGAGCAATGCCAGATAATGTGCAAGCAATATGGTTCAACCTGCTTACGTTTGATCAATCCTTCACATACAGTATTCCCCATATTCCATTGGTCTAAAATTGTACAACAGAAATCAGTATAACCTGCGAACAATATGCACGAATACGAAATAGCTTTATTGGAATGTCAGTGTTTGTCCTGCTGGTGGGTTTCAAATTAACTCTTTTTTTTCTTATCTCTTCTCCCCCACCCCCCAGGGACTTTCAATGCGAACCAATGTTGCGCCCGGGATCAATTTTGCTGCTGCCAATTTTGGGATGCTCCCAGCGCATTTTCCTTTCAATATCGCAACATTGTCCACACTGAGCAACCAACAGTTGGAGGTAAGAAATCCAAACAAACGTACCTCGTGATATATATAGCGTTATATCATAATGCAAGGACTATTATAAGCTAAAACTTTAATGGTAACTGTGGTTATTTGAAGTTCAAAATTATAATAATCCATTTTTATGTGAAAATTCAACAGTGATGTATCCATACTTTATTTGTTTTCTTTTTATTTGGAAAAATGCTTTCTTATTATGTCCTCACCATCTCTAGCCTCGTTAAGAGTATCTGAACTAAAGTTATTGCTGAATGTTTTGATTCAGTTCTTCCAAAATATTGCTGGAACCATTAAGTTCTTTTTTTTCAATCTGTATTTGCTTATACAAATGTCAGTATGGGAATACCCACGTTGACCAGATTTGATATTTAGGTATAGTTTGCATTTTTAGAATCACAGTTGTAGTTGTGTGTGTGTGTGTGTTTGTTTGGGGAGAATATCTGTTTAATCTATGCTTAGAAAAAAGATGTTAGGCACTTAGAGCATTTGTGTCTTGACACTTGATATTTGTGTGGGGTAGAGCAGTGAATGCAGAGTAAATTAACTTGATGCATTTACTTGTGGATGCAAAACTAATGGGTGTTCATTTTTTTGTGGATCGGTGGTAATCTGTGGATTGAAATTGAGTGTTTAAGATTGTTCCCATTGTTGGCTTCCAAAATGAGGGCACTTTAACACCCAGAGAGAACAATAGTCAGGTGCATTGGGTTGCAGTAGAGTTATGTTTTTCAGGAATAGTGCTCCATTTTAACCATTTGAAAAGATGGAGGCTGAACAGAGTTGCCAGGGATCAAACCAAGGCACTCGGCTGCTCGTAACCACAATACTGCACGTGAATGTGATTTTTTTTTAGTTTACTGCACTCATTTTACACCATTCTGAAGATTTTCTCTCCGCTTTCAGGATCTTATTAACCAAGGTAGAGAGAAGGTGGTGGAGGCAAGCACAAGTATAGCAACTGTGAGATCCGAGCCTCTTGAGGACCTTATCGCACAATTGGTAAGAAATTTGAATCTGTATTTCTCGTGATTTGAAAATGTAAAGGTGTTTTTATCCATCGCTTTTATGGAGAAAATCCTGTTTCCAAATGGGTTCTCTTCTTCCTTCCACCGCCTTCCCCACTCCCATCATTATTGCTGTTAGTTTGTGAATGTTAGCAGTCTGCCTCAAACAAAAGGTTATTTATTATAAACTGAATTTTCCCAGAACACAGCACCACATGCACCACAGAACACTTCACAGCTAAGATGGTCTGTGAATCAACTGGAAGAATTTGTTAACACATGGTAGCACTTTTTTTTTAATAAATTAACCTGACTTTGGCATTCGCTTTCATTGGGACTTCAATTTTCACCTTTTTGAAGGAAAAGTGGGCTAAGATTCACTTTATTAAGGAGTTGAAACTGCTTTCTTATTAATCGGTTGTTGGCATCTCGCCCACATGTAATAGTTTTTAACAGCTGTTCTTTTTTTTCTTAGTGGAAAGAGAATCCCAACTTTAATGAAGCTCAGGTTCAAGCAGTGGCGCTCAGCAAGCAGGCAAGCCAGGAGCTGGAAATAAAACGCAGAGAAGCCATGTATAATGATATCCTTTCAAAGCAGCAGCTGGTAAGATCTACTGGTTATCTTTGTCTTGGTAAACACTAGCGCCTTATATAAAAACTTTTACCAAACCACCCACTTGACATAACTTGCATTATTGTTTTGTGCTGCATATCCGTCAGTAACTTGTTTCTGGGACATTGCTGTGCACAATCTGGGAACTGTGTTCACCTATAAGTTCACAGTCATTACAGCTTATAGTCGCTCCTGTGAAGTGCTTTGAGACCTTTTAAAAGGGAATAAAAGTAAACTGATAACTCGTCGCTCCAACGGAAAGGAGCTCAGTGGTGAGTTATCAGGAACGGCGAGTTAGGCATATGTATAAATATGTAAACAAATGCAGTCAGGATACTGACAGCACGATGACTGATGTGGTAGTGACAAGGTCTGCCAGCTATATTATGTGCTTGTGCATGATTACTCTATTACACGAGTGAAAGTTTTCTCTTAACTGTTTGCAAGATGGATATATAATAATAATAATGTATTTAATGAAGCAGTATAACTTATTGCATGAGGAATTGTGAATGGTCTGTGTTCATGGACTTTTTTTAAATCATCGTAAGGAATTACAACTTTAGAATTGTACATTATAGATTTTTACAGCCTTTTGGCTATTGTTCCTATGCCAGCTCTCTGATGGTGAGACGTTCCACTGGGGTCTAGATTTACTCTGTTGATGTAGCATTTTAGAGCATCCAAAATTTGGCAGTTGTTGAATTCAGTTTTTGTAGAAAAATAATTATTTTCTAAAAATAAGTTGAAGAAACCGTCTTCAAAATTAAGGCAGTGTTTTAGGAATTTGCCAAATTCTGAACGCATTAAAATGCTACAGAGTAAATCTGGGTGGAATTTCTCTTCATGAGGGAGCTATCCATTTAGTCCCACTCCCCTGGCCTTTCCTCGTGTTCTTTTTGAAATATTTGTCTAATTCCCTTTTAAAAGCTGTTCTGGATTCTGTTTCAATCACTGATTTTTGGTTGGGTATCACATGTCCTAATAGTCCTGGGTGTGGTGTGCGTGTGTGTGAAAAAAATCTAACCACTGGTTCTGATCTTAAACTAATGCCCTTAAACTTGTTTGTATGTAAACTGAGTTCTCATTCTTGCTGCATTTACAGTTGATCCGATCTGTGCAGCAGATTCTCATGAGCCGAAGGCAACAGTTCAACCAATTGGCAGCTCAGCAACAGCAGCAATATTCGCTGCAGCGATCCACACTTCTGAACCAATACATGTCTCAAAGGAATGCTAGCCCAATGCTCAGTTATCCGCACATGGGCATGAGAGGGTTTCCACACGGGTATCCACAAGCAGCAGCCGGTATGCAACCCCCACCTTTGCAGCGGGCACCGCCAACGTCCATGCAGATGAAGGGGAAGTCTCCAGGCCCACCACAGCTCAAGCAAGGAATGAAAAATTCCAAAAATTAGAATGATAGTTTTAAGGGATTTTTACCCCAGAGATAGAAAAGGTTAGTATTTCTGCCTTTGCTACTACAGTAAGCAAGGACATTTCCGAACTGGAGAAAGATTACAAAATAGCTGTTTCATGATTTTAAAAAAAACTGTAGCTTACAGTTGGTACAATGTACTTCAGAGCACTGAAATCGTGCTGAGATATTCGAACATATCTTTGTCGTAAGAGATTCCAAGGGGATCTTTAAACGTTGTATATAGCCTTAATAAATATGTGACTGGCGAGGAAGAAAGCGCGTTTTCTTCCGCATATTTTGCTTTTAATTCTCCCAATTATTTTGTTCAATGTGTCTGCAAACTAAAGGCTTTTTTTTTTTTGCAGGGGGTGTGAGGGGTGGGGTGAGAAACAAGAGTTTGAGAGTCCATGAGATTGTTACCGTTGGAAACTTCCATTCTGTGCGCTTCATGTCCTGGGCTAGGTTGATAAAAGGTATGCATCGCTGACAGTCACGTCCCTTCCAGTTTCGTGTTGACATTGATGGCAGCACAGGTTGCCTCCCTAAGTTGACAAGCCAGTTCTTTTCCTTTCTTCTAGAAATTGCATTACTTTCAGCTCTCAATTCCCAATGAGAGAGGTTGTCAAAACTATCAAAATTCATAGAGCATGTTCTTGTGAAGTGGTGCCGGCAGGGCTGTCTGCAGTACTCACACTTGGTGTCAGCTGGCCAGAAGCACTGTAAGCCTTGTGGATCCCTTCAGCCTTAATATCATTTGACTACTTTCACCCATTTTCAATCCATGTGGCCAATCCATAGAGGTATCTACCAATAGTTGTTCCCCTGGGGACCTTGTGGTGCAGCAAGAAGTTGTCTTTGGCAATGACCAAATTCACAAATACCCCTTTGAGTTCCTTCTGATCTACATTTTGAGATGAAGGCTAGACTCAATTCCACAACAGCACACTTCAGTAACTTATAATAAGAACTTGATCTGTACATTTACCTGAAGGATATTCCCCAACTATCTTCCAAGGTGCAATGCTACTTGCTTCTGGCTTCTACAGATGTTGATTCAATAATGAGCCTTTCTGGTAATTTCCTTACCATCCAGGGGATTGCTGTCCTCAGGTTCTGAGTCATTCAACACTATCCCACCACCATATTGCCGTCTGGTCTTTGGCTGATCGATTACTGTATATTTTGGCTGATCGATTGCTGAGAATGAGTGCGAAGGTTGATTGCACTCCTTGCCCCTGCCTCTTGCAGGTGGTTGCCCCACCCCATCCATGTGAGGTGAGGATCTCTACCCAAGTTGCCACCTTGGCCGTTTCACACATGCCATCTGACATTTTCAAATCTAAGTCTTAGTGTTTGCACATACCGAACAAAACCTTTTTAGCTGTGCTTGGTTTATGAGACTTTAATCTGTACAGCATGCATTCCAAATCGCTGTATCCAATGGGACCCATCCCAGATACCTTCCACAGTCAGAACTACCCAAGTCCTCATTGGAGAACCTTCCCAATGGTTTGAGGAGTTCATTCAGATCAGATGGTGCACTCATTCTTAAATATTGTGGATTGCAGATTTTAAAAAATCATGGTTTATTAGTGCACTTTACCATGGTTTTCCAACTCCTCAAGTGCCAGAAAGTGCTGATTTTGCTGCATGAAGGAGTGAAGATGTCTAAAATATTTCATGTTCTCAATGTGATCATGATTGACATCATGCAGTTTAAAACTTTGCAGTTTAACTCTCACCTGGTGGTCCCTGATTTATTCACAGCCAATTGATAGAATCTGCCATTCTATTGAGCTGATATTCTCACATGATTCAGGTTACTACTATTTTCTCTTTGATATTGATAACAGTTGGGTCACTGGTTAGTGAGCTCTTGTGAACTTTTGTTTCTTACGTTAAAACATGTACTTCTGTTGGTTCTGTCCTTGTCAAGAAGAATATGTGACAAATAGTAACCAGAGTTTAATCAGCTGTACTTGTTATAACTAGACTGTTCTCTCCCTAATTCTGTTTTGGAAATGGTATAGTTTCCGAATTCTGTTTTATAAAATAACCATTCCCTCATTTCAGTTGAAACTGTATTAGCTTTCGCTAGACTTGATCCCAATGCATAGAATAAAGTTGACTTGTAACGTCAGACAGTTGGTTGTGTCTCATAAGATGTATTATATTGGTTGCTGCTTTAATTGCTTCAAAAAAAATTGTTGAATATGCTCTACATGACATTACTATCACCTAGTGGGTAGAAAGCTGGTCAAGGCTATTTGACTGGATGTACACCAATGTCCTGGGCAATGTTGAGGTCCCTTTAGACATTTGGAGGCCTGCCATTGCTCAGCAGTCAGCATGCTCCAGCGAACATTGCTATTGTAGATAGTCAACCATGGTTGACCTGAAACTTGGCATTGTGTGATTTTAAAAAATTGGGCTTGAGCAGTATACAGGGACTGCTGTAATGAAGAACAAAGGTAGATCACCTACCTTGTCGGACCAGTCTAAATTCTTTGATTGAAAGCATCTTCCACCCACCAAGATCCTGCTGAATGAACCATACTGTGCACTGCTTTTGGGGAATCATTGTATATAGTGATATTATTCTGTTCTGCGTTCCCTGGAGAAAATAACTGATTTATCTGGCCATAGGTGGAACCCGAGAGGTCCCATCTTGTGGTCAGAAGCTCATTTCCTACCTATAGATAAATTAGTTTGGGTAGGGATCACATTATCCAGTGGTTATCCCGGTTATTACACTGGGTTGATTCCAATGTGGAGGGTGTTTCCATTTCAAAGAATGACAAAGACAGGTAATGTAAATTTTTTTGTCGTCCCAACTCTGGTTGTTGCGCAATGTCCTGATTTGTGTTCATGTTGTGCTCGTGTGACTGAATCAATCCATTCTGTATGATTAATGCAATATGAAGTCATTTTTGTATAGTTATATCCGTTTGTTTTTTTGCATCTATAGTTATGCTATCAGCTAAATGTGTATACTCTTCCCCCCACCCCCAAAAAAAATAAAAATACTTGGCAGACACCATTGCAGACTGCCAGATTTATTTTAGAAATTTGCGTAAACTTTGAAAATGGCTTGTGATGTTTTTAATGAAATGTTTTAAATCCTACACCATCTGGCATTAGTAATACTGCTTCCACCAAATTATTTTGTTGGGAAGTTAATAACAGCAGCACCACGCAATCCATTTATAACAATATTAAACTCTCATTCACACGTTCCTCACATCGAGGCTCGACTACGCTTAACTCCCTGCTTGTGGACCTTCCCAACGCTTCCTTCCACAGGCTGCAGATCATCTAGAACTCTGCAGCTCGTGTCCTCTCCTGCTCTAGGCTCTGGGACCCCCCTCACCCGACTCCACTGGCTCCCCATCCCTCAAAGGATAGAGTGCAAAATCCTCGACTTTGTCTTCAAGGCCCTCCATGGCCTTTCCCCTTCCTACCTCAGTGACCTGCTAACCCCTTATTAACCTGTCTGCTCTCTCCGCTCAAAGGCGCTTTACAAATGTCAGTTTTGTGTTGTGCACTTGATACAGAAAACATTTTCTTTTACATCATGTTCCTGCGCTAGGTGGGATCTTGACTTCCTGCTAACTTGTTAAACGTTTGCGGAGCAGATTTATGCCTTTTAATAAGTACTTTTTCTAAATGGACTCAACACACCCTTTATTTTAACCAGTTCATCCTTTCTGTTCCAAATAAAATTTTCAGTCCCTGAATTCTGGTACTTACTTGACTGATTTTGTGTTAAAATTGCTCTTGTTAAATTTCTATAGTTCAAAGTGTTGTAAAGGATAAACTACCAGCAGACTTTTTAGTAGTTACAGTACTCTGCAAATAAAACTTATAAAGCGTTTGCCTTTTGTAAAAAAAACAAAGAAATGCCCTGACTGGAATACAACAACTTACATTTTTTTTTAGAATAGTGACCGACCGTGTTAAGAGAATACAGTAATGTGGATTCTTGAGGTGAGAAACATTAAATCAATTTGGACCACTTTGAACTGGGGTTGGGGGGGAAGGGAGGGAAAGTTTGTTAAAATGTGCTGCATTTAGCACAGAATTTGACACCAATTAGTTCAGTAATTATTGTGTTTAAAAGAAACTGAACTCGATCACTCAAAAAAATGTGCATTTTTATATAACGTTCACAATGTGATTTACTTAGTTGCTGTTGCTTAACTGACAAATACGTTGCAGCTTGTATTAAGACTATAAATGGTGAATACCACATTTTCTAACTCGTACTGTCCTTCATTTTGGATGTAAAGCATTATTTTTGCTTAGTAATACTTCTTTTGTATCAGATGTGCCCTAGTTGAATAGTTATCCACAAGTCCTACGACCATAGTTTTCCTGTCAAACTGAAAGGATGTCAATAAAAGGGTTGTGGAGATGTAACGGTCTTGCTTGCTTTCTATATATTTTAGAACTCGTTCCAACTCTGTATTTATTCACTACCGTAAATACTGTAGACCTGACGCAGATCATCCCTTAGGGCTCAATGTATGTAAAATAAGCTCTAGCAGTGTGTTTTGATAGAAATAGCAGTGGGTAAATACGTGTGCGCACTGTTGTGTTGTCACCTTTGCAAGTGGTATTAAATCATTGAAATTTTAATATTTAATATTCAATAAAAATGTCAAAACTGGTGACGTGTAGTTTTTTTTGTTAAACTGCTTTGTGGGCTACTTTCTAAATAGTATATTGATCTTGTGCTGATTGTAAACATTATTGTCGTTCATCCGCCCACCCCACCATGGACAAACCAAGTAAGCTGATCCAAATGTCACGGAATACTGTTCCTCTTAAGGCTTTTAACCTTCTTGTTGTAGATTCGTGCCTTCGGGATTCGGTTCCTACTGTTGCTCCACAATGATGCGGGTGCAGGGGTGGGGGGGAGGTTAAGGGGTCTTCCAACTTAGTTCTCAAATCAACAACTTGCATTTATATAATGCCTTTCCGGGGGGTGGGGGGGGTGTCCAGAGTTGGGCCGTTGAAAGATCAGGGTAAATTTTGCTTTGACACTCAGGCTGTGCCTTTGGTTTTCCTATAATTTTTCATGCTAAGTCATTGGGTCAAGGTCTCCATGGAGCTATTGCTGCATTGATTAAAGACTTCTTCACCATTATATCAGAGCACTTGGGTAGTTATGGACCACTTCTTGGCAGGAACAATTGACCGACCTCCGAAATGAGCTCTTTCAGCAATCTTTCCTCGGCTCATTGTACTTCAGGATTTGGTCTGCAATTAAGGGAGTGTTCCTCGTTTGACACCAATGATGACAAGTTCAGGATCTCCCTATTTGACCTGACACATGAAGCTGTAAGATATTCCTTAATGCAAATATCTGGGGAGCAAATTGAGGACTCAGAAATGAGCACCCCTGACCACAGCCCCCCACCCCCCGCAATGCTGGCAACTCCCATGGCTGTGGGCATTTGGCTGCCCTTTTTGCCCACAAAATACAGTTGTATCCAATTTATATTCTGCGAAGTACCTTGAGACATGCCAATGTGATGAGGCGTTGTATCAAATGCAAGTAGTATTATTATATAATGACTGTGTCTGAGAATGTCATTGGAAGAAACATGCATTGACTTCCAAATTTGTATACTGTGGATGAACATTTCACATTTTTTAAATGTTCTTCCACCAAAACTGGGGAGGAACAGGTTCTAACCGCACTTGCGTAAGCAGAGTGGAGGAAAGGCAGCATGTAGAATGTTTCTTTCCTGCATCATGGCCTAAGAGAGAGCATGCCATGTGAATCCCCTCCATTACCCCGTTACCAATCAAACAATTGGGCTTTCATCGTGCTGCAGCAGTTTAGAATTACTCTTGCTGATAACACGAGCCTTAATTCTGAAAGTATTTGCTATCTGTTTGATGGGTATCAGTCACTGACCATCATTCCTTTGCCACCGTTCCATATCAGAAAACTCGAGGTGGGAGAATATACATTTTTGTGTAGAAAATTGAGATTTGTGAATGTTCTGTTATGTCACCTGGTTCTCTGAAGCTTGTTTTTGGCTGACGGGCTTATTGCCTGACGTTTTGAATTCCGTAGATTTGTGGGGATCTTAGGTTCTCGACACTTTTTATTAAAAACAATTGCATTTCTCAATCAGCACTTAAGGCTAAGTGCACTTTGTTCCTTCACAGTTGGCTCTCCCCATTGTTTGGGTCTCTGACGTCCACGGCCCTCAAACCACATGTGAAGTCCGTTTTGTTTCTCCTTTGCATCTGTTTCGCTGCCGCAGGTTTCTTTTCGAAAAAGAGAATTGTTGATCCTCACAGAGCCTGTGCTTTCACATTGGTAGCCGTCCTCTCGATGTGAAAGGCGCTCTACAAATGTAATTTTGTTGTTATTGCTTTTGTGTTCAGATAAGCCCTCCAAGCTTGCAGATATCCTTGGTTCTATTTATAATACTAATAATAATCCTTGCATTTGATGTAACGCCTTATCGTGTCTTCAAGACGTCGCCAAGCACTTCACAGAACATACAGTAAAGTGAATTGACTGTAATTTGGGGGCGAAACGTGGCAGCCAATTGCGCACAGCGGTGTCCCATTAACTGTCGGTCGAGTAACCAAATAATTTTTTTTTAAATTCTCTTTCCTGGAGAGAATTGTGTCCATTCTGCAGTTTTTAACCAGGTGGCAGTAATATTACTACTATTGCTAATAATGATGATTATTATTTGTTGCATCTGATCTAATGCCTATGACATCAACGACTTGCAGGGAATTGCTATCCGGTGTTGTTACCGTTTATCCATAAAGGCAAACGCTGCCGCTGACTTGCAGCAAGGTCTCACAAAGGAAACAAAAACAAAAAGCCGAGGAAGGTTTCTGAGGTCCTAAACGATAACGTAGTCGCTCGATAATTTATCCTCCCTTCCGCCCTCCGGCCCCGAACCCTCCGGGTTCACTCGACTCAGGCTCCAACCTCTCACTTGGAACCTCAGCAGGTTTCCAATTGGGCTGCTGTCCTCTGCTGGGCTGCCAGGGGGAGCAGAAGAGTCATTGGATTGACCACCCAACCAACACCTCTCCTCGTTGAAAACCTGCCACGTGGGAAAACAGCACATTGTGCATTTTAAGGGCACATTTATTATGTAAAATGGCAATTATCCTTCTTGTTGGTTGCAATGATGTAATCAAGGGCCTTCTTTTAATTCCTTCCCTGAGGCATGCGTTTGCACATGACTCCTGTCACCGCTGTGTTTCTGCACAGAAGTTGGCCGCCCCCCACCCCCCCCATTCTCCAGGTAAGTTGTTTTATGTTCTTTGTACACTGGACACTTAAATCCAGGAGTTCCTCGAGTCTGAAAGAGCCAAATGTTGGGTTCAATCAGTCAAGGAAATGAATGGTGATACATACCTTTGACATTAATTTATCTCCTAAGAAACTTTGGACTGCAGTGTGATCCACTATTAACTGAGCTGCAGGACATAAACTGAATTGACCTTATATTGGATTTAAACCCTTTCATCCCATGGCAGAAACCTTCCACTGCTTCTTTGCAGGACGAGACGAGAAACTTTTTTTTTCTAAATTAAATTTTAGCCATCGTCACAGCATTCTTGTAAAATCTTATTATATTTTTACTGGCTTTCTCTGGCTGCTCCAGGCAAACGTTTCTACATTTTTTACAGATTCCCACACATTTTCCAGGGACTTTATGGAACATTTTAACAGGCTTCACAAGAGCTTTACTGGGCACTCTCTGTAAAAAGTAACTTGGGTTTCTGTGCACCTCTTACTCAGGGGATGCCAGATTTGCATTGCACCGTGTGAAACCACATACCACAAAGGGAACAGCCCACTCTCCCAACCCATTGTGTATTCGCACTAATTGACAGTCAAATAACAGGGGAAGCAAGATCCTTAACATCCAGAAGGAAGGGGATACCTTTCATCCTTTGTGTCTGTGTTGGGTTTTGAGACATCAATTCCTATCGGTTAATGGATAGCACTCAACTAATTATCCTCACTAGAACCAACACAATGCCCCCATTGTCCCAGAGCAGGGAGTTGGGATCAGACTACACAACTCCCAACAGAGCAACCAGCACCATCAATAGACTCAATGAGTTGAATATCCTTCTTCCCAGCTGTAATTTCTGTTCCTTTTGCTAAACCGAGTTTTATGTTAAATTCTTTTCTGGTTGGTTTAATTGCTCTAACTCACATTCTGGGACAGCCTGTACTCTGCTGGGGCAGCCATAACTCCAGAAAGTACTGACAGTGTTATGTTGCCTCAGTTGGCAGCGCTCTCGACTCTGGAGCACAAGTTTGTGGGCTCAAGGCACACTTGAACTCGCGTCTTGGCTTCCTCGGTGCCTATTCCAACTTTCAGGTAAAACATTAAACCACAATCTTAGTACCTGTTCAGGATGGACTTTAAAGATTCCATGATCCTACTCAATAAGAGAAGGGAGTTTTTCCTGGTGTCCTCGTCACCCATCCTCCAGATTAGTTGGCCCTTCACATCTTGGCTTGAAGTTTCAGTCAGATGTTTCCACCCTTGAATTGTCCATCCTACTATCAGAGTGGAGGAAAGAAATGAACACATCTCTTTGAAACAATGAGGAATATATTGCAGGAAGTTCTGCCTTCAAGAAATAGTGTAGAAATTTTATGAAACCAATTTTTTCCCGTACAGATGAGTCATAATGTTTTTTTATTAAGAGTGAACAAGCAACATGTTAATTGTACAATATACTTTTTTTTGCTTTAAACAATGTTCTTAATAGTCAATAACCTCTTCGAACTCAAAAAAACATTCATAGATCTTCATAACTTAAAAAGTGGTCATTTTACATTATCAGTAGGATTTAATCCCTTGAGATAGCAATCTGATCTACACATTGTCATTAAAAATATAGTTCTATGTAATAAATAAATATATAAAATAAATATAACATTGACGTTTCCATAAATAGTTTTGACCGATTGTACAGTGTCCGTGGTAATGTCAGCCTATTCCAAACACTGGGAATGTTATATCCTGTTGGCTCTTCTACGGAGTTTGGTAAATATCTGCTTTCAGCAGGGTCTCAACCGCAGAATCAAAATATATTGACTTTTTGATAAATATATTTTTTAAGCTCAAAGCTCCATTATTTGCAGCAGCGTTTGTCACCACTTAGTGGTCTCTTCGAATTCCCTTTCTAACCATTGTCCAGGAGGCTCTGTGTGTTCTCCCTCCTCTTCAAAAACCATCGTCCACAAGCAAGTTTCCGTGGCGAGTAGAAATGTGAGCACACCAGACATGGGGCTGTGCACTGTTTTTGATTTAATAGCCCGCGAGTATTAAATAGTGGAACGGATGCGACTTTTAAGTGATCATCCTTGTCGTCAGGAGTGGCCCAAAGTGGTCCTTGTTTGTACTGCTCCCCAGTCGTAGCTAAAGCCCTCCCGTCTATGTACAACGCACCCGAGGCAACGCAGTTTATCAGCTATAGTTCAAGAGATCTCGGTACAGAGTTGGCACTTTTTCAGGATCCACGGGTCTGGGTAGAAAGTGAGTGAACTTTTGATGCCGTTTAGTCCTGTATCCTTCCCGTGGGGATCCATCTTTATTCAAAGCCACGTAATAATGTCTCCCCGTGTCAGAGTGTTTGTATAGGGTGGAGGCGTACGTGTTATACCAGTTCTCCTCAAACTGCTCCCGGAAAACACACTCGGGTGTCAATTTTTTCTGTAACGAGAGAGAAAAGTTGTTCCATTGGTGGGTGATCAGTTTCAAAAGGTAATAATAATAATAACCCTTGATATATCGCGCCTGATCGTGTCGTTGAGATGCCTCAAAGCGCTTCACAGAATATACTGTAAAGTGGAGTGACTGTGTATTTTCAGGGCAAAACATACGAGGGTGGGTATCTGCTGGCTCCTCGGACGATCTCACAACCTCCTCCCCGTTCCTCTATCGGCACCGGCCGACCTTATCCAAAGTTCAGGCGCAAAGATGTGTTCCCTGATGTCACTATTGTCGTCTCCCCAGGGCCAGTTCCCCTCCCTGACGTGAGGCCAAAGCTATTTTATGTTGAGACATCTCCAAGGGAGGTGGCATTAGCACTGCCAGAACTCAGCTCATTCATGACTTAATGGCCTTATGATGCAAAGGGAGCTGCTGTGTATTATTTGGCAGGACTTGCACCAGGGTATTCTAAACAACACCCTTTTGGGACCACACTTCCAACTCATTCCTGCAGGCAACAGACTGCTAACACTTAATATATACGGGTGGACTCTCTAAAGTCGTTCCAAAAAGCATTCTACAAGAATCACAGCCCATCATCCTGAGCCTAAATTCCTCCAATGGAGCTAACTCCTCTCATCCCAATTTGCCTTCAAATGTTTATCCGAGTTCCCCTTTATAATGCCATGTCCTCGGCCTCAAATAACCTCTTGTAACAAAGCATTCCAGACTCTAATAGCGTTCCTTCCACATTAAAGCGTGTTCTAACCTTGCCTTTAACTCTTCCAGTGACGCTCCTGAGTTTATGAACCTGAGTTTACAAACCCTTGTTACGAATTCGCCCTCAGAGTGACTTATCATTATCTAATCTTCTCAAAAGCTTTCAGGACCTTGAAGCCCTTATCAGACCCCACCCCCGTGCATCCAATTAATTATTACTAATCTCATTAAAACACATTTAATTGTCGCTTCTCGCCTCATTGAACAACATATCCTGAACAGAGTGATTGGAAAACAATGGCACATAATATTAATAATCTTGCATTTGATATATTGCCTTATCATGTTGTTGAGATGTCTCAAAGCACTTCACAGAATATGTTGTAAAGTGGAGTGACTGTGTTTTGTGAGTGAAACGCAGCATCCAATTTGCACGCAGCAGTGTCCCACAAACAGCCAAGAAGTGAGTGACCAATTTTATTTGGGGGATTGTTGGCCAGGACACCAGGAGAGAGAGAGAAACTCCCTTCTCTATTGCCATGGGATCTTTAATGTCCACCTGAACGGGCAGGTGAGACCTCAGCTTAAGACTATGTGAGCTCAAAGTCCTGACGGCTTGAACCCACAAACTTCTGACTCGAGAGGTGAGAGTGCTACCGACTGAGCCAGGCTGACACGCATCAAACTTGCATCACTATTCACGTACTTAAATGATTAACTCCTCCGGATTCATTTGAAACTACAGTATATACAGGTGTAATTAATGTATTAGTGCATCAAAAATCCCAACCAGCGCTGTAACGGGCTGAGATCTCTGCTCAGTGCTTCCACAGGTGGGTAGAACTTCCCATGCGCCAACCAGGGCTATAAAAGATGATTGATTTCCAGGGATAGCGGGTTGCAGCCACTGCGCTCCACAGCCTGGCAATGCCGACCACAGCACCCGGGCAAGTCAGCCGGCTCCCACTGCCAATTTTATAGCAAGTAAAAGTCAGAGTCCCGTGAAGAGAGTTTCGCCCGGTGTCCTGGCCAACAATCCCCCAAATAAAATTAGTCACTCACTCCATGGCTGTTTTGTGGGACGCTGCTGTGTGCAAACTGGCTGCCGGGTTTCTCCCACAAACTACACAGTCACTTCACTTTACAGTGTATCCTGTGAAGCGCTTTGAGACGTCTCAACGACTCGATAAGACGCTTCTGTATCCAAATATTAATATTATTATTGTTTCAAATTAACTCAAGATGTGAAGTTTTTTTTGAGATGTTTGACGTGATTAGGTGCTGTATTCAATTAGCATTAAAATTGTGTGTGTGGGTGTGTGTGGGGGTGTGTGGGGGGTGGGGGGGCGTGAGAGAGAATGAGATGTCTGTCACATTCAGCCATTTTTCCACATTAGCACTATGGCGGAAATAATCCCATCGTAATAATCCTTGCAATTTTGGTTGTAGCATCTCAAAACCGTGCACTGGATTTTATTGAGAAGTGTAGTGACTGTTTGTTTGTAGAATGACAAACTAGATGGGGAGGATGGGGGTCTGGGGGGAGGAGAGAGAGAGAGAGAGAGGGGGGGGAAAACGAGGAGAGGGGCGGGGGGAGTTGTAGCCGTAAACCTCCATTTATATTTATTTTTGAAATGAGCGCCGTGTGTTTGTTACATAGGGGTCTCGATGAGCTGAGCCACCGGTGTGCAGGGGCGAGGCGAATAACTCGAGGGGGGTTTTTTTTTTTGGAGGGCGGGGGGTGGAGGTGGAAATGCCCTCTGCACTTTGCTGTGCAAGACTTTACAAACCCTCCTGTCGCTCCATTGCTGAAATGCAGAAGCAGATCCCTTCTTGAGGCAGTTGTTTTTGGGGGGGGATGTTTGGAGGGGCGGTGGGGGGGGAAGGGAGGGGGGGAAAAGCTAGTTTCTTTCACTGTCTCAGATGCCGAGCCTCCCTCGCTTCGGTCATCTGGCCAAATTTAATGACAGGGAACGCGCTGAGTTCATACTTTGCTGTCTCGCAAAAGAGCGTTATTATAATGAGCCCTTATGTTGCAAACTGTTGGTTACAGAAACACTTTACTCGTCTCAGACTGCTATCCATTGGGGAGCTTGAAACATTAAACCCTGATGTCAAGGACTTAATTGCCTTCGAAACGTATAATTCACATTGAACGTTAGGCCCGAAACATAAATCCTTAAATACCTTTACAAGTGGCTGTTGTAATACTTAGATAAATTGGATAAGTATTTGAAAAATAGGCACAGGGAAAAGCAGGGAATTGTGTCTAGTGTAGGTTACTGAGGTGATAGAGGAGAGCCCTGGAAGACATGATGGGCTGAATGGCCTCCTTCTGTGCTTCAGAAGATTCAGAGTCAAGTCAGCTTCAATGTGGTCCGGAGGGGAGATTCTCTCTCCTCGTCTCCTGGCCAACAATCCCTCCGATTTTTAAAAAAAAAAAAATCAGTCATTCGCTTCGCCGGCTGTTTGTGGGGCATCGCTGTGCGCAAATCAGCTGGCACGATCCACTCCAAAGTACACGGTCACTACACTGTACAGTGACTCCTGTGAAGCCCTTTGAGATGGTTCAACGATATAAGGGACTAAATCAAATGCAAAGATTATTATCTGCTCCTGCTCTTCCATCTAAACTGCAACCTTGCCATAGTGTTCAGCTTAGCGGTGTGGTTTGCGTAAGGTTACTTAGGGAATAAGGTTATTACAGTGTGTGGAAGATAAGATCGCCACAATTTAATAAACTGGCACAACAGGCTCGATGGGCTGAATGGCCTCCTCCTGTTCCTGTGGAGGTGGCCGTGGTCCATTTAAAATAAATCAATCATTTGGTCACTCAATCCACGACTGTTTGTGGGACGCTGCTGTGCACAAATCGGCTGCCGCGTTTCGCCCACAAAATATACAGTCAATTCACTTTACGGTGTATTGTGAGAAGTGCTTTGAGACGTCTCGAAGACGTAATAAAGCACCGTATCAAATGCAAGGATTATTATTATTATTATTAACTGCCTTTCACTGAACGCTTCCTAAACGATGCACAAAATTCAGTATCACACGTCGCTTTATAGAGACAAGCGATGTGTCAAAGGGTCTCTGGTCTCAACAGCATTTTATTCTGCGCTGAGGTGATGGGAAAGGCAGCCCTGGGTGACATAGAGTAAATTCCTTCTTTTTTTAAAAAAAAAACCCCCTCTATAAATCAACAGTCACCAGTAAAAGCTCATTGAACCTGCCATCTCCAGAGCCGGGGAGCTTGCGAGACCCGATTGTTCCTTCCTGTCCCTCAACGGTGAAATCCAAGACAATTTACTGAACTGACATCTGATACCTCAACTTATTTTGTTAAAACAGAGACTATTTCCTCAGGGTATAAAAGTATTCTATAAAACACTGACTAACTGCAGACGCTGGAAACCCAAGAAGCAGGTGCTTATTCATGTTCAATAGTCCTCCCAGTCTCGATCTGCATTTCAGTTTCTCTCTGAACTTCCTCTCATTCTGTCTCGATACTTTCATTCCATTTGAGGTTTGTGCAGGTCTCTCCCCCCCACCACCTCCTCACCACCCCCCCCCCTTCTCAGACTCCCCATCGTCTGCTCTCTCAGCGAGACACACACTGCACTAAACCCCCCACCTCGGCATCTCGTCCTGGCGTCTTGCCAGCAATTCCTTGGGGTTATTTGCAGGGTATTGAGGGAGGGGGGTTGCTTTGGGGCGCACAGTTGAGTGATTAAATATCCCTCCCCACCTCCTTCCTCACTCTCCCCACACACACACACACACTTTCCTCTGGTAGCAGCTTAACAGTTATGACCAGCCTTAATCATAAGAATAATCCACCCTACCGACTCCTAACACAACGATAACAATAATAATAATCCTTGCATATGATTCAACGCTTTATCGCATCGTTGAGACGTCTCAAAATCCTTCACAGGATATACTGTAAAGTGGAGTGACTGCGTATTTTTTTGGGGTGAATCGCAGCAGCCAACTTGTGCACAGCAGCGTCCCCACAAACAGCCGTGAGCCAGAGGCTGAGCGATAGAAGACTTTCTCCCAGACTTTGACATGCGACCCTCTGATAATAGTCGTGTGGAAGGAAGTGTGTGGGTGACCAACCAGCCTTGTTGTGGGGAAAATCTCGGCTGTACGTTTCCCCACAAAAAGGCTGAGGTGGGGGAACTCAGTGGTTACACCAATAGATCTGTCCCCTGTGACCCTCCCCCCACCCTTACTCCTCCGCCACTTGCCAACTGACCAACACCAACGTGGAAGGACATTACAAAGCAGAGGCACCAGGCTAGCATTCCTCAGCAATCACAAGAAAAATTCCCGTATTTAATAACCTGTCTTTACAGACACAACTTCTCGAAACTCTTCACAGGCATTTCAAGTGGGGAGACTGGCAGAGTCTCGCAAAACAGCTCCGAGGCAACTGACCGGTTTATCTGGAGGATTAAACCTGGAGTTCGGCCAGGACGCAGGGAGAAGCTCCCTTCGCTTTTCCACTTGGTGTCCGTGGAGATTTAAACAGAGCCACTGGCTCTCTCCCAGCACTACAAGTGGAATGTCAGCTTGCATTACGATTTTCAAGTCCAGACGTAGGGCTTGAATCCAACAACCTTCGGACTTGGAGGCGAAGGAAAGTTTTCTGCCGAATGAAGCACGTTGTGGAGCCAGATTCAAGCTCTTGACAAGAGTGACCATAGGACTGATTGTCATTAATGTTTCTGCATCACATAAGAGTCCAATTCACTAGGTATGGGCCTGCCTCACTCATGGGTTCACGGCAAAAGGCACTAACTAACTAGTTCTGCATGATCCATGCAGTCTGGAAGGTTTGATCAAGATTGAGGTGGATAGACATTTGTTACGTCAGGGTATCGAGGGATATGAGGCAAGGCCAGATATCTGGAGATGACGTACAGATCAGCCGTGGTCTTATAGAATTGTGGAACAGGCTCTAGGGGCTGAATGGCCTACTCCTGTTTCTATGATTCTGCCCTGGGGTTGACTGAGGTTCTACAATGGATATCAGCAGTCCTGAGTTTGGGGCAAGAGAGGAAAGAGGGATCATTACAGGGCTCCTGCTGCAGTTCACCATCCAAGGACACTTAGTGGAATAGTCACTGGAGTGGATGTTGGGTGGAAATGCAGTAGGACTTGCTTGCTTGCTGCAGTGACCGGCTGTCAACACTGCTTTCTGTGCTCAGTCAAGCGAGGTATGGGAAAGACAGGAGAGTATGCGTTGGTTAAACACCCCTCCCCCTCCTCTCCACCCATGACGTGACTTGGAAGGAGCTGGGCAGAGAAACATCAGCAAATGTAAACCCGAGGAAAATCTGTGCTTGTGATGGTTTAGGGGGTGGGGAGGGAATGGCGGTGACCATAATAATCCTTGCAGTTGATATAGCGCCTTATCACGTTGTTGAGACGTCTCAAAGTGGTTCACAGAATATATTGTAAAAGCAGTTTGACTGTGTATTTTGTTGAAATGAAACAGCCAATTGCGCACAGCAGTGTCCCACCCACAAACAGTCATGGATTGAGTGACCAATTTTTGTTTTTATTGAGAGGGTTTATCAGCAACTCACCAATTGGCAAACAACTGGATTCCTACTTCCTGCTCGGTAAATAAACAGAGGCGAGCGGAGCAAGGAAACCTAAGATTCCGCCCACCCGGGAATCGAACCCAACAACATCAATGGATTGCATTTATATAGCGCCTTTGCCTTTCACGTCGGGAGGACGTCCCAAGGTGTTGGCTCCCCTTTAAAAGGAACTGCGATTCCAGGAATCCCCTGAGCTGTAGAATCACCTGGGCTGGCTGTGATACAGCAAGCCGCCTTCTTGCTCCTTGCCAGAACACACACCATACCATAACCCCATGTGGTTCCCTTCAAATAACAGCCATCACTGCTGGCCAGCAACTTCTAAGGGAAACTCGGCTGATTAATGTGTCGAGTATAAAGAGGAGGGGTGTGGGGGTGGTGGTGGGGGGGGGGTTATTGCTTTAATGGCAGGTTTTCTTTCTGTCGGCTCAGTCTCAAGCAGCTGTGACCATCCTTTTTCTCTCCCCACCCTCAAAAAAAAAAACCTCTTAAGGCTTGTGGGGCTGTGCCAGAGTTTGAAGCCAAGGTGAGTTCAGTTCGCACCACAATAGAGGTTGGAATCTGCCCAACCCAGGCGTTTTGAACAGATGCTCCCTAAAGAAAAAGCCATAGTCATTTCAGGGGCAGGGGTGGGTGGGGGGGAGAGAGAGAGCGAGATGGGGAGAAGAGAGAGAGTGAGGGGGAGGGAGAGAGAGAGAGAAAGGGAGTTGGGGAGAGAGGAGTCTCCACACTGAGCTCATTCCACCAATATTTGGCTGTAGTGGCTGAGAATGGATGGTTCCTCACTTCTCATGTTTATAAACACAATTTTATGTGTTGGCCAGAATCCAGGGTAGGTTTGTGGTGTGTGTGTGTGTTTGAGTTTGATCTCAATCGCTCAGTCACATTCATTAGAGAGTTAGTTACATTGCAGAGAGACAGAGAGAGGGTTTTGTATGACACTCACCGACCCATAGAGATCGCCTCTCTCGTCCATCCCCAAGTAAAGTCCAGAGTCAACTCCTCGTATACTGACCAGCCCAACTGCTAGACTGATGAACTCCAGGATGCCTAGAGATCAGAGAGAGGGGGGGAGAGAGGAGACCAGTTAAGTTTGCGAGGTTTCCCTCAAGGATCGTAGAATCATAGAATGTTACGGCAGAGAAGGAGGCCATTCGGCCCATCGAGTCTGTGCCGGAGGAAAGGTACATGGGCAACAACATTCGCAAGGCGAAGTGCAAAACAGCCTGGCTTCTCCGACAGGCCACGAAGGGCTGAAAAGCACATTTCATCCAGATTTCACTTTATTAACACACAACGCTGCCAAATCCATTGCACAAACTCTTAGCGTTCACCAAGTTTTCTCAATCTTCCACACATCGCCCCCACCACCACCACCACCACCAAAAAAAGAAAGCCTCATTTTTGGAGACCCAAATGGATAGATAACCTTAAGAGGTTTTGCTGTTTATTTTTGCACAGTTTTTTTTTAAAGTTGTGGTCAAGCAATTTGTCTCAGTTTATCCTCCCCCTGACACACACACACACACACACACACACATATACATACACACTCCTACATAAAAAACACACATCACCCCTAACTCCTTTAAACCTGCCCTTTCCTCCTCCCTCCCCCCCCCCCCAAAAAAAAATCACAGGCTGCCTTCAAGCAAACACCACACACACACACACACGGTGTCAGGTCGCAAGATCTGGTTTCAATTAAAAACAACTCTTTGCTCCTTTCACATTTCATTTTCAGACATTAACAATGATTTTTGCGTTAAACGTCGTTTTGTGTGTGAGGTCCTGAGCCCAACAATCAGATGGTGGTGGTGGTGGTGGGAGGGGGGGAGTGGGGGGGAGAGTGGTTATGAGGAACAAAATAAGTTGGGATTTGTCTGTGTCTGTGTCTGTGGGGGTGTGTGTGGGGGGGGGGGGGGGGAGAGTGTAGTTATATATAAAAAAATGTTGGAGTTGTATGTGTTTTCTTAGTCTTGAATCCAATGTGTTTTTTTAAAAAATGAGTTAAAATCCGGATTTTTTGCTGACTTTTTTAACAACAATTCTGCAAGTGTGTGTGTGTGGGGGGGGGGGGGGGTGGGGGGGTTGTGGGGGGCATCAGATCAGCTTCAGACGTGGTTTCTTATGGGGAAGAAACGCACCTGTTTGCAACCATTGAGAGGAATGGGAGGGGGTGAGAGAGAGAGAGATTGAAAGGAATTGAGTTAAAAGTTTATCTGCACTCGTCCCTCTCTCTCTCTCTCTGTCTCTCTCTCTCTCTCTCCCTTTCTCCCCCGTCTTATTTTCTCTCTCCCCTCGAATCGTCCCTCCCTATTTATGTTCATAACTTGGAAGAAAACTGTACTAAACGTGTGTGTGTCCAGAGCAGGAACCCATTCTCACTGTAAGGCAACAGCCATTATGTACACAGGTACATACCCTCAGCACATACACACATACACACACACACACACATATACACACACAAACACACACACAAACACACACACACACACACACACACACACATACACATATACACACAAATACACACTCACACACATACATACACACATACATACACACACACACATATACACACACACAAACACACACATATACACACAAATACACACTCACACACATACATACACACACAAACACACACACACATATACACACACACATACACACACACACTCACACACACATACACACAAATACACACTCACACACAAATACACACTGACACACATATATACACACACACACAAATACACACACACACAAATACACACACACATATATACACACACACAAACATATACATTCACACATTTTTCGCAAATCCTGTGCTTTTACAAAAAACCACAGAAGCAGTGCTCGGTACACAGTGTTTACGATGTTCCCCTTTTTTTCATACATAAAAAAAGTTCCCTCTGATAACTATATAAAAGCAGTCGTGTGTGTGGGGGGGGGAGAGAGGGGGGGGGGGAGGGAGGGGGGGGGAGGGGAGGGGGGGGGGGGGGGGGGGGGGGGAGAGGGAATGCATAGAGAGCGAGAAAGACAGAGAGAGACACACAGAGACTCCGAGATAGAGAGAGAGCAAAATAGAGACAGACAGAGAGAGACAGAGGGAGAACGAACCCTATTGTGCGCAGTGAGAAGGGGAGAATTGCGACAACACAACACTGTCTTTTTTTTAAAGAAAAAGCGATCCTTTAACTCTCAGGTTTGGGGCATTTTGTGAGTGACGGTGTGAGTGTCAGTGAGAGAGTGTCTGTGTGTGATTTGCAAAAGGAGTGAGAGAGAGAGATCTCCCATAACATGTCCAGTCCAACACACACACACCCCCACCCACTCACCCACACACACACACCCCCCCCACCCCAACACACACACCCCCCACCCACCCCAACACACACCCCCCCCCCACCCCAACACACACCCCCCCCCACCCCAACACACACCCCCCCCATCCCAACACACACCCCCCCTACCCCAACACACACCCCCCACCCCAACACACACCCCCCCCCACCCCAACACACACCCCCCCCACCCCAACACACACCCCCCCCATCCCAACACACACACCCCCCTACCCCAACACACACACCCCCACCCCAACACACACCCCCACCCCAACACACACACCCCCACCCCAGTCCAACACAGCCCCCCACCCCAACACACCCCCCCCACCCCAGCACAACACACACCCCCACCCCAGCCCAACACCCCCCCCACCCCAACACACACCTCCCCACCCCAACACACCCCCACCCCAACACACACCCCCACCCCAACACACACACCCCCACCCCAACACACACACCCCCACCCCAGTCCAACACAGCCCCCCACCCCAACACACCCCCCCACCCCAGCCCAACACACACCCCCACCCCAGCCCAACATAGCCCCCCACCCCAACACACACCCCCCCACCCCAGCCCAACACAGCCCCCACCCCAACACACACCCCCCACCCCAGCCCAACACAGCCCCCCACCCCAACACACACACCCCCACCCCAGCCCAACACACACACCCCCACCCCAGCCCAACACAGCCCCCCACCCCAGCCCAACACAGCCCCCCACCCCAGCCCAACACAGCCCCCCACCCCAGCCCAACACACCCCCCACCCCAACCCAACACACACCCCCACCTCAACCCAACATAGCCCCCACCCCAACACACACACCCCCACCCCAGCCCAACACAGCCCCCCACCCCAACATACACACCCCCACCCCAGCCCAACACACCCCCCCACCCCAGCCCAACACAGCTCCCCACCCCAACACACACCCCCCACCCCAGCCCAACACAGCCCCCCACCCCAGCCCAACACAGCCCCCCACCCCAGCCCAACACACACCCCCACCCCAGCCCAACACACACCCCCACCCCAGCCCAACACACACCCCCACCCCAGTCCAACACACACCCCCACCCCACCCCAACACACACCCCCACCCCACCCCAACACACACCCCCACCCCAGCCCAACACAGTCCCCCACCCCAGCCCAACACACACCCCCACCCCAACACACACCCCCACCCCAGTCCAACACAGCCCCCCACCCCACCCCAACACACACACCTCCACCCCAGCCCAACACAGCCCCCCACCCCAGCCCAACACCCCCCCCCCAGCCCAACACCCCCCCCAGCCCAACACAGCCCAACACCCCCCCCACCCCAGCCCAACACAGCCCCCCACCCCAGCCCAACACACACCCCCCCACCCCAGCTCAACACAGCCCCCCCCCACCCCAGTCCAACACACACACACACCCCCACCCACCCACCCACCCACCCCAGTCCAACACAGACCCCCACCCCCAGCCTTACCGAACCTGCTGTGGTCCTGCCTGGTGCCGTGCACAGTGCCGTTGGGGAACATCTCGAGGTGGAATCCCGTTCTGCAGTACAGTTGTCTGCGCCGGAGGATACCTTTGAGGTGAGCGAAGTCGGTGGGGGTCCCCCTCTGCAGCCGCCCCTCGATCTGCCCCAACCTCTCGCTCAGGAAGCCGGGGGAGTCGGCCAGGGCCAGGCCGGGCACGTTCCCCAGAGACACGGCGTGGATGTCGGGGTCCAGGACTCCCAGATAGCTCCCAACTTCAGCCATCAGAGCCATGGGGCTGCGAGCTTCAGCCTGGCCTCAGCCTCTAGCCCCGGGGTGGGGGGGGGGTGGGCAGGTCAGCTTAACACCCTCCTCCTCCTCCTCTTCCTCTCTCTCTCTCTCTTTCTCTCTCTCTCTCTCCCCCCTTCCTCCTCCTCCTCTCTCTCTCTCTCTCCTATCTCTTCCCCAAACGCTGTCCTGCCCCAACTTGGCTCGGGATGACCATCAGACGGGGCGAGTGGTGGAAGACTATCCCAACGTTAGACAGTCGCCTCCGAGTCAATGTCATCACTTGCGGGGAGAGCGAGAGGGAGAGGGAGAGGGAGGAGAAGAGGAAGAAGAAGAAGAAGAAGAAGAAGAAGAAATTCCATCCATCCATCCGTGGGAAGCGAACGAGATGAAAGCAGCACTTTATATACACACCGGAACATTGACATAGTCCATATTCAAATAAGCTCCGCCCGGTAATGGCAATGGCTAATCCCCGACTGGGCTGTCACTGCCACTGCCACTGCCAGAGGGTGGCTTCACCCCACTGTCAGCCGTGTGGGGGGGGGGGGGGGTTATATATATATATATATGTGTGTGTGTGTGTGTGTGTGTCTCTGTATGTGTGTGTCTCTGTATGTGTGTGTGTGTGTTATGTCTGTGTGTGTTGTGTGTCTCTGTTGTGTTATATGTGTGTGTCTGTCTGTTGTGTGTCTCTCTCTGTGTTATTGTGTGTCTCTCTCTCTGTGTTATTGTGTGTCTCTCTCTCTGTGTTATTGTGTGTTTCTCTGTGTTATTGTGTGTTTCTCTCTGTGTTATTGTGTGTTTCTCTGTGTGTTATTGTGTGTCTCTCTCTGTGTTATTGTGTGTCTCTCTCTGTTATTCTGTGGCTCTCTCTGTGTTATTGTGTGTTTCTCTGTGTGTTATTGTGTGTCTCTCTGTGTGTTATTGTGTGTGTTGTGTGATAATAAAACAACTCCCCCCCCCCCCCCACCCCCAGCACACACAAAGATCTCCCCCCCACCCCCCACCCCCCAAAAAATACTGATGCGAATCCACACTTCTCAACTCAACGCTCCTGAATGAAATCATTTCACTTCAACATCACTCTCTCTCTCACTCTCTCTATCACTCTCTTTATCTCTCTCGCTCTCTCTCTCTCTCTAACCTCCACAGGTTTGTACAGTAATGAGATGTGGCTTAAAAGGGAGAGAGAAAGAAAGAAAGAGAGAAAGAAAGAGAGAAAGAAAGAGTGTGTGTGTGAGTGTATGTGTTTGCCAACGTGGCTGCGTGTTATTTACATCGCGATTCATGTCATTACTGAGTGAGAAGGTGGTGGTTGGGGGAGTGGGGAGTGTGTGTCTGTGTGTTGGAGGGGAAAGGAGAGAGAGAAACAATTGCATGTCTGGATATTGCTCAGTCAGTTACTGTTCTGGGTGATGGGGCTTTTTTTGGGGGGGTGGGGTGGGGGGGGCTGTGGATTGAGCCATACTTAACTGGAAGCTGACAAGGCGCCACTTGCATCTCCCCAAGTTATTTTTGTTAGAAACAGGTGCTTCCCAGCTCTTCTCTCTCTCTCTCTCTCTCCTACCCCCAGTCTCTCTCTCTCTCTCTGAGTATGTGTGTGTGCGTGTGAGTGAGTGTGTATATGTGTGTTGGGGTGTGTTTTTTTGGTGATATTGTGTGTATTTGTGTGTGTGTTCTTTCTCTCTCTCCCCCTCTCCCACACTCTCCCCAGTGACACATTGAGTGAGTGTGCATATCTGTGTTTGGGTGTGTTTTTGACATACTGTGTGTGTGTGTGTGGGGGGGGGGGTTGCACCAGCTGTTTTGATCGTGAGGAAATGTACATGTTTATGGACTAACCCTAACCCCCACCACCCCCCCCCCCCACCCAGAACACACACACACACACTACACACACAGCCACCTGATGGCAAATAGGCATTTAGCCTTTGACAAGGTCAGTGCTCAGACATTCACACACACACTCACTGTCTCACACACACACACACATACACACATAAGGAGTCTCTACACTCAGTTCAGTGGAGGTCGCTGTTGATCACATTTTTTTCCCCTCTTTCTCTCTCTCTCTCTCTCTCTCACTCCCCTCAAAGGTATTTTTTTTTGTAATGGTTGAAATCCTTCTGTTTTCTCTCTCTCTCTCTCTCTCTCTCTCAAAGCTGAATAATGACTGACCAAAGGTAGTCCCCCCCCCCACACCCCCACCAAAAAAAAGCAAAGCAGCCAAAAAATTCCTCCCACAAAAAAATACACGCCCTAAATTGAACCTGTTGCTTAAACAGCCTGGCACAGGGAGAGGGAAAAACAGACCCATTGCTACCTGCCAATGATTGAAAACACTTTGCAGGAAAGTAAGTCAGTTTGTAGGTGTTTTGAGTCTTTCTAAGTATTATTTAAAGAGGTATGGTCTCGTATTCGTTTAGTGCTTTTTTTTAAAAAAAAGATTTAAGTGCGTTTCAGAGGGATGTTGAGGTGCTGTGTGTTTGTGTGTGTGTGGGGGGGAGGGGGGTGTTTGGGTGGGTGGGTGACAATAATAATACTTGCATTTGATATCGCGCCTTATCGTGTCATCGAGGCATCTCACAGCGTCGAAAAAAGTGATTTTGTGTGGTTGGGGGGTGATGGTGCATGTATGTGTGTGTGTGTGTGTGTGGTGGGGGGTGGGGGGGGCTCAGGTGATATAATTGTCTGTTTTCTGCTCTGATATTTCTATTATCCAGTGTTTTTGCAGTTTGTGGATTCCCATTGCTCGCTCGCTGTCTGTCTGCCACAGACGGTGACACTGAATCCAATTGAGAGGCGATGCTAATTGATAAAACGTTCACCGCAAAGATCTGCTATTTATGTTGCATTGTCAGAGGTGCTGTCATTCGAATGAGACGTTAAACCGAGATCCTGTCTGTGCCTGTTTAGGTGGATGTTAAAGATTTTCCAAGGCACTATTTCAAAAGAGAACGGAGTTTCTCTCTCCTGGTGTCCCGGCCAACAGTCCCCCAAGTAAAATTGGTCGCTCGCTCCAAGGCTGTTTGTGGGATGCCGCTGTGCGCAAATTCGATGCTGTGTTTCACCCACAAAATACACAGTCAGTCCACTTTACCAAATTTCCCATGAAGCGCTTTGAGGCGTCTCAACAACGTGATAAGGCACTGTACCAAATCCAAGGACTATTGTTATTAGTTTATTTTTATTTAATGTTAATCGAGCAGTGTATAATAGTGACATCTTATTCCACCCTCCACCGTCCCCTAACTTGCCGTCTGAAGTGGGGATGTGAGTCAGACTCTGTGGCAATTCCCGATGGAAATCCGTGGTTTTCAGCCAAGACGTAAAGCTGTTTCAGCGGAAATTCAGCCTGGGTTCGTCTGGGAATCTCTCCCTTATTGGATGAACAGGTGAGCGAGTTTCTTGGGGAAGGCTAACTCAATCTGCAGCGATTCCCAACAAGTCAGCGCTGGTGGTGTCAAACGGTAACAACGTTCCCCTAACGTTCAAAGCCCTGAGCTCTTACTCCGCGCGCACGCACACACACACACACTCCAGCGAGGGTGACGTGTCTATCCCCCCCCACCCTTTGTAAATCGGTACAAGATGTCGACTTAATGGCCATACCATCTGCAGTAAAGTAGTATGTTGACAATTCGGTTAATATATGGGGAGTTGAATACACGTCGGACAATGGATGGCTGGCAGTCGGCTAAGAGGTAGCAATTCAATCAAGTGTTTTTGATGACGTTATAAGCCACAGGAACAAAGCACGAGTAATTTATTAGCATCCACCCAGCCGCGTTTCTGAATTACTGCCTGAAAAGTCAGGGCCATTTTATTTTATCATAACACGGGACATACTGGTTTCTTTTTAAAAGCTTGATATTTTTGGGAGGGTGGGGGGGAGGGGGGGTGATTTTTTTTTGAATCGTTCGTGAGAGGACGGGGGTGGCGAGGCCAGGGGAGGTGGTGAGATGTCTATTAAGATCGTAAGCCTAAATAGTAATAATAACAATTAATCGTTGCGTGTGATGCAACGCCTCAAAACTGCACAGTTGTGTATCCTTTTGGAGGAGATGTTATGGCTGTTCAGGTGCCTGTCAAACATCCAGTGACGCAATCGGAAAAGAGAAGGAAGTTTCTCCCGATAGTCCTCCAGAATAAATCGGCTCTGTTGACGCTTGCTGCGAATACACAGTCACTACACTTGCCGGCAATTATCTGTAAAGAGCTTTGAGAGTGTTAGACGCCACCTGAAACGCCACGATGATTATTAATCTAACACCTCATGTATATTGTACAACACAAGGGTTTCTAATCCCTCCTGTCTCATTTATCTACATGGTGGGCAGATGCTAGTTCCAGATAACAACAATAACAACTTGTATTTAAATCGCTCCCCTCGCCCAGGGTAGCGTCCCAGAGCACGATGCTGAGCCAGAGGGAGGGGGAGGAGGTAACCGGAGGCACGGTCGAAGAGGAAGGTCTTTATGTGCAACCTGAAGGTGGGGAAGGATGGGGCAAGGAGAAGGGATAGAGGAAGAGCGTTCCAGAGTTTCGGGGCGTAGTGGCTGAAAGACCGGCCACAGATGTGCGTCAGGCATACATAAAACCCCTCCCTCCCCCCCCCACCCACCTTTTCTCTACACTGTAGGAGCCGTCAGAACGTCCCAAAGTTTCACTGTTATTCTTAAACGTCATTAAAATCCACAAAATCATTTGCCGGCATTAAGAAACAGTTTGTCGTTACATTTCGAGTGTCAGACGGGGGCAGGTCACTTGAGAAAGACGAATATCATGTGACATCAGTGAGAGCACAGCTGAGAAGGGGAATAGTACTGAGGATTACCTTCGACTCATTGGCAGAGAGATTGCTCATCGGGGAACGAGTCAGCCTCTGGTTGCCATTCGAGAAAACGTTCTCAAGTAACGTTTCCGGCAATAGCAATGCAGCTTAGTGAGCACATTAAAGGTTTGACAAAACGTAGCGTTTCAGGATCATTGCCTTGGCAGAA